GCCCATCTAGTCCTGGTAGAACTACAACACTGTCAACATCAATTGGCAGCAATACTCCTGGATTTCAGGCAGAAGATTTTCCTGCCCCACTTAAAGGCTTGGATGAGTAGCAATGAAGGAATTAGAAGAGATCATCAAATGCAAGGATGTTTGACTGGAAACCAAGGCCAAAATCATCCATATAATTGTATTCCAGATGACTGTGCATGGCTGAGCAAGCTGGACAGTGAAGAAAGCTGGCACGAAGAAAATTGATGAATTAAAAACATAGTGTTGGAGGAGAGCTTTGTGGACAACCTGAACCAACAGAAAGATGAGCAAAAGGGTCCTTGTTCAAATCGAGCCAGAACTTTACCTGGAAGTAAAAAATGATGAAGCTGAGGCTATCATACCTCAGGCATGTCATGAGAAGGCAAGACTTGGTGGGAAAGGGAAATCATGCTAGGGAAAGTGGAAGGGAGAAGAAGTGGAATACTAAATCGGAGATGGATTGATTTCATAGAGGAAGTCCCAGTCTCGCACAGCTGAGCAGGGCTATCAAGGACAGGAAATTTTGGAGGGTGTTTATTCATAGAGTTGCTGTAAGTGGGAGATGTCTTAACAGCAAGGAATAGCAACAATAAGCCTAGAGAAGCCAGAGCTTAAGCATGGAAGCCTCTGCAAGCAAAGTATGCACTCTGCCACTGAACTGCAAGTCTTCCCCAGCTGCAGCCTATCTGCCACTCTAGGGTCATTCACATAATAAAAATGGCCCACTAAAAGGGTAGATAGCAAGGACAGGCATGTCCCCAGCCATACAGTTACTTGGCAAGTGTCTTCAACACCTCAAACATTTACCAGAGTTCTGCAATGTACAACAAACAGGAATCCTAACAATGACTTCAGGTGCTTTGATGCATGACATAAGGAGAAGGAAAAAGAGTGTTCCATAATTACCCCAACAATATTTTTCCTTCCTGTGCAATTCAGAAGTGGCAGGGCAGGAACACATGTTGGGGGGAAAGGCAAGCAAATTTAGGACTCTTAGCTGAAATGTTCTTTCTCAGATTGTACTCATGCTGAATGTACCATGTTGATTTCAGACATTTTAAGTCTGTTTGTCATTAGTTGTTTTGTCACTGATGTGCCTCCCTCTTTTTCTAGTCCATTAAAAACCCTGGGACGTAGGAGCCTACAATTATTCTGCTTTCTTTGTAATGCTGCTTAGGAGCCAACTCAAACGCTATAGCTCAGTGCCATGCAAAATCATTGCCTTTTAGAATATTTAAAAAATTACCACTAATTTGAAAGTATTATGACATAGATTTGCAAGTAAGACATAGATCAGTAAGTATATCAGTAAGTAAGACATGGCATCTTTGAACAGTAATCTGCTCTGTCACAAGATCTAGGAAAGGGCAGGATGTCCTGGTGAATATTTCAAAGAACAAACCAGCAAGAATGGAAAGAAATGGCACTGGCAACCCAGCTGATGCAGCAGATTATTTCTTGTACATATAAGCCCTTTGTTCATGAGGACTGAACAATCTCTGGCAAGCACTGGGAACATAGAAAGCTCCTTAAAGCAGGTCAGGCCATTTCTCCATCTAACCTGGGGCGAGCGTGCTGGCGGTGACCTATCACACTACTTACAATATGATTCTAGGTTTCTTCCCTTTTTTAACTGAATATCCTGAGGTCTGAACTTGGAACTTCAGCGCAAAGTGTGCTCTGCAGCTGAGCTGTGGTCCTGCCTTGGGCCCACTGCCCACAGTCACAATCTGTGGTTACACAGCAACGGGGGGACAACTCATTCATACTGGGTCTTATATTCATCTGTGTTAACATTCATTTGGATTTGGGGCCTTGGGACTTGCCTTGCTCATTACTCAGATCAATTCCTGTACTGAAGTGGTGGGGGACCTGAAACCTGGAGACCAACCTGGGCATCTCGGCACAACCCTCTGAGGTCCTCCAAAAGACCACAGCCCTTTCCCCATGGCCCATCCCCTTTCCCCTAAGCATTCACTGTCAGTTTCCCAGCTTTGATGCAGTCTCCCCCCTACAGGACCAGTTGAAGAGCCTAAGGCTTCATTTCTCACAGTAAGAACCTTAAACTATGGCTGTATTTTGAGCAGACCCTTTTCCCTCTGGCCCCTCTCATTTGCCTTCAGCCCACCCACTACTGGAATGCAGGCCCTGAGAGTTTTTCCAAAAGTGAGCCTGGCCTTCCAGCGGCTAAAGCTTTCCACACCTGCCATATTATATCTTTGTTTGGCTTCACCCTCGTTGTGTAAACCTACCTCCTTCCTGCTTTATATAAACAGTTACTTCCCGGTTGGACTTCTGTAACATGCTTTACGTGGGGCTGCCCTTGAAGACAGTTCGGATACTTCAGATGGTGCAAAACAGAGCTGCCAGGATGCTGTCGGGGACTGGGTGTTATTCTCATATAACCCCAGTCCTCTATCAGCTCCATTGGCTTCCCATCGAAGTCTGGGCTCAATTCAAGGCGCTGGTTATTACCTATAAAGCCCTAAACAGCTCGGGACCAGGATACCTAAAGGAATGCCTTCTTCCCTATTTACCCTCCCACCCCCTGAGATCGGCAGCAGAAGCCCTCCTCTGGGAACCCTCCGTGAAAGACGTTAGGAGACTGAGTACCCAGAAGAGGGCCTTCTCTGCAGTGGCCCCCATCTATGGAATGCGCTCCCCAGAGAGGTCCACCTGGCGCCATCATTATATGTTTTTCAGCACCAGTTAAGACCTTTTTATTTAATCAATATTGTAACAAGTTTTAATTTGGAATTTTATTAATATATTTTAATTGCAGTCAGAGTGGGTCGTTAATTTATTTATGTTATACTTTTATATATATGTATTTTATTAGTGTAAGTCGTCCTGAGGCTCTCACAAAGGACGGCATGCAAATATCTTAAATAAATAAAAAAAATGAACCTAACAAATGTCTAAACTATTTTATTCAGCGGATGAACTAGTCCTCATCTTATGAAAGTACAATGCACAATACATCTGTTTGTCCTCAAGGTGCCCTCAAATATGGTCTAAGACAAGTTGTGCCCAGGGAAGACAATCCAAATGGCATCCCACGGATGGAAAGCCAATGTGGTTTGTGTTGTACTGGAATTCGGAAAAGCCACATTCTAGTCCCTGGTCATCCATGGAGCTGGATGGATAATTTTGGGCAGTCACTGGCTCTCAGCCTAACCTACCTCACAGGGTTCATGTGGGGACAAAAAGAAGAGGAAGAAGATTATGAGTTCTTTACAAGAAGAAAAAGGCAGAGTCTAAACATAACTTATAATCAGGCCTATAAATCATCATCACTTATTGAAGAAATCAGTGGTATCCGATAATCCACTGCCCAAAAAAACATGTGCTTTCTGATAGGCAAGGAAGTGACAGCACCCTTTTTAAAAAAGTAAGAGGAAAAACAGCACCAAGAAACATGGAAAACAAGATGGAAGAGTATTCAGAGGAAGTTCTCGAATCAAGGAGGAGCCCAACAGAAGACATAAAAACAGAAATACCGGCAGTGGTGGAATCTAGCCACCTGGCATAACAGCAGGTAAAACAGAAGGATGACAATTACATACCTTAGAATGGGGAAAGATTGGAAGGATCATCTTTCTGAACGCAATGGATTTTTTATTTGTTTATTTATTGAATTCATATTCTGCAATGAACCCCAAAAGGCTTATATAATCTTCCTGCTTCTCCTCTCTATTGTATCCTCACAATGACTTTGTGAAGCAGGTTGGGCTGCGTCAGTGACTAGCCCAATGTCACACAGGGATCTTCATGACTGAGAGGGGACCAGAAGGTATGTCTCTCAAGCCTCAGTCCACCACTCAATCCAGCACAATACACTGGTTCTTTCCCAGGATGAGCCTTCTCAAATTAATTCTGGGAACAAACCAACCCACACATGATAACTTCTTCATGGCTGGATTCCACCATGACGCATCAGATGCACCATGACCCACCATGACTGGATTCCACCATGGCTGGGTGTGGACAAGATGGATTCTACTGGCCAGCAGGACAAGGACACAGTAGTGGTAGGGATACATGCTATGCTTGGGGTGGGAAGAATGTGTGTCCTTCAGATGCTGTTGGGCTCCCAGCTATGATCAGTCCCAGCTTGCATGGCCAGGTGAGGAAGTTGTCATTCAACATCTGGAGGGACACCAGTTTCCCCAATCCTCTGCTATCCCTTATCCTCCAACCTGCACATGAAACCTATTTCAGCAGCCATTTCCATCACATGAAGAACCAACCCAGGAGAAATTATCCTGGCAGCAATTGAACAAGACTGTTGATCCTTGGACTGACATTCAGGTTTTGTAATGGGCTTGTGTTTCCACTTCAGAAGGGTTCTAGATCCATGGTAGAATGTATGTCTTAGGCATTCTGGGATTCCCAGTTAGGGCTGAGAAAGGCCCTTGTATGACCTAGATGGACCAATGCTCCAACCCAATATAAAACTGCTTTCAATCTCCTCTTCTACCTCACCTAAACCCTATAACATTGCCTTGGCAATGCAATGTAGGAACACTGTTTTACTTTGTGATGGGGCTGCAAAAGGATATTTGAAAGTGGCCCCTGTCAGATGAAAAAGTCTGAGGCAGACGAACCAAACCAAGAGAGAGGCGAGCAGAGAATGCAGTACATCAACTTGGGTCCTTCCAGACAGAGGACTCCTGCTGCTAGAATGCAAATGCTGTTACACAGCATCTCCCGTTTTCCCCCTTCCCAGATTTTTCCCCCCAGTAAGAGAAAGTAGGAGGAAGTGGTGCGAATACTCAGGAGGGCTGCAAGGAGAGGGCACCATCCTGAGGAACCCTCTGGAACAGCCAGGGAATGAGCCATGCAGCTGCACAATAAAAGCCTCATCTGGAAGTCCCCTGTGTCAAAGTGCATTGTAAAAGAGCAGGTAAAATTGCCTTTGGTGGTGGTAGCAATGCAGCATCAAGCAGAGAAATGCAGAGGGCTCTTACTGCAGCAGGGGCATCTGGCTGGCCTCCTTTTGTTTTTCAGGTACCTCGTAGTGCGGGGACATCTTCCCCAGGCCGCTGTCACTCAGCATGCGCTTTCGAACGGCAGGATTCCACCGATCCGACATTCTGAGAAAAAGATTGCCAAAGGGAGAGCGTCATTAGTCCCAGGTCAGCACCACTCGTGGCTCGCTGGGCTGTGTCACTGATGGCTCCAGTGATTCTCACATGTGGCCTTCACCCTGGCGTTCATGAGCCAGCCTTCTGAAGTCGCATCTGGGGTGTTCTATTGGGTTCCTTTGGCTCATGGTGCATTTTGCCGGGCTCCTTCTGCGGTGGTGCCCACAATCAGTTAAGGCTCTGGTGATGACCCATACAGCCCTAAATGGCTTAGGGCCTGACTGCCTGAAGGAGCATCTCCTTCCATATGTGCCTGCCTGCCCCTTAAGAACAGGAGCAGACATCCTTCTCCAGGTGCCCTCCCTGAAGGAGATTAGGAGGGTGACTACCTGGAGCAGAGCCTTCCCTGCGGTGGCGTCCCAGTTGTGGAACTCGCTCCCCTGAGAGGTTCACCTGGTGCCATCACTTTATTCTTTTCGGCACCAGGCCAAAACCATTTTATTTTCCCAGAGTTTTAAGACAAGATGGTTTTAATTGGGGTTTTATTATTAGTTGAATTTTAGGATGCTGTGTTTTACATTTCTTACATTTTGTATTGTTAAACCATCCTGAGACTTTGGTAACGGGACAGTCTAGAAAGGTGATTAATAAATAAATAAAATCAATGTTAGGACCCACAACACAATGATCTTAGGGTGAAATGGAGCAGGGGGTTAGATGGCCATGCTCATTACTTGAGTTGTGAACTACAGCACAGACATTTCAAATCTCCCCCTGCCCCCTGCCAGGATTCCTTGTAAAGTTCTTCAGCTGCTCTGACCAGTCCTAGATTAAAGCAGGTGGAGGGGCTGGGATAGGAGACCTCGGGAGGCCCAAACTTGATAGCATTTATCATGAGAAAGGAAACCTCATTCTTTTCTTTATCAGCAACAGGAGAGTCTCCTTACCCAGAGGCCTGCTCCACCACCAGATCAGGCATTCCTGGAGGCGTTCCTGCTGGCTGCGTTGCCACCAGCTCTGGGTCCAGGATAAAAATCTCGTCCTGCGAAATTTCTGTCACGTAGTGCAAATGTTCCTGCAAAAGCCGATGCTTGGTCAGTAGGGTATGATCAGCCAATAATTCAGTGAGAACCGACAGATGCATAATAGCCTCAAGGAAAGCAACTGAAAACCCTGCCAATACACGCTCTTTGGCCATTGTCAGCCAGTCACACAAAGGAGTTAATTTTGGGGAAGACCCAAGAAATGTATTCCCACCAGCAGCAGCCTTCTTGATAAGACACAAACAGAAACTTGTGCATGGGGACTTGCTTGCCTTAGTCAAAGTGTCAACAGACAGCCCCTGCCCCCCATGTTGTTATGCTAGCAGCCAACCTCACAATTTTGAGCCTTGCACCTCACAGGTGGCTTCTAGCACCAGCGCAACAGAGATTTAGTGCTTCTGGGGGCAAGCTCTGAAATACATGGAAACACTTGTTTCTGGAACAGGGAAGACTGGAAGAGCTTACTTATGCAAGTTCCACTGTCTGTTCCCATTCCAAAATCAAGCATTTCCAATTGTTTTGTGGGTCTTTTTTGTCTAACCATGGATTACACCTGCAGCGGCCACGGCCTCTGTAGTATACCGACTAAGTCTACATGTCACCTTCTGGCAATAGAAGAGCTTCTTGGATTGAATCAATAGTCCCAAAGACATTCTGGGAGCTGTATGTCTTTTTCTGTCTAAACATGCATAAGATTGTGTTTTAACTGAGATAAATAAACACTAAAACAAGGCCAAGCAGAATTCTTGTAGAAGTTGCTGAAGTGTGTTTGCTACCAGTGTTGTCACTTGAGTTGAATGTGCTTTTAAAGCTTTCTGAATATTTTGAACAGGCCTGTAATAGTATCATAATATCCAGAGTTATCTCATGTACAAAGGATTAGGATTTTAGGAGGACTGTAAACACCTGGAGGAGATAAATGCTGAGATTTTCTTTTAAAATGCGGCTGTCCTAAGCACAACAAGATAAGCATGCATGCACGCACACATACACATGTGAGGAGTGAGAAGTTGTGCTACAAGACATTAAACTGGTTTAAACCAGGACAGAGCAAATTCTTCTTCTGATCTTGTGCCCATTTACACAGGCTAATGTATTTAACTGGCACTCTTGTCTATATATACGTAAATTAAATCAAGTTTGTGAGTGAACTTCTGATTTGTCATTAAACAGATTTCATATTTGAGGCTGCAGCATTTATGCAAAGGTCTCAGGTTCTCTGAGACTCAAAGTCAGAGTCATTTATAAATTGTGAACAGATTTCAGAGAATTGCATTCCAAAATGTTCATTCAGCATTTTATGAGATTCACAGAAATACAGAATCATAAAGATGGCTAAGATGTCCGATATTCAGTTCCTTCTATATGCAGCTACACCAAGCAACTCCTAAACTATTCACTAGTAGGAAGTTCTCGTTTGGGGGCACCCCATTATCTTTACCAAATCTAGTCCTGTGCAGCTGAGAATTTCTTTAAGAGCACAGTCTGAGCTGACTTGGTTTAGATGGCCATAAGATAATTTGAAATCCCAGTTCTGACTTTGGGAATCTGCTCTGAGGTTGGAGCTGGAACCCCAAACTCAAAATGCACTTCCCTCCCTCTTGAAGGTAGGGGAGGAGGCAGGCTCTGCCCAGTGGGATGAGGGGATGAAGGTGTTGGACTGTGGGGATCTGAGAAGTCCAGATTCTAGTCCCCACTTAGCATGAAGGTTTGAGCCAGTCAATTACCCTCTGTCTAACCCACCTCATGGGGTTTTGTTGTGAGAATAAAACAGAAAGGAGGGCTATGTAAGCTATGCTTGATTCCTCATAAGAGGAATAAAAGCACAATATAAATGCAATGTAATAATAATATTAATAACAATATCCTGGTGATTCCTCAGTCTACAGTCCTTACACTCCAAGAGGTCACACTTTAGCTGCCTAAATCTCTTGCCATGCATAGGATTCCTTAATCATCCAAGTTCAGAGGGTTACAGGAATCCTCACTGGATTGTACCCTGAAGGGGCTAAAAGGAAAACAGCACATTGGTGATACTCTGTACCTGAGATCTGTCGATGCGATAAAAGCGATCAGCAGAAGTTGCTGAAAGAAAGAAAGAAAGAAAGAAAGAAAGAAAGAAAGAAAGAAAGAAAGAAAGTTAAAGAGAAAGTCTCAACCAAAGCCAAAACTGTTTTGAAAACTTGCTACACTTTTCTTCTTAAAGTTCAGAAGCTACCTTAACAATAAAATTTTTAAAAAACACTAATAAAAATCAACTTTTCCAAACTAGGTACCTTGAAGCATGTATCTAGGGGAAATAGGTTGAAATTCTCACACAGTAGCCCTTTATGGCATGTTCTTTGCAGCTTTTGTTATTATATGAGCAGCTATCTATAAACAGTATGAAATTGATTCCCATATATAATAGGAGCATGTCGTATAAAATTTCATTAACACTTTGAATGTAATTGTTGGCTGACTTAGTAGCAGCCAAGCCTCAAAAGCTCCTGCTGTTAAATTATGCATTTTGTTTTGAAACTGTGTAAGCTGTCCTGGAAACACATTTGAAGGTTGGGATAAAAATGCCTTAGGGCACAATCATATGCATGCCTAGACAGAACAAAGTCCTACAACACCACAGTTGGCTAGGGAATGCCTGGAGTTGTAGGATCTTTTGTGCCTAGGCATGCATGGGATTGCTCCCTAAGTAAATACAGAAAGAGAGATGTGAAGAATGTCCCCGCTTCCCATTAACACCCCCTCCCCAGCATGCTGAGACTTCACTCTTCTGAAATTAATGCACTACCAAGACAGCAGGTGCTGCCTGAAAGCAGCTCAGAGGAACTGGGCAGCTCTCTCATATAGCTGATGTAACTGTCCTGCACACTTGCAAATCTGTCTAGGTTGCAATCCTGGGCACACACCCCTGGGAGTAATCCCCACTGAATGCAAGTGGCCTTGTGTCAGAGTACATAGGATTGCGCTGTCAGTCTTTTTGCTGCTAGGACAAGTAGCTACTTTTATACTTACCATCTAGGAAGCACCATCTAGGGGAAAGTCTCTGAACAGACGGTACTCTTGGGAAGGAACTTTCCTGGTCCTGGATGGGACAAGGAAAAAGGCAATATAAGAGCGGCTGTGGTCATCATCGTTGTACTGTCAGTGTACGTGGAAACGTTCAGAGATACCTAGTCAAAAAGGAAGGTCCCAAAGGATAGTGCAGCCTACATTAGATGCTGTTTCTTTCAAACCCAAAGGAATGACCATTTTCTTCATGCAAATCACACTTGTTCGTCTAGTCCGTTGTGTTCATTCTTGGCATAGTACAGCATTTGTGTACAGTGCAATCCACTGTCTCCTCAAAAGTAAGAAATGCAACTCCCTCCCAGGTAAGTCTTGCAACCTAAAAGTGTTCCCAAAAGGCAGCTGGATCCATAGCACAACATCCGGAGGTGATCCAGAGGTGAGTCTGGAGGAGTTGCATAGATCAGCCTAAGAGGGAGCAGCTGCAAGGAGAGGGATTCTCTGTCCCATGCCAGAAGAGACACCCACAAGAACCCTGAAACAAAGAACTGGTGCCTGAGTCTTGCCTCTCTCTATTTTTCCTCCTCTTTCTCAACCTTCTTTCCTTTTGTGACACATCTTTTAGATTGTAAGCCTGAAGGCAGTGGCTGTCTTATTATTAATCTCTGTCAGCTGCTCTGGGAGTATAACTTTTTTTTGGTTGAAGAGCAGAGTAAAAATGATATAAATAAATCAAAAAGATAGTTATGGGAATAGTCTTGAGATAGGAATTAACTAAGGGTTTGCTGGGCCTAGTGGAAGGTCAGAAACCATTCTTAACATTCAGAAATATAGTATATTGCAGGTTCCAATTACTGGGTTGGCATCCCACATTAAATACCAAGGCTGGCTCAAGATATTGTGCTCCTGGGGGAGAACATACATAAATGTTGCCTTCTCCACCACCACCCCACCTGCTGCCCTGTCAAGGTGTGTTGTGCTCAGTAATTCAGATTGTTTTGGTGTGTGTGGTGGGAAGTCACCAAACTGCCTCTTTCTCTTTCATGCCAGTAAAAATAGGTGGGCAGATAGATCCTGTAGCCCCTAGACAGCACCTAGAGGGCCACAGAATGGTTCTGATATCCAGATCCGAGCCAGGAAAAGAGATCCTACAGATATGGGGAAAGAAATTCTAATCCCCCTATTTCCCAACCCCTGCAGCCAGTGAGGAAAGACTGCTTGGAGCAACCTTGGAGAAGGGGTTGAGGGGGCTTTCAGGAGGCCAGTAAAAGGAGGAAATGAGCACTGTACCCTGAAGGCACCTCAGCCTCTTCTCTTCAATGCAACCCGCAGGGACAGCCATGGAGCCACAAAGCTTTTCTGCAAAGTGTGGGGAGCACAGAGGGAAAAGGGCATCACTCCTGCACTCCTCGGAATGCCTGAAATCCTTCCAGTCTAGAGGGTTCCAGGCAACCCTACTAGATCGTGCCTGAAATTGCTCGCACTTTGTGCTGCCTTTAGGACATACAAAAAAACCACCTGGGGCAGGAATACCAGCCCAGCTAATGGAAAGCAGACTTAGAATGTTTAAAGGTTTTAATTTTACTAAATATGCCACTGCTGAAACATCAATGCAGCTATGCCTTATAGAGCATAAAAATATTTTGTAGGGGATAAGGCAAAGTCCATTTTGGGGTGTGGCAGCTTTTTCCCTCATGTTAGATTTCAGAAAGGGAAATACTGATGTATTCTACATTAACCCAGCTACCCTAAATATATTTTATCAGATGCAAGTCCTATTGATGGAGTTACATCTCCAATAAGCTTTGAACTGCAGACTTCTCTTAATCTCCAGTTCGGTTATAATTTTGATATCAAACTGTCCATCCTTCAAGAAATCTGAGGGATCCCACAATGGCAAAGTGGGGTGCAAACTTTCTCTAGCCTTTGGGGGGACACTTCCCCCTGCAGCCACATCTGGAGTTGTCTATGATACGTTGCCCAGCAACTGGGACAATGCTGAACTTCTATGGTGCATTGAAATGCATCACCAGTATTGCAAAGAGGCCTCCTAGACCTAACTGTTCGTGACCTGATGGCTGCAAAAATCACAGGGAGGATTTGCCTGGGTGAAACAGCCAGCACAGATCAAACAAGAGAGGAGGGAGCTCAGAAGCAGAGCATGAGCTCAGAATAAAAATGTCCCCCTTCCCCGCTTCAGTTCTTAGCATCTCCAGACAGGCCTAGGAAAGGCACCTGTCTGAAAGCCTAAAGCAGGGGTGGGCAGCATCGAGGGCTCCAGCAGCCAATTCGGCCCCCCAAGCACCCACCAAGGGTCATTCCCCTGCTGCACCACCAAAGAGACAAGCCAAATTTAGCTTGGTAGGAGCAAAAAAGAACTTTTTAAAGCTTTGTTTTACGGTTATATAGATCCCTTTTTTCATTACGAGGCTAGCAAATTTTGGCACTCGGCTGCTGGGGATGGGAGCTGCCTCTGCCCTTTAGCAAGTGGGGCAGGGGAGGGAGTCACACAGAGGGACAGCAGGGCACGTGCTGCCTGGGGGTTGTGTTCCTCTGCAGATCTCTCCCTCCTCCTCCTCCTCCTCTCCAGCAGACTCAGACAAGGCTTTAGAAGCACAGTAGTCTTTTTCTTTAAAGCTATCAAGTCTTGGAACAGTATAAATCAAAGGAGCCTTCTCCTCAAGATGTGGGAGAAGGGTCTGCCCAGTTGAAGAGTTGCAGCAAAAATGAAGCATCCCCTCCTTCTCTCTCCAGCTTTGAAAAGCCTCCCTCCTTTCCCAAGGTGGGCTGGCTCTCACACTCTGCCTGAGCATCTTCAACAGGTAAGCCTGGAACTGCAAAGTCATCAGCCCAACTCAGCCAGTCTGCCCCCTCCTCAGAACCAGGTGAATCCACCTGAGAAGACTGTCCTTTGAGGGACCTGACCCCCTCTTGTCCATTTGTGCCCTGGAGATTTGCTGCCAGTCATGGAAGGCCCACAGAGCTAGTTAAACCAGGGAGGTGACTCAGCATAAGGTGGCTTCCTATATTCCCAGAGCCAGAGCTTTCAAATCGCACCTCCTCCAAAACACCACTTATCAATGGAGGCATCTCATGTGTTCAGGTATGAATGACTGAGCAAAGGACATGCATGGCTGAATGCTCTCCTAGGGCAGTTTCACATCACTGAAAAGATTGCCTCCGGGTCTGGTGGCACAAAAAAATCATGGAACAAGCTAAACAGTCAGGGATGTGTCAGATCGCTCCATTCCCTTTTAGCTTGCAGTGATGACCACATCACAGGCGTTTATCTCAGCTTGAAAATCTATCAGGAATTGTATGAACCAGCAGATGACTGCTTGCAACTTGGTCCATTGTGAAGAATGTCAAGGGAACTTTGCAGCACTGCCAGACACATTTTCAGTCACAAGGATCACTAAGTGAACTGTGAAGGTTTTCTTCCTTTTTCTTTTCTTTCTTTCTTGCAACCAATTGGACAGAGGTTATTGGGAACCTGCAGGAGAAAAACTGCCTGAAAGCCTAGCAGTCCCACTCCAGATTAATTACCAATGTCTCTAATTAAATCAGTTTTATCAGTGATTCCATCAGAGCTTCTCAAGGTTAAGCAGAATGGGTGTTCAGTTTCAATCTACACTTTCCAGATTACACTTTTGATTACACTTCTATACCCCACATTAGTTGAAGAAAGGTCAAACACTAGCCTAGCTGGCACAAGGCTCTAGAAAATACACCAACAAATAATATAGTCCAATAGAGAATCCAGCTCAAATGGAGATGCTGTTCTATAGTCCTATGGCTCCAAATAGCCAACACATACCATCTAGATATATTCTTGGCTCAGACAGGTAATTCTTGGTGTGTGGCAAGCCAGGCACTCTCTCCCTAGGCAATTTCTACAACCAAACTGTTACAACAGTTCAGGTGATCTATTGGAGGGCACCATCTCTAATTTCTCACAACCCAGCTGAGGCTCATTATCTTGGCATGTGGTTAATGGCTTTTCTTTGATCCCATGAGAATCGGTCAAAGTCGTCTTATTAGCTCCTGCTGCTGGACTTGATTTAGGTCATCCAACCATCAACCACTTCTATTATACATGATGAGAAAGAAAATGAAGTACCTGACACCCTTTCCACACAAATTCCCAGGAGAGCCAAACATAAGGTAGACCCAGAAGCAATTTTTTACTTATGCTGCTTCTGTAGGAACTAATTATGTAACACAAATCGGAACTCATTTCATAAGCCAGAATCCATGATTGCAGAATGACATTCCAAGACTGTTGTGCTCTGCTTCTCTAAGCATTGCATTTCTGAAGGTTTATTCTTTGGATAATAAAGTGCACTGGTGTCTTTTTACAAGTATGTGCAAGTGACTTCCACAAACATGCAAGTAGTGTGTTGTTACAGTTACTCAGTCTAATAGCGAACTTGACGAATGAGTGCCAACAGGACTGTGACCCAGAGGGAGCCACTGAGAAATGAGAGGAGGATGTCAGCATGCTGAGAAAAAAAAAATGATTGGGAGAGGAACAAACCGAGCTGTTACCCTCCCCACCAAAAGCCAGCCCAATTTGGTCTCTACCTGCAGAACACAGGTGGTCTCTGGGGCTCATGGACAAAAAGTCATGCAGTGGAATAGAATGGAGTGTCCTCTAGGACACCCTGGCTGGAACATAGAAACAGAGTGAGTCAGAAAGGGTCTCCCAGGCCATCTAGTCTGACCCCTGGCTCCAGCCCACTCTGCTTATGACATGTCTACCATGTGCATGTCAAAATGGAGCATTGCATATTGCCACATGTTGTCAGTCCCATTCTTTTTCAACTTTATTGATTTTTTATCTTTATTGATTCTCACCCACTCCTATAGATGTGAGCTGATTTCACACCAAAACAAAGAAAGGAGAAAGCCCAAGATATATGGTACAGCTGAACATATGGTGAAAGGAATGAGTCCTTTGATGCACCATACATTCCAAACTCCATGCAGAAATACTCCTTCTTACTCCTTAACTATCTTCCTGCCCCCAAAGTGACTGCACTTTAATCTGAGCAGCACACAGCCTGGGACTCTTGCAATGCTGCACAGGATTCTGGGCCAAGGCCTCTGACACTGAATACCTCCCCATGCCTTAAACAAGCACAGCAAAGCAACCTGACACCCAAAACAACACATGCACAGGGCTGGCTTTGCATGTAGTCTACCCACCCTAGCTCAAGGGGGGGGGGGCAGAGTGGAATACAACTGGTGCTCAGCCAAACTACCCATTACCCTGGATGTCTGGGGAAGAGACAAACTAAATGAGGAATGCACAAAGTATTCTGACTTCCGTAGCACACATTAAGGTAGCTGAATAACCTAAACCAAATGGAATGTATCTATAGCTGTCTCAATCTGGATCCGGATCTGGCTGACCAGCCAAGAAAGAGTTAAAAACCTAAGAACATAAGAAAAGCTACGCTGGATCAGACCAAAGGGCCATCTAGTCCAGCACTCCATACACACAGTGGCAAATTGGCTGCACACAGGATCCTTCAAGCAGGATGGGTGCCAGACCTCCTCCTGCCCAGCTCCTCAGCAACTGGTGTGTGCAGGCCGGCCACCTCTGGTGAGGGAGGTAGCCTGTAGCCTGCGAGGCCAGTAGCCACTGATAGCCTTATGAATCTACCCAATCCCTTTTCAAAGCCACCCAGATTGGCTGCCATCACCTCTTCGCATGGCAGCAAATCCCACAGTTTAACTAAACACCTTGAGTGAGCTTTGGCAGGCATTAGCCTGAAGCAGGAATGTGCTTGCTTTCCCACTGTAGTTTTGCAAAGGGCAACCCAGCACAGCAGCTGAAACAGAGGGAAGCGGGACTCTCCCACACATGAGGATGGTTGTGCATGCATTAAATGTCTCAGAGCAACAAACAGTATGAACAAGGGAAGGAACACAAATCAACAGCTGCCAACAAGTTTCTCATTTGCAGCTGAGTTCACAGGCATGGTTTTTGCTGATGTTTCCAGTTCCAAACTCTGGGGAAACCCAAGAGAGAAATGTGTTGTGGTTATAAGATCCAAAAGTGCCCCAGACACCTTATTAGCAAGACATGAAAATGACTTCATTCACTAAATGACTCAAGTGTTGCTGTTGCCATTGCCCAGCTTTCTCTCCCACACCATAAATTAAACTTGGTTGATAAGATAATGTTATTTGTGGAAAGACCTCAAATTAACCGTAGCAAGACCCTTTGTGGCAAGGACCCCTGGAGAAGATATAATTACTTGTGCAATCCAAGAGACACAATAAAACACAGGAGAGAAGTTTCACTCAAAATAAAACATCTTAAAGTGCTGATGACAGGCTTCAGAAGCAGCATGTACATATAGCCAACAACACAAAAGAGATGCTAATATAAGGAGAGGGTGGAAGAGAAAGAGAAGGACAAGGAACATTGCCAGGGCTCCTCATTTCTGGGCCTGAACATTCAGATCCTCAGTAGTTATTCTTTATATACATGTTACTTGCAATTGCAACAAAACAAAACAAAAGATGGGGGAAACAAAGGACACCAACCAGGAAGAACATAATAGAAATCATAGATCTTCACTCATGGAAGCTCTTGACACTTACTTAAGTTATAAGGAGAGGATTCCCCCATGCTGTAAAGAACAAAAACTCCCGCAAAAAAATTGGCAGGGGAGTATTTTATTTATTTTATTTCTAGCAGGGAAGAAGTTAGGGTACATGCACAATGAGCTTGAGTAGCTGTGTTGGCCCACAGTCAGCCTATAGACTGAAAAATTCCCAATCCCTAAGAAACCAGAACTTAGTGCCATGTGTGAATGCAGTCAAAACTAACTTCTTCCATCAGTTTCAGTGGAACACAGGCCTAAACTAGAGTGATGTTAATTGTGTGACAACAAATAATGTGCATTCTTTTATTGTTTACTATTTTATGACATTTCTAAGTCCTTTTCCTGTGAAAAGGCCTGAGCATCCTGAGGATCATGGGAGGCGAGGTGGGATGGTCTCTTTCTCTCCTTGGAACATGCCTAGCAAACATGGTCCTTTCGAGCCGCTAGCTGTAATTCAAAGGACACTCCCGCAACATATAAATGTTGCTTTGCATGTCAGTTGCACCTAAAAGAAATTAGCACATAAGCTACCCTTATGCAAACAATGCCTCTTCTAGTCTGACCCCAAGTCACAGCTAGCCTTAGTTTGATCCGGGTCCAAATGTTTTCCAGGCAAGTACTCAGTAGGAAGATGCCCATTCCTTGTTTGAATGACAGGCCTTGGAAGCAGGTGCCTACTCATGAATCAACAAAACAAAAAGTGAACTGCATCACCAAACAAAGATGTGCATTAAAAGCTGAACGTACTAACTGATATGTACAGATGATCATTCTGAAATTATTCTCATTTAATTAGAAACACATTACATCCCACCACAGAGAAGAAGACTGTGACCAGATGCCCTGTGGGCCCACCTGTTTGCTCAGTTATCCCTGACACTAGTTGGCAATGCTACTTATGGTTCTTCATCTTTACAGCAGAACTGGACACAAATAAGAAACCTTCCAACAGAGAACTCTGGCAGCCCTTCAGATGAGGGATTGTCCACTGTAAACAAGGACATATGCCTACCCTGGTGGGAAATTTGATAAAATGGGGCTTCTTTTTCCTTATAACACTATAAATATTGACCTATCTATTTCATGAATCCAAACTATTCAGGGGATGGGGATAGAGACCATTTCTATGAAATGCTGAACATCAGCAATACTGGTTTTCCAGGTGTAATAATCTGTTGAAAAATCAGAGACACTGGTTTGATATACTGTAATCCCTGCACACTTTCATGACAGCAGCCTTTATCCCCATGAAAAAATTCACACTGAAATTGAGGGAGACTTCGAAGGAGACTCCAGGCAGGAGAACCCTCATCAGTTTTACACTTCATCAAAATCTCCATTTCCCGCTTTAAGTAGGTCCTTTGCATGCATGCATGCATGCATGCATGTGGTAGAGAATGATGTGGAAAACACATGAAGGTGATAACACAGCAATACCCCCAAGGCAAAGCCAGGCTTTTCAAAAAATGCAACTCCCGTTTATAAGATGAAATGGCATTGAAAACTCATACTAGAGGATAAATCATCAAAGATAGCCATCTAGATAGTATGTGTAAACTGGAAGTGCTCCAGAGAAGCTTGTGCAGGGAAATTTAAATACTATAGAAAATGGGATCCAAGACACCCCAACCTCTCCCAAATTTCTTGCTCATTGCAGTGCTGTTTCCTTTATGCCTTAAAACTTAACCGTGAACCTCAGTCATCTATCCACACAGCCCCACAACAGGGTTGTGCTAGAGTGCAAGGAAGATATGGAAATTATGAACTGGCTTCCTTCTATATGTAGCTAGCAAAGTGTTCATCATTATTATGAGCAGAGTAGAAAGCTGACACATGTAATTTTGAAGGGAGGACACGAGCATTTCTATGCACTCCGAGAAACACTGAGCCTATCTCCAAAAGTTTTCTCTTACTTAACGTTGACTAGCTGGTTTGGAGGAATGGGCTGCTGCTCCCTTGTGTCCCCAGATGCCACGCCTTAACTTGGGATCAGATATAAACCATACCAGGAAAGAGCAACCTGTAGAACATCAGACGTCACTAGACTAGAACATGCATCAATCCTAACCCTTCACCATATTGGCTGTAGTTGATGGAGCAGCTGCCAGATATGCAATGCCCTGTGACCAGTGAGGTGGGGGGCTGGTGGCCACATCAATGCTACTAGGAGCCCAAGGGACACTGGGGTCAATGCCAGCAGCAATGGCCAATCATCATCATCATCATCACTATATCACCCGTAGGCAAAGTTCTCAGGGCGGTTCACAACATTCTTTCACCCACCCAGATTTCAACCAGGCCTGGCCTTGCTTAGTTTCCAAGATTAGGCAGGATCGCTCTGCGAAGGGTCCACACCGCCCTGATGTTGGCCCCAGACATCAGAGCACAGCCCTTGCATGCTAAGCATTTGAATGGCATGCCATAAACTTCTACAATATTAAATACTTCAGGGAATACAATATGTCTTGCCACAAACTTCATTTACTGTTATGCACAGTTACAAACACAGGACTCTTTAATAGATATTCCCAAGGTACTGGATTTTCAATTCAATTAATGACAAACAACACCTTCTTCCTTTCAGGGAAAAGGCATGTAATCCCACATAATAAGTAAAACAATTAAAAGTTCAATCTTATGCATATTTAGGCAGAAATAAATCTGTCTAGCATGCCCCGGCCCATCACTCTGTCTAATCGTGCCAAGGATCATACAGTGTTTGTTTCTTCTAAAAAGGAAAGAGAAATACTTACCTGGTAATGGACTCTTTGCGCAGTTGAAGTGACTGACTGCAAATCCTGCAGGGAGGAAGCCCAGTGGAAACAATTATTAACTTAAAGCCTGTTATATCCTCTTCCCTATGCAAAGATCTCAGACCTCTTTCTCAGACATCAATACTATTAGTGTCATCATCACCATCATCATCATAACACAATGGCACCCCCCCCCCCCCCGCACACACACACAAAGCTTCATTAAAGGCCATGTGAGCTGGGTAGCTGTGCCAAATCAGGGACTTTTCCACAGCTCCCACCACCTCCTTTCCACCAACCCTGACCTTTGCAGTGGGAGGAAAGTTCATGCTGGTTTCCTCCCATCATAGTGGCAGGTACAGGGGTCAGAGGGGTGGTTTGCAGCCCCCTGATCTCTTTTAGCCTTCTCTGTATTGGCTATTTGCTTAAAAACAGACAGACAGACAAGTACATCCTGGTTGAAGATGTGCACACTGTCCCTCACATCCCCTATTCAGGCAGTCCAAACCTGAACCTAAACATGTAAGGGGAGAGAGCACTTCCACCATGACTTTCCCATCACACAGAAGGCAGCAGTCTGAGATGGAAGCGTCCCTGTCCTCCCCATGTGATCTAGAACATTCTGGATGGCCCGGAACAACTCTGTAAATGCAGGTGGTTCTCTCCCACACAAAGCCGCCCCCTAGAGGCAGAGGATAGCCACACAGTGGGGATGGAAGCCCATCCTCCCTTTGCCCCATTCAGTTTAAGAACTTTTGAACAGGGCTATAGTGTGGGCCTTCCTGAGAGCACTCTGCTCTTGAGGAGCACGGAGCATTCCTTGCATCTGCTCCATGCTGTGGCATGCAAAGGTCTAGATGAAGTGCCAATGTGTGCCCGGTCCTGTCCTGCAGCCGTAGTGCAATGCTGACTGACTGTGTTCCGGCCCAGCCATTCAATGGAAATTAGAAAGCATCCAGGCATTTAAAGCCCTGTTGGGCTTATAAGCGATGTGCCATCTGGCTGCTGGTGCTCAATAACTTCTCATTACAAGCACTCACTGCTCCAACTGGCTTCTATATATAATTAGCAATGTGCCCTTTGAAAGTCTATAGCCAGCTGGAAATACTTCTCTGGTATAATTTACCAAATGTTGTTCATTGCCTTAGAATCAGGTTTCACCTAAAAGCTAAGGGTGTTTGGTCCTCACCAATTCCCCCTTCACATTCCATTGCTCAGCCCAGGATTCCCTACATTTCCTATGCCACCAACAAGAGGCCTGGCAACATAGACCTGCTGTGGCTTCAAATACATCAGCCAGTGGCACCAAGAGAGGCAGGACTATACCAACTGGGGTGCAAAGGAAATTGCAGAAATGACTACATCAGAGGACAGTATCACCATCTGTATATTTGTGTTCCCATTACTGTTGTTGTTGTTGTTCATTGCATTTCTGTTCCTCCCATAGCCAAAGCTATCTGGGCAGTTCACAGCTTTATGTCACCCATCCAGATTTCAACCAGGTCTGACCCAACTTAGCTTCCAAGATTAAGCAGGATCAGGCACTCAGGCCATACAGAAGCAAAAACTGTAACATCAACATCATTTGCAGAAACTCACCTCTTCTAGGCGATCCACATACATACGACAAGTCTCCAAGTCACAGTCTCCTCGGACAACTATAATTCCCAGAGGAATAGCTACAACAGTAATAATAATTTATTGTTATCATCTCTATTATTATTAAGAACAACAGTGCAGAGCAAGAGATTCACAGTGATTTCAGTTAGCATATGGGTGTCTTCTTGGAAGTAAATCCCATTGAGGCCATTGGGATTACTCCCACATAGTATCTAATCTGGACTGAGACCTTACCATGGGGATAGTGAGGTTTTGGGATATAGATGAAGGGCCTGCATCTTCTCTAAAGGAAGAAAAAAGTGCAGATGCTGGAAAAGTAATAAAAGTCTTATTTTCTTTGGCCCTGGGAAGGGCTGATCCCTCTGCAATAAGAAATACATCGTAAGTCTTGAATGCACAGCATCTTCTGATTCTGCTGGCATCATCAGTAGATGCAACTGGGAAGCATCTCTCCACAGTTTATGACGAATCCTTTCCAGATCATTGTACCAGGATGGATAAGTCCTTTGGGTGCATCCCTTTCATTTGTATTAACCACAGATAAACCTTGCTCAGAACTGTTATGGAAACTTTCAGTGAAAGCAAATGAAAACAATTTTTTCCATCACTTATGCCCTACTAAGTAAGGGTATATGAGAATTTCAGAGGGAGGGGGTATAAATTCACATTTTTCTGGTTCAGCCCTGGAGATGTTATTTCCCACCCACTGGAGTGAACTTGAGCTTTTGCTAGGCAAGCCAGATTGTGGATTCTGTACTTTTTAAATGGTGGCAATTTGTCTAATTGAGGAGGGGGGTGCAGTCTCCATTTGAACTGGTGACTGAGTTGAGGTATTTAAATCTTTCATGTTTTCAAATTTTAGGACAAATTGAAGGATTGCTATTGAATGATTAGGGTGTCCTAATTTACAGAAGACAGTCCTCTGTTTTGGAGAACTGAAAGTCTATTCTTTGAAGCAGTTCTCTCTTTGAAGTTGTCCAGTTGTGCACGTCTAGTATAAAGTCATAGTTCCGTAATAGGGAAAGAAGGATCCATGCAGTTTCCTCTCCACAATTCACACCTGGACAGTAGTATAAGCAGCGTCAGGTCACCTGTCCATCTCCTGGACCATAGTGAGATGCATTTCTATTTAAATTATAACTGCTTTCTAAAATTGCACTTACCCACATACATTTGCATGTGCAGATATAATACAAATTGGTGCCTTCTTTTGCATTTGTTTGTTTTCACTGAGGCAATTACTCTCTTTTGGGAATGCATAAATGGCCAAATGGTAGATGAACTGCAGAACCTAGTGCAGGGCAATGAGAACCATCGATTTCATTTTGCCCCCAGTATAGCAAGACACTGGGGCATTGCAGGAAATTGAAATGGCTCTAGGGGGGGAAATTAGAAGGGATGGTGAAGCAGGGACTGTACACTGGGCTATTCTATAACACTTGCTCCTTCTCTCCCTGGTCAGTGCTTCTGTTCAGTGCACTTCAGGCTTTAGCTTCTAGACCGAGCCATCAACTTCATGCCTGAGATGCTCAAAGATTTGGCCTGGTCCGCCTTTGCAAGTGTCTGACCGAATGAGCACTTCCAGCACTAATATGTATCTGTTTTATTATCAATTTCTCTGAATTTGATATACAGTTCATAGCTCAGAAATGCACAAATTTTTGTATTTGAGGATAAAATGCGTTCAAATACTTTCATCGAAGTATTTAAATGTAAATTGCCATGCATGCTTTTTTAATTTAAATGTGTGCATCTGATGCAAGAGCCGAACGGACAGGAGTTATGAATAAGCACATGAGAATTGTCATTGGCCAAAATTCAAGTGATCCACCCATCCGGCTTTCGGATCCTGAATTTCTGGACACGCCCTCTAGTTCTAGACTACAGCCTGACCCAGCCTAACCAGTCTATACACAGTAGAGAAATACCGTCAGGCAACATTTCTCAATCAAAGTTAATTGTGCAGATGCCACATATATGGACAAAGCTACTTATTTTGCATGTATCGTTATATTTCCAACACACATTTTTTAGAGAATTCTGAGATGGAGGAAAGATTATTTCAACTAGTAGATTTAGAGGCCTTGGAATTATAGCCAATGGGATGGGATGACCCCATCGCTTCATGATTAAATTCCTCCCCGGGGACTTTTCAGTTTCTGTGATTTTACCAGGTGCTAGTCACACATTTTCAGGCTCCTGTCCTCAGCTATCAAGAGCAGTAACCACTTTTAAATATTTCAAACTTGAGATTTCACAGAATACTGAAATCCATATAGCTCTGTTCAGGAGTAGCATATGAGCAGTGAACTACATCCCACACAGGGAGCATGGGGTACGGTCCTGCCCTCCTTTAAAGCATGCAGGAAGTTCCAAACTGGATTAGACCAAGGGCCTACCTAGCCCAGCTTTGTGTTCACACAGTATCCAACCAGCTGCATGTGAGGAGAGCCACAAGCCAGGTGTGATTGCAATGGGACTCTCCTTCCTAGCCTTCCCTCTCTACTCTCAAACTCCCTGAATCAAGTGGGAAGGTCTGAAGGGACCTCAAAGGGCTAATGAGATTCTCCATTCATAAAATAATTGCACATGTTTTGACCAATATAGCCCCACTATAATCTTGTGTATTTTGGACTTTCAGTGGTTGAATATTATAGAAACAAAGTTCTCTTTCAATGTGTATGCCTGACATTATTAAATAGTGTTACATTTATTCCATCACTTCAGGAATTTAGTGCACAATTGTTATCCTTCAGGCTGTTTCTGGCCAAACTTATATTCCACAAATATTTGTGGAATTCTTCCCATTAAAGGAGTAACCACAATATGCTAGCTTTCAGTTTTGATGTCCATGAAGTATTTCCTTGTAAAATCAAACCCCCATCTTATGGACAACTAAAGTTGATACAACATTTGCCATTTGAACATGGATGCCACTCCAAAATTGTTCCCTCAGTGGAAGCTCCGACATCAGGATGCAACCTTATATCTTTAATAAACTGAACTGGTTATTTACATGGATTTATCCTTTGGAAATAATTTGGTCACACAAAATCTCTGCCTCAATGGAGGAAGTTAGATTCAATTACCTCTAATCTGCTCCCCATATCTACATCCCAGGGCATACATCTCCCACTTAAAAGAATTATTTGCCATTCCATGATTAGAAGGCAGAATTTCTCTGATATAGAAAGGGGAAAGTAACTGAATAAAATGATAGAGAATATAATAAAAATTGAAATATTAAGTAAACATGTGTGTTCCCCTAAAAGGACAGCATGGCATCATTTAATTGCTCAGTAGGATTTCAGAAATGAGTTGTCTACCTCCAATGGAGTCAAGATTAATCTTCTCTGAACAGCATTTATGACGAGTTGTTAGATGCAGAAGGGTAAAAAAAATCAATTTCAGATGAGGCCAGTGATAGAATCAAATTGGTATTTCAAGCAAACAAGAGGAGCAAAATTTATTTACTCTGAGTTTGGATGATCCAGGTTATTACACTGGTGTCAGACTTTTTGATGCTCCATCATGAAGATATGTCTCAGGCAAAAATTTAATAGCTTTCCTGCCGTGCTCCCAAAAGGATAATAAAATGGCTTATTCTTAAACTAGTTTCCATGTTCTGATACCTGTCATCTCATGCTTATTTAGTGGGGAGAGATCAAAAGGGGAGCATTAGGAAAGAGTCATGACCTTACACTGGAGACTGATTCAGAGCAGTCGTGCAGAAGAGAGATATCCTCACAGAGCTACGTTGGACCACATGATATGCCATGATTAATCTTGAGGAAAACAAACCACCATATGCCTCACACTCGTGCACTCCCCATTCCCAGCAGAAAGCTTTTACTTCCACCAAAGCGGGCAGAAAGCTTTTACTTCCATTTTTTATTAATCTCAGTTTAGAGTTACGGCTGAACCCTAAAACAAGATTAATCTTAGCTATGAATTGTTCATATAAGCAAGCTTCATAACCCATGAACTGAAGCTGACTGGTTTCAAACAAACCAGTTAACATTAAGCTTGTTGGGTCTGAATGACATGCTAAGCTGTGGTTCATTAAAAACAGAAGCAAAAGTTCCCAATTGTTCGTTTTTGGCTTCACTGGGGGAGGGGAGGGGAGGGGAGGGCTGTGTGAGCCCAAAGCTGCCTACACCTTATCCCTATATCAATAGACCAGAGTTTATCATGACATCCCAACTAGTGCATTGGGTTGAGAATCTATTGAACGCATCAGGCTCCAAACTTACAACACTGAATAAATTTTCTTTCTGCTATGCAAATTAATTTGGTGAGTTTTTCTTCTCCTCCTTTTTCAGGCAAATTGGTTTTTTGTTTTTGTTTTATTTCCATAATAAAGGGTTCATTCAATGACATTATCTTTCTATCCTCCACCCCCCCTCCACCCCAGAAAAGAAATAAATAGAGCTGCAGACACTTGTTGGTATAATTTGGATAATTTAAAAAATGCTTCTGCCCCAGGAATCCCAGCAATTATCTTGGTAAATAATGTCCCATAAACCTATGATGAAGCCTTTAATTTTTCTGGGTAAAAATATATGACAAGAGCTGGCAAAACCTTGTTAGAAAAATCTGTATATTCACTGAGGCCATCATAATTCAACTACAGGCAAGAAGCATCCGTGAAAAAGGTGCACGTAAGTTTGGGAGCCGAAGGCTGTCTAAACAGAATAGCCATACTTCCACATGAAGATAAGTAAACCAATTAGAAGATTTGCCATCCAGTAATTACCAGGGAATCCCATATTAGAAAAAGGAAGCTGCAGCTTTGTTACATAACAACAGCTTTCCTTGTAATTGAATATGAATAATGAGCCAGATGCAAAAACAAGACTCTATTAAGCTGTTATCACAAACAGCCACATCCTGCATTGATTAATGGCTCAGTGTGTGTCACCAAGGAAAGGGACTTCATTTGAAGGTGCTGTCATCAGCTCATCTGACCTCTTTTTTTAACTTCTATACCATTTGTTGAATGAAACCATTCATTATTGTGGCACTTTCTCCAGAAATTATGCATTGTTTTCCCAGTGGGGTTCTGTGGGGTTTAGACTGATTGGGCCTCATCGGAGATTCAGTGAAATTAATGGAAATATTCTCAGTGACTACAGGGAAGTTTGTGTTGGGTCATTAATACTACAGAGACAGGGTCCTATGTGTATTTCAACAGAAGAAAGTCCTACAGCTCCCAGCATGCTCCAGTGAGGATGGCAAGGTGCATGGTGGTGGGAGGAGCTTCTGTCAAAGCAGGCGCCCCAGGGGGCTGGCAATGCCTCTTTCAAAATGGTGGTGCAAAGCAGGCACTCCAAGGGGTGCAGTGCCTCTTTCAAAATGGTGACAAGCAAGACCTTGTGCTGGGTTGGTATCCTAGCTTTGTGGGGAAAGATTGCTACGAAGGCACACAAATCATGTTTGATGTTTCCCCCATTAAAAAGCAAAACCTTTTCCTGGCAGCAGCTATGAGGGGCATGCATTTATCTGCCCTCTGCTAAGAATGGGAAAAGACTCCCAGGCCTCACCAGTAGTGAGTGGCCAAGTTCCTAGGAGTGCGCGAAACCGTCATGCTCAGTTTCACTCAGGTTCTAATTTCTTCCACCTCAGGCCTGCCATCAGACTGCGATTTCTTCTTCATCCACATGAAAATTTGTAGATATTTCTCTGTACATATTTCTCTGTACTTATTGTTCAAAGGTATGGATTTGTGTGTGCGCTTTCTCTGATGTACATATTTTAAGAGGTTCTCCCATTGAAGAAATCATTTTTTCAGAAGAAACCATTTTATGAAATATTTGCCACTTTTGTGCTCACCATTTTAAATGTGTACATTTTTTACATTCTTTTATGAACTGTGTCACAAACTTCAGAAATGGCAGCTTTCAATGGGAAATTGTGTTATGATTCATGATTTGGCTTGGAAAGTGCATACATGGTTAAGTTCTAATTGAAACGCAAACTATATAAATTTCTCACCCATTGCTATTAGTTATTAAGTCCAGCTAAAAGATGTGATCCTCTGACCAAGGAACAACATACATGCAGTAGGAAAACATTATTTCAGTTCTCAAAAAGTTACATCAAATAGCCTCTTTCCCTTTCCCCCTTCTTTCCTTTGTAACTTACAAGCTTCACGGAGTTTTTCCTTGTCATAATGCAGTCCCTCATAATCTTGTAAACTAATTCTGTTCACTCTGATCCGTAGGCGTTCCGGGATGGCGTGGGGGCTAGAAGCAAAGATGAGACATCTGTCAGAAAATAATGTAGGGTCTAATCTAGAATAAGTATCCAAGAGATAGATTTTAACTTTCCCAGAATAAGCAGGAATGGGAAAGAAGGAGCAGAAGCCTTAGCGAAACCAGAGCCATACAGGCATTCAGTCTCAGAAAATAAGCCTTCTGCAGCTTACAGCTCACCTTTGGATACAGTGCAATGGTCTGCCCTTGAAGATAACAGAGATCAAAAGGGCTTTTTAGAATAAATTCAGCAACAGAAGCTCTGTTTCCATGAGAAATTTGAAAGGCAGTTGCCTGTACATTAAGACTTTCAGCAGAAGGCCTTCTGGGGGCACCCCAGCCACTTAGGGTGAGGCAGGGTACTACCTGAGGCTGGGCATCCTGGCAGCAGCAGCAGCACAGGTATGGAATGCTTTCCCAGACAGGTTTGCCTCAGACTTACCTTGCTGTCTTTTAGATGCCAGCCAACCCCCTTAATATGTTCCTAAGCTTTTTGGACAGCTTGTTAACTATCCCTGTGTTGAGTTATGAACAAATGTTTTAAAAAATAAAATTCAGAGGACTGTATCACAAACGGTGAAATGTGAATACCTACAGATAACTGTGTTTTGATTTCTACACTGTTTAGGAAGTGCAAATGAGATAGGCTCACATTAAAATGCAATCCAAACTATGTTCTTTTCTATTGCTTTGCTAGGTGCACATTAAAATGCAAGCCAGACTCAGTTCTCCTCATCTTGGATATGACAGGAAGGAATGAACTCTGTTACTGCACTGGGAAAGGTATAATTAATATATATAACTCCTTGCAAGCATTCACTAAAGAAATGAAATACATTTCTGGACTTTAGAGGATATCACAGAATTTTAAATTCTAAATTTGATAGAAGGATAGTTAGAAGGGGCCAAAGAGCCAGAAGGTCCAGCCCCCTGCTCAATGCAGGACACTGAGTTAAACCATCTTTTTCTCTCTAGCTGAAATCATGGTTTTGCTATTTTCCAGCCAAACAATAATTCACCCATTTTAAATAGCAGGAGTTGCATTGCCCAGGTACCCTCGGTTGTCAAAATTCTTTCCTTGCAAGTTAAGCTAGCAAGATTTGTCTGAGAAACAGCTGCACCCATAACTTCCATGTGGCTTCAGGCAACAGCTGTCTACCTGAACTGGCATTTGGACATTTCATCTAACTTAATATTTCTACCTGCTGCTCTTTGTAGGTAGACTTTTTGTTGGGGATTCATAACAGAAACAATGGAGGAGAAGGCAGACTTTGTACAAACACAACAGGCTGCATGCAAATTGATTTAGTCCCTTTCCTGAAAATATTTAGTTAACACTCAAAAAGCAGCTAAACAAGAAATAAAGATCAACATGATGGATTGCACTCTAAAGTTTAGAATAAAATAACATTTTCTGAAATTAAATATTGACAAGGCTTTAAAAATTATATGGGTTACTTTCTATTTCTCTTACAGTTAACTGTGGTTATTGTTTTTGGTATCTATTATTTGATTTTATCTTGTCCTTAGATTGTTACTGTCCTCCTAAGGTATTCTTTGAAAGAATGATGGCCTAAAAAGGTGATAAAATAATTTTTTTAGCTAAGAACAGATAAAAAAATGGTTCGAGTCTAAGAACATTTAATTGCATGGTCCTTCCCGAGGAGACCAAAGATATTCCAGCAATGTAACAATGAATAACTAAAAAACTGACAGGTTTGAGAACTGACAGATACAGAGCAAAATAAAAAATGACAGCACCCTTCAGTGTTGCTCAAATGGAACCTCTCTTCATTTTCAAATAAGAACATTGTCAGTGCTATCTAGGTATGTTGGTATCTGAATAAAATGAAAGTGTTTTTAACATTTTGAGCTCTGCTCAGGCCATTTGCGTAACTAGTAATTATTCCTCCCCCCAAAAATAAGGCCAGCATAGATCATCTTAGACCCAACCTAACACATAATTTTGCAGCTGTAGTATTAGGAGAAAGGAATAACTGAAATAATCATAAAGAAATAATTTTGATAGCCTCTCATGCTCTGTGATCTCCCCAATCTTTGTTAATAAACCTGGTAATGAACAAGATAAACAAGATTTTCACCTAAACAGTGCCTAAGATTTTCATCTAAACAGTCCAACAATGCACCACACTTCCTCTTGTGATCGTTGTGAAGCATTATTCTTTATTATACTACTTAATATTTTAGTAAGTTCCCCTCTACAATATTCTGCTCCATGCTCCAGCGGTATCCCTGGTTGTCTCCCGAAAATCAACCAAGATCTCCTGGCCACTGAGAGTGCTTCATGCCTCATGCTTATTGTACTCCTATTTGGGGGGATTTTCTTTGGGATTCCCCTAATATTTTCTACTTCTGAAATCCTTAGAGTCTCCCCAAGTCCGCTGATCCCTCTTTATTTTATGTAGATGCTTATACAATTTGTCTATGTGAACCTCACCTTTGTCTGTCAAAATCAGAGGGAATGGTTATCACAACATAAGACTCAGAATTATCAAAAGGCTCCTATATCTTACTCCCTAGTTCTATAGGATACAATGGATGAAACACACTCTTAGAACAGAGAACACATTGCATTTACCTTCAACAAAATAAAATTCAAACTATGTTTTTGTATATGAGTTTTCACTCCATTGCTTGCTAAGGAACAGGCAGGGAGCAAAACACTTGTTTTCATTAGGAGCAGTATTCATGATACTGAGCACTGTGGGAGTTCTGTCTTGTATGCCAAGAACCCAGCTAAACACTGGAATTTTCAAAGTAGCGACATGATAGATTTCCAGCCTCTCATTTCTGTTTTCAGCATCTTTTGGCCCAGCACGACACCCAGATGCATGCATTTTGGCAGCATCAGAAGGAGCCTAGTGAACTCGTGCACAAAATGAGTTTGTACAAGAGCAAAGTCGGTAACCATAAACATTCTCCCCAAGCCTATTTTCCTTTGTATTGCAGACAGTTCGTGTATTTATCTGTTTAAACCACTGTTACCACATGAGAGCTGGAAAGGACTTGAGAGTTCAAGTCCAGTCCCCTCTAGATGCAAGAAATCTGCCGCAACAGCTTCCACAGGGAATCTCCATCCATCCTATACCTGAAAGAGTCCTAACCAAGGAGTCTGCACAACCTTCCATAGCAGTTTGCTTCTCATTTGTTTGAGCAGTTCATACAATCAGGCTGTTTCTCCTCATATCTACCTGCAAACTCCTCCCTTGAACCTGTTGATTCCTAGCCTACCCTCTCAAGCAACAAAGAAGAGACAAGTGGGCCGCTAGAGGGTCCTTTCTTGATTCCCCAATTGTTTTAGATTTTAATAAATGACTTGGACTGATGCAGATCATATAGGCAGATGACACTACACTGAAAGGGGTAGCTAGCACCTTACAACATGGTCTAGATCTCCAAATATTTTGGCCTTCAGCTTACAGAAGTTCTGGGCCCGGCTGGCATGGACTTAGGGGAGCTGGAGTCCAAAACAGCCTGGGATCTATGCTCTGCCCCAGATGAACAATATACATTTCAACCAAGAAGTATTTAAATGTTGTAGGAAAGTTAGATGCACAAAGATCAGAGAGGTGGAAGCTGTCTCAACAACTTTAAATGTAAAAATACTAATTTAAAAAAAATAGCAAAGAAGTTCACAAATTAAATCAATGTATCCATCTAAACCAAAAAATAATATAAACACCACAGTTTAACAAACACCCTATTGAAGGTAGAATCAAGTTTCAACATGTCTTTGAAAGGAAAAAAAAAATGGACAATACAAATATCCCCCAAAGGGGTCTGAATGTGATCTGGCAGTACATTCCATGTGGAGGATAACCTCACCTGCACATGCAATGCATCTTTAGCAAGATCCTCTTGGTAAATCTTTTTTGCTGTGGGGTCTGTTCATTTGGGAGGAGCCATTCCTCAAGCTAATCAGAATTCTGGTTATCTAACTCACCACTGTAGTTGTTTTTATATATCTGTGAGAAAAACAGCTCAAGCCCATTCACAATCAAGCAGCCACATTTTGCACCAAGAGAAATTTCCAAACGAGCTAGCCCCACATTACACTATTTCAGCCTGGAGGTCACTAAAGCTGAAAGGTCAGTGTCTATGTTACTGTGTTCCAGTGGCAGGAAAAGCCAATATCGTAGCTGCCAAATGGAGAAAATCCTCCAGGCTGCAGCTACAATCTGGGCCTCAGGAGTATTGCTACAACTAGGATTGCCCCAAACTACAGATCTGAAACAGGTTTCTCCAGCTAGCAATTTTCTCAGTTCCCCTAGCAGTTTCTGTTTTATCTACATCGTCTCCTGATATGTTCAGCTCTCCAGGCTGGCATGAAGCAAGTCTCCTGCTTCCTTGCTTAGACACATGTAGAAGTCCAGAAGAGATGAATTCAGCTCTGATGCTAAGAAGCACCTTAATGAAGAAACTTGGGGCTCCAACAACGCCAAGTAAATTACGCAGGTTCTCTTGAAATGCTGCCCTGGTTCTATTTTGACTTTGCATTTCTGACTCCAGTGATATATGAAAGAAATAGAGATAATTCAGGCTAGTGGATGAACCCAGAACATTCATCTGACATCCCGACATTTCTGCTGCAACATCAGGTTGATTCCACCTGGAAGCGGACCTTTAATTAAAACACATCCTTATCTGCCTTCCAATTATTTACAAGTCCTGTGAACCATATCTTATCCTTCATGTGTCTGTATGTAGAAAGACAGCAGAAGAATCCAGCCCCTGATTTCTGACAGATTAAAAAAAAGAAGCAGCAGCTACATCACACCGCTGAAATAACAACATGGCTAATATGATTCAGGAAGAAATCTGCCTCCTTTAAAAATATCCCTCCAAATTAAACTTCAGAAAATGCAAAACTCCCCTGGGGCATGTTTGCTGTGACAGATTAATGAATTACCATCTCCTGAAGAAGAAATAAACATGCAAAACTAATTAAATGCCCCTGCCTTTAGAACAATAGGAAGAAAGAAAACAGCAACCACAAAAGGAAAATAATTAACCTTGCTACTGAGATTTCATTGTCAGAGCCTAGCAGTGATACACTTGAAAAATGAGGCTGTATTTGACAATGCTTTCCTCATTCAAAAATAAAAAGATGCCATCACAGAAAGAAAGAGAGTTGTGGTTCGTTAAAGGCTAACATGTTAATTCTGTGGACCAAAGTACACCGTCAGATGTATGTTGTGTGATGACAGGATAGATAGACAGATAAGAGATAGAGAGAGAGATAAGCACAAATCCAAGATTAGCATAGTGATTATTCACAGCAGCCATAGCAGATTGTTATTGAATTTCTAGACTGGCTATACTAACTTAATGCTTTTACTTAGAAAGAAACTCGTGATCTCGACTGAGCCTAAACAGCATTATATTTATGGATAAATTCTGGATTCTAACACCTAGAGGGTTAGCCTGCTGCAGTGAAAAGGGGGGGGGGGTCATCTGGCTTAAGCCAACACAAGACCTTTGTTCTTTTTGATCACGTCTAGATTCTCAATTTCACACTTGACTACTCCTTCTGAAGTTCTTTGCTGAAGAACTGTGTGACATGCTTGTGGAAGGATATTGGCAGGATACCCACAATGCCTTTCTACTGTCTACACAGGACAAACAGGTCAGTCCCTGCTCAAAACAATAAACAGGCATGAATTTGTCATCAAAAATGGCGGCAGTTAGAAACCAGGAAGAGAGTGCTTTCAGAAAAAGAATGGAAGTCCAGCATGAAAGTACATGTTTTAGAAGATGATGATTTTTTATCATGCTTCCAAAGCAGAGATTTTCCAATGTTTTTCAGTGCCAGGCGAAGACCTTTTTATTCAAACGCTATTTTAATTGTTAATATTATTTATTTATTTTATTTTTGGGGCCAGGTATTATATTGCATATTATATTGTTTTATTCTGTCCTTATTTATTTATTATTGTGAGGTGCCCCGAGGCTTCGGCGAATGGAGTGGCATAGAAGCCTTCTAAATAAATAAATAAATAAATAAATAAATAAATAAATAAATAAATAAATGGAGAGCCTAGTGATTTATATTCATATTTGTATGCCGCTTTCACGAAAGGCATTTATTGCGCAACCGCACTAGCTCACAGACAACATTTTATGGGGACGTCCAGACATCTTCAGGTCTGTATCCCATACTTTTTCCTTCTGCTGGTTCCCATCATTGCTTCCATATTATCAGAAAAAGATATATTAAGGAAGAGAAAGTTGGATAGATACACAATGCCTTTTGATGGCTGGTGCTAGGAGCCCTCTGTCTGGAGGTACCCATAATCAACACAATATTTCATGTTATAGTAATTAAATGCTACAAATAAAAGTGCAACTAAAGAAAAAACAATAAACAATGATCAGTTAACATGTATTATATTACCATTGCAAGGGTAGTGTATTATCACCACCAAGTGCAGAAGTGCAAAAAAATCTTGGGAGGATTTTAATTCCCCTCTCAAAGGAAATCAGCCCAGTGGGGACTGAGCATGCTCATTGATAGCAGAGCAATCCTACAGGTGCTAGACTGTGTCTAAAGGCTTTAGGAATTTTTTTCAGATTCCAGATCAGGGAACCAAAAAAAAAAAAAAAAGCTCCATCCTTGGATATGGAGACCCAAATTCAGATCCACTCCTTCTGCCCCACAGCTGGCACAAAAGGAACTGCCCCACAGCTTGCACAAAAGGAACTGCACTGACTGCTTCTCTCAGGACATGAAAGCAGCTTCAGAAAAGAGTTGTCATAGTGGCAACTGCATTCCAGGGGCAAAGAGAGGAGGAGGAGGGTGCCACAAAATGCCATGTACCACAGGGGGCGGGGTGGTACATGGCACCTCAGCCTCCTTCAGTCCCCATCCAAAGCACCAGTGAGGTGGCCGCTGCGCTACTTTGCAGAGTGAAAGAAATGCAGAGTCCATCTTGGCTCCCATTCTTCTCCTGCTCTGCATAGGATGCCTGTGAATCTCAGAGCCCAGCAGGTCACAGGCAGCCCCATGAGGTGGCATTCTAAGAATGCTGGCTGACTCTAGGAAGGGGTAGGAGCAAAGCAAGAGAAGGAGCAGAAATGAATTAGACATCATGGGACAGGCACTGATGGCTGGCTGGCACACTGAAAAGGAGCGTTCAAATCAGCAGCACTGTGTTTAATATGATGGAACAATTAGGTTATGTGCATTTATGTTCTGGGTTCCGTAAAATTATTTCCTCTCTCCACAGGACGCTTCAATATAACATTTCTGACTCAGTGCCTGCTCCCAAACCCACAGTGATGCTGTCTTCATTTCTACATAGGATAAGCTTTGAAGGAATTGAGTATTTGAGAATTTGGCATTTCCACATTAAGCAGAAGTGGGTTTTAAATAGGCTAAGTTATGCAAGTATTAACCTGGTGAGGCACTAAAGGAATTATTATTATTATTATTATTATTATTATTATTATTATTATTATTATAACATTTCAATCCAAGCCCCTTTGTTCTTGTTCTGGCATTTGTATGAATATGTATTGGCTATTTCAGAAATTAGTGATAATTAGTCATTTCTGAGTTTTAAAAATCACCACATTAAAATCTCCAGTTCTCACAGCATTATATAGGACCAGAAATGCCTAATTACTGTTTCTACTCAGAATGTAAATACAAACCAAACCAAATAAATAAATAAATAAAAACCCCACCATGCATTTCATAATTGTTCTAGTAGGAAATAATTATCACTCTACACTAGTAAAGAGAATCCAATGAATGCAGCAAGACCCTTAGTATGTGGGCAGCACTGATAAACAAAATATGTTTAATGTTAGCCAAATATTTACGAAAATCAGCATACAAGCTTTCAGTCTGTTGGTAAATTACTTTATAAGATGTAGGCATTTTTAATGACAACTCAGAGTTTTAAATATAATTCCAGGGGAGGTCACACCAATAAATGATATACACTGGCCAAAAATCTGTAGCCATTGCTATCCAAAATACTAATTCTGTAAGATGTTTTTTGACATTTGAACATTATCTACTGCCATTCATATTTCTCAGAATCAAGTCTTCCTTATTGCTCCAACAGGATTTCCAAAACACACATTTCCATGCTAAAGAAGAACATTTGAATCTCAAAGCAACTAGCATCTCAAATCCAATTTCCATAATGCCCCTTGGGGTTGTGCTTTAATTTATCAGACAAACTAATTGCCAGTCATTGTGCAGCTGCCTGATTAATCTATTCTTCTCAGATCTGAATATCTTTGACTAAGAAATTAGCCTGAGTTCCCTTTGCAAAAATTGCCACTCTCTTCATGCCTTGACCCGACATCTAAAATTAACTGGGATACTGAAAATATTAGAGAAACAAACAGGGAGGTCAAGAGGTTCCGAAATCAGCTGCAGACTAGTCTTCCCAGGAACCAACTTGAAGCTGTCCCTTTGCTAACCAATTTTTGGTAGAAGCAAGCACCATATCTCTGCCATGGTGCCACCAGGGCAGGACTTTGGGGCAGAGGTCCAGTGTCCCACTCAGCAGAATCAGCAGGAGGGCCCTCCAGTGCAGGAGGGCTACAGTAACAGATTTTGAAAAAAGTGGCACACGTTACTACCCAAAGATGGGGGTGAGGAATGTAACACCATACACTGGATCTAAGATCCAATCTCAGTTAATGCAAGGAGACTCACTGAAAAGTGCCAATGCCCAACTTGGGGGGTGTGGGGAAGGGTCCCTCTTCCCTACCTGCACCACAATTTACCCTGTTCAGCAGTTTCTCTTGAAGCTCTGAGGGCTAGAGATGTTGTCATGGGGCAGATGGGTAGGGAAGCCCAGCTGCGCACACCTAAATCTGGATCTAACTCCCCGAGTCCAGTCGAAGATGAACTAATGCCATCCCATGACTTTGTTTTAAGCCACACAGCAGCAATTCCATGTTCATTTAAAAAAAATGTTTAATTGATTCATATAGATACATCAACAAGCATGTTGTTTTGGAGAGGGCAAAAGTAAAGGGCCCTGCTCTGGGCATCTAACACATGCAGGGAAGGGTGGGGAGAATATACAATTATTTCACTGTCATGTACTTGGGTTTAATTACAATGGAGCATCAGGAGCTAGGAAAACCAAATCACAACAACTTAATACTATACCACCCAAGCAGTATGGCTATGTTCTGGCAGGTCACAAGTATGGTGTTCTGAAAAGTCAGCAACACCTGAATTCTGCCAGACTCTGCCCACCAGGTTCTCCAAGCCTTGTCCATGACTTGCTGGGTGCTCAGCCATTTTGATAGCCCCAGGTCATCAGACAGATTCTTCCCTGGCTTTTCTCGGAGAGACACTCTTTCCCAGCAGTCCTGACCTCACATATCCTCTGCTTCTCTCCCTCTCTCAGTTTTCTAGGCATTCCTGGACATGCTAGCTTTGTGTGAAAGTGCTTCAGGTTAACTGTAGGATGAATGGAGCCTCAAATTCAGTTCTGCTGGACTCTCAAGTCTGTTCCCCCAACATTGCTCAGGGGACCAGACATCCTTCCCTGACCCCAGACCCTTTCCCCAACTACTGACTGTTTGGGGGTTTCCTCATTTCCGTGCAGCCCCTCCCCCCATTCTAAAATGTTGAATTGCCTCTCCAAAGGTTAACTACTGGCACGTAAAAATAGGCTGCCTTGCCCCACCTTGCCATTGGCCCTCTCTGCCACTTGAGGGGTCTCTGAAATGGAATTTGTCCTCTGGGGAGGCTGAACACCCTGACAGGGGGGCAGGGCGGGGCTCAGGGAGCGGGGAATTAAAGGGAGGAAGAGAAAAGGTGAGTACTCACACGGCGAAAGAATCAGGGGGAGCTGAGACTCTCCTCAGGTCAGCAGAGGGCACCTTATGGATGCTACATGCGGCAGGAAATGAGCAGCCGGGAGAGGGTCAGCACAACAGCATGGACAGACAAGAAAAAAGCCCAGAGAGAGAGAGAAAGAGAGAGAGAGAGGAGACATACAACAACATTTAAACAGAAACAAAAGGAAGGCATCACACAGAGGCTAAATGGAGATGTATGCTAAGCTCCAGGGCAGCACACCCATCAACAGAAAGCCGGTGACAAATATCAGCAAGCACAAAGGAGGAAAATGGCATTCTCTGATTCAGTGGTGTGGTGACATTCTACGGTACGATGAGGCCTGAGGCTGGGTCTCGTACCTTGGCTGGGCTGCGGGAGATCCCTGGATCTCATGGCAACCAATGAGACACTGCAAGGGTTTGAACCATCCTGTAGAGCAGACATGCAGAACCTAGGCCAGGGGCCCATGTCGGCCTCCCATGTTTTCTCAGGTACCCACACCCCCTTCCCGTAGCCCTGACTCCATCCCAACCCACTTTTCTCCAACCACTGATAGGTGGCTTCCCAACTTTCCCACCATTTTCTTCCTTCCTCTCTCCGTTACTGGCAGCAAAAAATGTGTGCCAACATTTGCTAGAATTTTTTACCCTGCCTCTTTTTCCTTCAGCTCACCTACTACAAGAATGCAGCCCCACAAGAGCTGCTGCAGATTGGAATTCAGCCTTTAGGTTCAGCAAAGGTTCTGCACTTACTACAGGTCTTCATCCTAGAACTAACAGATGCAAACATCTTCTTTTGACAAACACTCCACCAGCACACACTCACGTTGCCGTTCAGTTCTTCCACTCCTCATCTGCCCTTCTCCCACATCCCTACTACTTATTCAGTTGCGGGTGTCTGCAGCTAGAAATATCAGGTTTTGGGCCAAACAAGATTTATTTCCTGTTAATGAGTCAAACAAGGCACAAGCTTAAAAAATGGCCCAGATGGAATCTGACAGAAGATGAACCCAGTATAAAGAAAACAGGTGATAGGCTATACTAATATTAGCCTTAGAAGGCAGATGCCCAGCCTTCCCCCTTGCCCTTCTGATATGCAGAAGTCTTCAAGACATGGTAGCAATCTGAACTCTTCATGGAGCCTCCTCCATGTCCCCTTCTGCCAAAGTGGCATCAGTGGTGTGGCAGAGAGATCCAGAACTACACTCAGAAGGGCACAAGGCTTTGGGCCCCTTGATGGCACGACCAGCTCTGATATAGTTTGGGAGGACTCTGAAAGCCATTTGCAAGCAAATGTAAAGCCTGCCATGGCCAAGATGCTCATTCATACTATAAATGCCTTTTTTATCTTTTTCTTATCATTATTTGGATAACAAAAATGGCACCATTCTCTCATATCCAGAAGTGCTAATGCATGTCAAAGAAGGCCAGCTATGTTTCACATGTGACCTCCTCCTTCATGATGTGTGTGTGTGTTTTGAGAAGGTGGTTTTTAGGACTTGATGAGGTTAACCAGCATTGGCCCAGGTATGAGCATCTGAGTCCAAAAGTGGGCCCCAATTCAGTTCTGAAGGTCATCTCTGACCTAAACCAGACTGAGCTTGCCCAGTAGCTGGGGAGGGAGAGATCATTTATGAATCCCTAGTTCTCCAGCCAGACCTTCTTGAATGTACAGAACAAACTGAGTTTTTAACATTTCAAATCTGGAGCTTTTAAAATGGAAATTGAAAGTCAATACTCATTCTCAGATGTCCCCCTTGACTATGTTCCAGAGAAGTACACTTTAAAGTTTGAATCAGAACACACTTGCTGGAAAGCTGGAGGCTGGTACATACGATGTTTCTCTTCAAAGTGACATTCAGATTATACATCAGATCCAGTTTTCCAGTCCACCAAAACTGCTGTATTGTCACTATCAAGCGAAACTTCTTTGCTTTCTCTTATCACTTTTTTTCCAGTTAGAGATTCTGAATTTAGCAGGCAATTCTGTTAATGATGCATGAGATAATGTGAAATGCAGCTCATTCTTCTTCAGCAAAATTGACTCTCTGATTAACTTCAGTAAAACTTTGCCACCAAATGTAACAGGCATGAGTCAGAAGACAAATGGACAAAAGATAAAGGCCATAAACAAATGTAATATCTCTTTGCTCACACTTATATCTCCTGTTCCCACCCCGCAATCCGGAAGGTGAAAATATTAACATTGTATGTTTGCAGCACTTAAAACTTCATCTCGATTTGTTCCTTCCTTGCACCCTCTGAAAGAACTATTATTTTAATGTAATATTATTGTTGTTTTTTATTTATTTCTTTTAAGGAACCTCTCTGAATGGTTTGCAACATATATGCTGATAAACAGAGAGCTTTTTGCAGAAAAAATAAGCAGTCTCAGATCACAATGAATGTAGTTGGTCTGACCAGCCCCAGCTTTCCTGCTTCGTGTGTTCCCCACAACAATACCCACAGTTTAGCTATCCTGAATTTAGACAGAATGGAGAAATTTCTCCCTCACCCCCACTTTGAGAACTGCCAGTCTTTCCACATCCGATTGAAGAATTGTTCAAGCATGAGAAGAAATTATTCCCATGCAGGTATTGTGTCTCCCTCTCAGGCCCAAGGCAGTTTCAGCTTTAGATATGAACCCCTTGGCGGGGTGCAGATAAGTGGATCATGGGCACCACCAAATTTCATCTTTATGTTTGTTGCCATGCTACATTAGGAACGTTGCTATCAATGAATGTGTGAGTGACTGTGAGAGTTTATTTATTGAATTTATTAACTTTCTACCCCACCTATTAGCCAGGATGACTCTCGGCAGCTTACAGAAATGTACAGAGAGCTGTTATATATCGGTATACTGAAGCTAGGAACAGGCAAATGAGCAACATTTGAGCTTGCCTAGTTTTTTCAGAATATCATCTTGCTGCTTGTCTCTCCTCAGTGTGTAATCACACTTACAATCATAATTCATTCTGCATGATCAGTAACATTTTGCAAACAAACCACTTTGTGAAAATTGCAGAGATTTCCCAAATTGTGCAAATCCTTCTCATTGATTAAAGTGTGAGTTAAAATGCGCACATTTTGAGTGGGCTGCACATTTTCCAAGTGTACATTCTGTGAAAATGAAGGAAAGTTTGGGAATTTATAAACAATTTTTAATGAACAAGTGCTCCTGTTCACCTTCAGGAGTGAGAAGAGGGAATTTTCGAGTAACTTGTGAACCCAAATTAAATTTCCTTAGATCTATAACAGTGTCTTCTGAGAAACACAGAGAGCTGCTCCAAAGTAGTGGAGCTGCTCCTTTATCTTCCATGGAATGCAGTTCTTCATACAATTCCACCTTATTTTATTTATTTATTATAGTCTGCCTTTTTTCTTTCTAGGAACTCAAAAAATCTCCTCCTCTTCTCATTCTTATCCTCAAACAACAACCCTGTGAGGTAGGTCGGTCTGAGAGTTTGGGACTGCCCCAAAGTCACCCAGTTGGCTGCATGGCTGAATGGAGACTAGAAGCTGGATCTCCGGAGAGGCAGCACAGCACTCTTAACCACTGTACCAGACTGGCTGTCTTTACATGGAGAATCTTTCCTAATATGACAGAGAATGGGGCAATGGCTTACACTGGTGTGGAAGGAAATTTTTCTGTTAACTTGCAAGTGTCCACACAGAAAGCAATATAATAAAACCAATAAAAAGTTTACAGGTTCACTCAAGTTATATTAAATGTGGACATGGTTTGCCAATTTAAAAAAACCCGTGCAAATATTATTCCAAACTCCTAAAGTTTAAACTAAGTTGATTTAGCAATATTTGCATGCCTTTTCACATTAGCTTTCTGCAAAGTTTTGTGGATGAACTTCAAGGAATGTTTGCAGATGGAAAACATTTTAGGTAAATATTACAGACTATAGAAAATATTTTCAGATTTGCTTTGCTTAGGGTCACTCCTATCACCTACTTTCATCTTGTGAAAGGAGAAGATAGGAATCTCTTGTGCCAAGAAAGTAAATCTGAGTTAAACACATAAAAAACTTAGGAGGAATATTTGGATTGAGGCTACTCTAATTCACAGTTTGTGCGTTACAGCTCCACTTCCCTAACCAGTGCATGATAAGCACTCAATCTTATTTGGAAAATATTTCGTCTCAGCTCCCTCTTCCCCTTCTGCTAAGAATATTCCTTGATTCGAAGCAAATGTGATGTTCTCACTCACTTAAGCTGGTTTCTGTATGAGCAGACCTATTTAGCTAGCATTTTCACATTTGGACATGATATTGCATTTTTTTATGGCAGCCCAAGGCCCAAGGTAGATGTAACAGGGCTATCAGTGAAGGCTTTACCTATCTGCGTATGATATGGAGGGAGGATGCCTTGCCGTAACGATGGTTTTAAATATGGCTTGGGACCTACTGCATCCTCCATCTGGGACCTCAATGCATGCCTCGTGGCCATTGGAATACCAGCTGCCTGGGATGTATAAAGGGGCCCTTCTTTCTCTGGCACTCAAGTGATCTAATCCGCTCTGTGTGAGATCTGACTGGTCCTCTCACTATTGGCATTTAGATGCCTGCAAAGACATTGGCGTTCCATTGTGCCTTTGGTTAATTTTCCCCATTCATTAATGGTGTCTCTTGTTTTCTTTCTCTTCCTAATTAATATGATAACAAACATGAGGGTGGGGTGTCTATTTTACATTGTTTTAATTGATATTTCTCAACTAAAAGGTGAAAGCAAATATGATACTTTTGTATTACCTTAATAACCCATGTACAGAATGCAAAACCCACATAAATATAAATGAAATAAAGTACCTAGTGGTTAATTCATCGATCATGAAGTCCATAATATTTACATAGCTATTGCATGTGATTCATCACTAAAGATAAAAATCTGACAAACAAAGAAGTAAATAATAGAACTATGCAGGAGAGGAGTGCTGAACCTTCCCACCATATTCCATGTCTTCAGAGTTATTTGCTTAAGGCACTTTGCTTAAGGCATGTACCTTGAAGAGACAAACACCTGGAGCAACAGACTGAGGACAGGTAGGATGTGGAAGTGACAGCAGAGGGAGGTTTAGTGGACCACCCTCTTCCATGTGCGAGGGGAGGACAGGTCAAGGGAAGCAGGCTTCCTGTGTAGTTCAGTGCCAAGGGTGTGCGGGAAGAAGGACAGCTGAGGAAACCCTACAGCACTAGGACCAGACTTGGTGCAGCTGCCTGCCTTCCAGAAAGGCCACTGCTGTGGGAATGAAGGCCACTAAGGTGGCCATGTGTCCTTCTTTATGGAGCACAGTCTTCTCTTTGAAGGGCTCTCCAGACCAAGTCCACATGGGAGATAAAAACCATCAGCAGGGAGAGTAGAGAGACCTTCATATCTTGCCTATCTGCAACTTAGCACCTGAACAGCAGACACATCGTCCCCTGGTCCAGCCTCGCTACTACAGTGGGATACATTGTAAGCCCATTAAACCTGCCATGATTATTTCCATCTTTGCATACAGATGAGCACATGCAACTGTGAGTGCTTTTTTTTTCTGGTGGTGCATCTAAAGACTCAGAAGCACCCTAAGCCCATATAAAGAGAGCAGACACACCCGGATGCACCCTCTAAGGCAGAAGCTGATGGAGGGGAGCTCTTGGAGGATGCTACAAGCCTCTAGGGACCCTTGTCAGAAGATTTATTCTCTCTTTCATCCCCTCTCCCCATGTCTGGATGGTTTCCTAGAGAAGATTTGGAACAGGATACAGAAGGCAGAGTTTTTGCCACTTGCATAGTGCAGCGCATGAGCTGGAGGATCGCATCCTTGGTGCAGGACACAGGTAGGCACTCTCTGCAGGTGATCCTCTGCACTGCCTTTGAACCCAGATGGAATGACAGACCTTGATCAAAAGGAGCAGTGACACAGCCATAATCCGTTCTGTAACTATATTTGCAGATTCTGGGTGACCCCAGAGGACCATTGTACTGGTTTACTAGTAGCCAGTGTTAGCCTCTTTCTGCATGAACATGTCTAACCCCTTTTTGAAGCCATCCGGATGGGTGGCTGTCATGACTTCCTGTGGCAGCAAATTTCACAGTTCAGCTATACATTGCTCTAAACCTTCCCTGCCAGCTTCATAGGGTTCGGGTTAGGGATGACCACAGGTTCAAGTTTTAGGGGAGAGGGAGACCCCACGCTTTATTTCAAACACCTCTGTCTTGTCTTCCCTCACTCACCCTTTTTCTAAGCTGAACAGTCCCAGCTGCTGTGACCACTCTCCTCGGGAGGATGCTCCAGCCCCCTAATCATTGCCATGCCCTTCTCTGAATCTTTTCCAACTCAAAAATGTCCCTTCTCAGGTAAGGCAAGCAGAACTGAACACAGTATTCCAAGCGCGGTGGCACCAAGGATTTGTATAAGGGGAGTAAGATTTGGCCGTTCTGTTTTCTATTCCATTCCACGCCTAGCATGGAGTTGGCCTTCCTCACAGCAACCAAGCACTGGGCCAACACTTCCACTGTGCTGTTCACACTACCCCAGGATCCCTCTCTTGCTCCGTCACTGCCAGCTCCACTCCCGTCAGTTGGGAAGTTTGGGAAGTTTGCCCCGGCGTGTGTGCTATACACTTGCTTATATTGAACTGTGTTTGTCCATTCACTTTTCTCACAAGATCATTCTCGTCTTACAAGGTTTGGGAGGGGGGTCCTGTCACATTACCCAGGTATCCTGAACTTCTTTATAGCAATATAGGAAATGGATCTGAACTTGTCTAACCCTGCGTCCTTCATATCCCTTCCATCTGCAATTTAGACATAATATTGATTTATTTTACAAGGTTGTCCTACAACACTATCAGAGATAAAGTATGTGAAGTGCTCTGACCACTCTAATACACTATATAATGCAGAATATTACCCATCAAATGTTTCTAATCTTTGAGCTGATTAATAGTACTTTGTATGAAGCATAAACATCATTCCACAAAGAACGTCTGAAGGACAAAGCTCTAAAGGTGCTTGGGAAACAGACTAAATAAACTGCAGATTTAGTGCTGGGACAAAGTTACACAATATTCTAAAAGCCAGCAATGTTCACATATCAGGAAAAGTATTACTGAATGCCTTTCCCCTATTGTCACCCCCTGAACATTTTCAGAGAAGTTCACAGGGGAGAATATTAAGAAGTGGAGGGGGGACGCAAATCCATTTTTGTTGTGCTTGAATTGTCCTGGACTGTCTACTCTCCTTAGGGCTTGATTCCCTTTGGACTAACCATGTTACTGAGAGAGCTTCCTGCAAGCATGCAATTACCTGGTCATGCAGAGGTGTGGAGCCCCTTTTGGCCAGAAGCCAAACAGGTGAATAGTAAGTTATGCTTCATTAAAACTAGCTATCCATTAGAACTACAGTAGATGCATCTCCTCCAAATAACAGGGGATGGGACAGCCATGCCTCTGTTGTCCTGAAATTTTAATTACTGTATTGAGTTTGTCCATGATCCATCATTTGACTTTGCTGATTGCAGCTCTTTCTTAGCGCCATGGTTTCCCTGTCCCAAGAAGTACGTGCAATTAACTCACTCATTGAGTAAAGGCATGGATGTCCTCCTCTTGCTTTTCTGCACCATATTGGCCTGGTTCCTCAGGGAGATTCGGATGAGCGAGGGAGCCAGACGGCAAGGCTCCCCATCCACTTGCATGGGGATGGACTTGTATGTCAATAACGTCACTTCCCGGCACTGATGCAACCTCTCTCCGTGACCTCCCACCTGGAGTGCAGCCTTGGCAAGACACAAACATGGCAAAAATGTGGGGGACACATTATAGGCAGCAATTGGACTTGGCTTAATTTGCACTGAAATTGGCAATACCTTAAGAAACTAGGATCTTTGTCTTTCAACATCTACTAATACTTCAAACAGCAAGTGCATAAGAGATTGACATTTTTACTCCTCTACCCATGCTAAGTTTCAGAGCTACATAAGGAAATAATAGCCTGGAATAGTATTATGGATGGCCAGGGATGAAACCTCCATCCCTACCCACCAGATTCTGAGCAGGGGACCCACATTGGGTCCTTGAAAAGTTTGGCCCTTAAAATGACTGAGCTACCAATAATAACCTTGTGAAGTAAAAATGAGTGTGGAGTTGTGGTTTCACAATTCAGTACTGCATTCAATCTCCTCTATGTATTAAAAGGCAACCAAAAATAATGACAGGGAGTGCAGGAGAGACAGCTGCAGAGGCGGTACTTGCCCTTGGGAATAGAGACATGTAAGAAAGTGGCACCCATTTGCATCTCGCAGACCTACATGGACCCAAGTGCAAGTTGCTAAGAGAAATCTATACATTCCAGTGGTCCCACTGAAAAGTGGAGCAACATGCACTCGTTTTAAAAATGCGCAAAGACAAATAAGTACATTCTGAAAGTGAGTACACGCTTCAGTCAATGTATGCATGCATCCAAAAATATTGTATGTTTAATGTGTTTTACAAATTCATACATTAATTCATGTGTTATGAATATAAGTGGATTTGATTGCAGATTTAAAAATAAAACAAATATTATGAGCTCTAATGGAAACAGAGCAGAATGAGTTTGACTTTTTCGAAAAGTACAATAATTTGGGCAAGACTGAAATTGGCAGAACTGTGAAGAAACCACTGTCCCTTGGAGTATTCAGGTCCCTCCTGTTCCCCTTGCCAAAATTTCAAGTAGCAAAGAATGGAGCAAGGAGGAGGAAGTCATTGCAAGTCACAAGGAATAAAAGTGGAAGGAGTCTTGCCACCAAACTACTTTGTTCAGGAGAAGGAAGTGCTCCCTCCTTGCAAACAGACCAGGTAACACTGTCTAACTAAAAGGCTTTCTTATGTTAAAGCTGACCAGCCGGTCAACTTACTTATTTTGTAGTACAAAATAAGTAAGTTGCAGAAGACAGTAAAAAAAGGAGTAAGCCAAGCTAGAGTGCTGGCCATTAAGGACATTCCGGTTCCCCCTTTGCATCTGAATCCATCTGCACACACTTCAACGTCTCTCTTGTAGGAGAAGTAGGTGCAAACCCTAAAGACGGGGTAGCAGCCGACCCCCGCTACCCCTTCCTTCCAAATGAAAGCTTGGCAAATACAGTAACCAGGCAACATTCGTATTACATACTCAATTATCATTAGCAAGTACCATGCCATTTGTTTTATGGAAGTCAACTCTTATGCTGGTTTTCTGATGATTTGGTTACAGGAAGCAATCTTCAAAACACTCACCAAGGAGGCCATGGTGAATCCAATGACCTCAATGTAACCATCATCGTGCCGCTGAGGTTCAAATTCTCTGTGGTCTCCTGGGTTCCCCCAGGGCATTGTGCCAGCACAATACCTGTAGGAAGAGGTTGAGGGCATGAAGACATGACTAGACACTGATCAAAAGGCCCCTGGATCTTTAGCCTCCAAGTAAATCTCCATCCCTGTGCATTGCTTTGTTCTTTATAAACATGGTCCAAATGCCTCTGTAACTAATCCTAACATTTCCCTTTGTGCCAGAGATGATCATTTGAGGATAGGATAAGATGGTCGGTTTTCACCTGGGAGTGGAGAAAAGTTGCATGCTTTTACCCAGCCAGCCTTCAACTCTTAGAATAAGATCTGAGAGGTTAAAGAATTGGGGTGGGGGAGATTCTTTTTTTGTGGATAATGCACCAAGCAGCAAAGCTCCCCAGTGCCTCTTAAGCCCCAGTTCTACACACCATGGAGTACAACTATGATTCTCAAAACATGAGTCTTTCTTCCAAGAAAGGATAAGTGAGAGGTCAGTTGCAGGATCATCTTCCCTCTCTGCCTCCCTGTGAATTATTCCAACTTAACCTGAAGAGGGATGGAAAATGTGCCTCTAGTTCAAAGCAAACAAGAGGGCTGTGAGATCAGTCCTTTGAGGTAATTGCTAGGAAACTGTTTTGAAATGAATGGAACCATCAGCTCCTTCCCAAAATATTTTGTCTTGATGGGTTCCTCATGGCAAGCATCTTACAAACTTGCCCTGGTGAACCTGCTCTGGCAGGACTGACAGAAATATCTTCAGTCACATTTACATGCCGTACTTCTAAACTCTGGAAAACTGAGTGTAGCAGATTCTCCTTGCTTTCTTTTACCAGATAGAAAAGGTGGAAATGGTGGTTTCTTGGGGAAGGAAAGACAAGTAGAGCCCCTTTCAGATGTTCACAAAGCACTAAAATAAAAGTGCTTGGGATGGGAATGGTATTTGGAAGTTGGCGTTTTGAGATCACATACAGGCCACAGCTCTCTGCAGTTTGCAGCCACAATGCCACATATACAGCTGCCTTCATCCTTTTGTGTGTTTTAAAAGGCTCCTGACAAAGCTGGATAGTTTCTAGAAAAGGGTATTTACCTGGGTATGTTTAAAAACACTATACACTGGAATTTCAACTCCTGAATCTTGGAGGTCAGATCTGTGCCATCACACTGCCAAGAGAAAGAAAAGAGAAAGAGAGAGTGTTGAAGGAAACAGAACAATTCATAGTAAAATAAACATTTTAACAGATTTTAATGGTGCCTTTAATTTAATAAGAAAGGAAAAATAAGAAAGAAGGGAGAGAGAAAGGCCACATCACATGAAAGGCTCAGATAAAACAAATGAACCTGCTTCTGACATATTCCTGACAAACACTCAGATATAATATTATGGCTTGAGCTGCTGCTGGCATAAAACCTAGCAGAAAGGACTGCATCTTATCCAGAAGGAGACAGAGGGTGTAAATTGAGTGGATAAACAGAGGGCAAAGAAGCAAGAAAAAGGAGTACACCCTGAGCTTTACTTAGTAATAAAGAAATCACCTCTGCTGAAATTATCCCTTTTGTTGGTGCTGATGGTATTGCTTTAATTAAAACGTGGGGTGGCAGGGATGGCGTGGAAGGAGAAAAGTGCATGAGAGAGAAGGGTATTCCCCACATTTTTGGCCATGACCCGTGCTGTTAAGCCGCAGTTCTCACATGGGAATGCTGCTTTTGACTTTAAAAGGGATGCATTCCGATGAGCTAAGGGCACAAAAGCCTTGCTCAGTATCAAAACAGACCAATCCCAAAGCACACGCCTGGGTCCCAGGCTGGAATTCGCACAAAGGGGAAGAAAGTGTTCCCCGATCTTCAAATAGATAAGCAGCAGAAACATTTTTTTTAGCCTCCTTCTTGCCAGCTGCCTCTTTCATGCTGATGATTAAAAAGTGCGTTCCCTTCCCTTATACTCACCACAACCTTCACATGCTTGGATAAATCTCTGGAGCTTCTCTGAAGGAAATCTGAAAAGGCTGCCTAAATTATACAGAAAAAGAGGAAAGTGAGGGGAAGGTGATATTCATCATTTCATCTAAGCTTTCCTTGCATTGCATTTAGAACCTGGAGACTTCGTTAAGTGAATTTATCTCATAGTAATGAATGGCACTTCAGCATATTATCAAGTGATGAAGTTTAATACAAGGCGTTTTTTCTGTGTTCATATCTCATATTCTGCTATAATGCTACTTACAGAAGCAGTTGGGGACAGTCTTCGCTGCTTGCTGTTCTGAATCATCTAAAAGAGGAGTGCTTGGATTCACCTTCGCAAGTGCAAGTTCCCTCCAGCTCACAGCTGCCATGGGAAGTACCCCACTTGGTGAGGCCTTGGAGGACATACCAGTTGGCGGGGAAAGCAAAGGCCCGGGAGTGAAAATTCCTACAGCCTCTCCAGCCCTGGCCAAGCCCACATCTCTAGACCGGCTCCTCTACAGGGCAAACTCAGAAAGGTAGCCTGAGAGGCAAAAATCGCCTCCATCACTCCTCCCACATGGCCATCAACAGCCCAGCAGGACACCAGAAGCTTGGAAGGTGCTCAGATTGGTGGCTCTTATCCCGTGGAGTCCCTTGAACCAGGAGCAAAGATAGTGGCATGGAAGGTTACTCCAATATACTCCAGAAGGATGACCAATGAATCACTGCCACCAGTTCCCCCTTTCTTTTATCCTGCAGCACTGCGCTCCCCAATCTGTTGCTCCCCGGATGTGTTGGACTGCAGCTCTCATCGTTCTATCCAGCAACGGAATTGAGGTCCAACACACCCGCAGGGCAACAGGTTGGAGAAGGCTGATACCAGTTCCCAGGAAGGGGAATGGAGGTGGAGAGCAAACCATTGCCTTGGTTTGAGGAGTTTCAAAGTAGTGGGGGGTTTGGATGGACTTTTTGGTGGGATGGTACCAAAGAATAGAACTCTGGGCTCTGCATACATGCAGCCCAGGGTCTAGGATGAACTTGTTAGGGCAGAAAATCCTGGGAAATTTGGGAAGGCGGTAACACAGGTGCAGCTAGGGGGTCAAGGTCCAGATGACCAGCTGGAGTACAGCGGCTGCTAAGGGCATCAGGGCAGCAGTTACAGTTCTAAAAATATAATAGTCTCCGAATTATTTTTTGATTGCAAAAAAAAAAAAAAAAAAACAAGACAAATTAAAAGTCAGTAGAAGCAGGGAGCCTAGTGAGGAAATTTGGTGTTTGAAGGCACCATGTTGAAGACCTCAGAAGTAAAGTTTGCTTTGCCAAGCCTTCACTTTGTGGGGCATGATTCAGCCTCTTCCACTAGTGCTATGAACAGCTTTTCAGGGATGTATGTGGGTACATGTGGCCCTAACCAAAATCAGGCACTACCACTTATAAAATGAACGTGCCTTTATGAAATGAGCAATCTGCCTTTATTCTTCCTTACCAGATGGAGGGTTTATTGAAAAATGGCATAACTATTCAAGTGGTGATGGAAAAATAGTGCCATCCAGGTTCATCATCCCCAAGAGTTCAAAATTAAAATAAACAAGCAGTTTGTTCATAGAAGGGAAGGGGAAACACTTGCATTTCAACTCACCCCAGCATAAAACATTTTATTCCTAAAGCGGCTGTTGAATTTTTCAGGATTTGCTTCTGTGAGAAAGAAAAAAAGCAGAAGACACAAAGTATTTACTGAATCATCTAAAGCAGTGTGTTTCCCTTACTGATTCTGGTCTAGTTTTTGCCATCCAGCTGACAAATAGCATAATTTTTAGCTATTGCTAGTTGCTGACAAAAGAAGGTTGGGAAGGAAGAGTCGTTGTTTTCTGTTGTTCCTAGATAAGAGAATCCAAAAGAATAGATGAACCAAACTAAACACGCCAAGCCACCATCATTTATTATCAGATGTGCAGGGGGGATTCACACAGCTAACTTTTCCAAGAAGCCACTCGCTGCATAGTGATGCAAACTGATCTTGTATGTGTTCGCCTAGATTAAGTATTTAGCTAATTATTGAAGCACACAGGTTTTGTAGGCAAAGGCCTACTTCTTCACACACACACACACACACACACACACACACACACACACGTGTTTTATAGGCAAGGTGGGGGACGAGTATGCCTTTCACTCTCTTGAATGGGCCAATAACTGCATTGGCATTACCTGGCACCTGGTGGTTCAGGAAAGAGCTTTAGCAGTTCCACATGCCTGAAAAGCCATTCCCAGCCTTTGGAAGATCACACACTGCAGCTAACAGGGGGAGCAAAGAAACAGCCTGATGGGCTCACATTTCGGCAGACAGAGTGGCAGGCAGGAACGGATAGGTTAGGCAGAGTAGGTGGGCACAGTTAGCAGTGGAGGATTGCGGGGAGAATCCTGCTGCTCTTCTGGAATCTAATGTTGGCACTGCTCACTGCACGCAGTTGCTTTAGGAATCTAGTTGGCCATAAGGATATTTTCCATTGCTGTTTCTGTCAGTGCAGAGAGGCTCCTGGAACTTTGTAGCACTGAGGGACGTGTGGCGAGCCTTCTTTTGCTAAAAATAGGAACACGTCTGTTGATGCTTGTCCTGCACCAACCACACAGTCCCATGAACCCAAATGACAGAGCAAGCGAATCCTTGGGCTACTGGAGGGGGAAGAAACGGAAGAGAGGCCTTGCTGCACAACAAGAAAATTAGATGCGATTCAGAGCACCTCCCATTTCTGTGTTGGGGCCACAGTCGAGCACTGAGGTCCATGGCCCACCTGCTGCTCCCACATATCCCCTCAATGAGGTCGAAGTTCTGACCTAGAGGAACCCCCTATGGAACCCCCCATGGTAGCTCTGCGAAGTCAAGAGAAGGGTTCCAGGATCCGGGAAAATCCTCCAGGTTTAGAGCTATGGCTGATCCCTTGGCGCAGATTTTCCAGTTAATCGGATGGTCCCTGGGGCACAGTTCAGGGGTTACAAAATCAAGCCTTAAATGAACTGAATCTCAAAGCCACTGCATCGCTCTGTATTTTTACTTATAACACCATAATAAGGTCAGTACAGCAGAATCTGCCTCGTTTCCTGTTGAGATTGGCATATGCTGGTCCCTGTACATTCAGGATTTAAGGAAAAACAGGAAAAGCAAAACGTGGGGGGGCCTCATTCAGAGAAAGAAGCTGAGATCCACAGATTGCCTCACATCAGGGGTGGGCAGCTACCATTCGGGCTCAGAGAATATACCCCACCCAGACGGTTCCATTCTCAGAAGGTGGCACAGGACTGGTAGACACATACACACACACACACAAGCACTTGCATGCCATAAGCCATAAGGACACCAAAGCAAACTCTCAGAGTTTTACCCCACTATGTGCCACAGCGTGTTTTTATCCTTTTCATTTTACATTTGAAAGGGTAGAGAAACTCTCTGAGAGCCAGTGTGGCATGACGGGTACAGCATCGGACTGGGAACCTGGAAAATCTGAGCCCTACTGCCTGCTCTGTCATGAACTCAGTGAGTGACCTTGGACTCTGGTCACTCATTCTCAGCCTAACCTACCTCACAGGGTTGTTGTTGTGAGGATAAAATGAACTGGAAGAGGACTATGCAAATGACATTGGGTTCCTCACAAAAGGAAAAAAAGGGCATAAATGTAAGGTAATAATAGTAGAAAAGCAGGTATTGTTTAAAGTCTTTCTGGCTAAATTACTCACCGACTGACATACAACTTGCTTTTGCCACTGTACCTTCCCTCTCCCCTATTTTCTTTTCAAGCACACTGATATCTCAGGAGTAATGTCCATCCATTCTTTCCAGCATGCTACGACTTCATTATTAAGTAATGTTTCCACTAAATGAGAAGGCAGCCAAAGACGTCAACCCTACTGCATACTTCCAAGCACAGTTGGCACACATTTTAGCACATGTTCATAAAGAGATGGATGCCCTGCTTTCCTTTGCCCTTCTGCGGCCTTCCGTTATTATTCTTACGGCTTGCAACCATCTTAAACACAATAAAACATGCATTAGCTCTTTCCATCAGCCATCCCGATCTTTATTTAGCCTGGCATTAGGATGCCCTTTAAAAAATCTTTTTGTATGGCTTTGTGATGGTATGAAAATGAGGCCAAGTGAAGGTGCCATTCCAAATCCATGGCAGTAAATCATCCTGATGCCAAACCAAACAATCATTGTGGGTATCAGCAACGTGTTTTCCCAGCACACAGTGCAATTAGTGCTTGGCTGTGCAGTCCTGCCTGGAATTGCCTGAGCAGAAAGACAATATTTCACAACAAGCAGGAGGACTCTGCTCAGATGAACAAAATGAATAGCATTAGGAGCTTCTGTAGGGGTTATTCAGGGAGCCAACCTTGGCTCCACAGTCCTTTTGCCTGCCTTCTGAGTGCACACAAATACATGCCTTGCTCTTTCATCAGAAAGCACATAATATTCCATCAACTCAGGCAAGGCTATGCCAGACCTTGCTCTGCTTCCTAGACAGGAAGTAATACTTTCCGTAAGAGAGAAAACCAGTTTGTCTAGTTCTTCTTGGCACAGATGCCACATGACAAGTAGAAATGTAACAAAGAGCACTTCCCCCATAATTTCATGTCTGCATGGGGAAAAAGACCCCTCTACTGAATGTCTAGCATTTATGGAACTGTGAAGGGTGTTAAAGTGCTACCAGAAAAGAGTTGTCCATGCCATGAGTTGGAAGAGATGGAGCTGGGCCTACTCCAATATGGTTCACACAACAAACCGTTCAGAGGAACAGATGCGGGGACTACTGCAAAAAGAAACCTACACCTCTCCTTTCTCCTTGCTTTAGTTGGGTCCTTAAGGACCCATTTCTATCCCATTCTCATCACACACCACATTCCAGGTTAAACTCTACCTGCCATACAGGATTAAAGAAATATGGGGCATCTTTCGGCAGGTGTTCACATCTTTCTATTTACCCATTCACTGTCCTGGTCCTCTGCTCTGAGAAAAGAGATAAGTTGGGTTCTCTTACCTCGCGATTCATGGAATTCGAGTGTGACGTGAGCATCAAATCCAAGGCTGAAGTAATTATTGAAAACACTGAGGGGCAGCTGTAATGGCAAGACCAGAAGTAAAAGGGAAACACTGTGTGAGAAAAGACAGAGTAATTGTATATATTGGCAAATGTTAAGACCAATGAGCAAAGCCTGGTTAATAAGTACGTCAGAGTCATGCTGAGTCAGACCAGGAGTTTCTCTTATTCCACATTCTGTTGACACATACTGCCTCCGATACTGAAAGAAGCACACAGCCATCAGGTCTGGTAGCTGTCAAGAGCTTCCTCCTTCATGAATTTGTCCAATCCCCTTGTAAAACCATCCAAGTGGTGGCCACCTCTACATCTCATGGTTGGGAATTCCACAGTTTAACTATATGCTGTGTGAAGAAGTCCTTCCTCATATCTGTCCAAAATCTGTCACCATTTAGCTTCACTGAATGAACAAGTTGAGTTTTAGAATTATGAGAGTAGAAAAATGTCTGGCTATCCACATTCTCCACCCCACTTCTACCGTGTCTGTCCTGGGATCTCATGAGAGATTCCATGATGACTTGCAGTGGAGAGGCAGGCACTGCACGAATAGCAAGTCAGATTACAAATTACAGCAAATCTGCCATGGCTGTCATTGTGCTAATCGCTTATCTCTCAGGCTCAGGATTCCCCACTGTTCCATGAAATCCAATCTATTCCCCTCATTTCCCTATGACCACTCATTTCCCTACCACCCGAAAGGGGGTTGTGTTATCTTATTATAATGAATGCTGTGGTTATAAGCTGCCTTAAGAAGCCCCCTGCCCTTTGATTGCAGGACATATGTTTTACATAAAATAAATAAAAATAATTTCCTCCCACTGAAATCAGTAGGTGGGAAAACAAGCAAAAGAAAAAATAATGGGGGCAGCAATAAATGGGCAAAAAACTGGTCTGCCCTACTCCACAATGAGCCCAGCAAGGCTTTGGAAATGATTGCTCCTCTACCATTGATGGTATTTCTTTATTCTTTATTATAATATTTATATCCTATCTTTTTTCCTCTTCCAAGAAAGCAAAGTGCCATGTGTGATCCTTCTCCATTTTCCTTCCTCTGCCCCCACATTATGCTCTCTAAGTTAAATCTGACACCTTTTTGCCTTCTGATTTGCTTGACTCTCAGTCACTCTCATACTGAGTTGGACCATTGGTCCATCTGGCTCAATAATGTTTACTCTGACTGGCAGCAGCTGCCCAGATTTTCAGACAGGGGCTTTTCCTAGCCCTTTCTGGAAACCCCAGGAATTAAACTGGTGACCCTTTGCATGAAAATACATTTTAAGGTCTAGCACGGCCTTTCCCCAAGAGGTAATAAAAATCAATTTGTATATTTTAGCAGATTCAGAAAATTTCTGATTCAGCTTTCCACACCTACCACTTCAATATCCTGCTCTGAAATTCATGAGGAAATGTAGTTCTTCTCATTTTACATTTACAAATGGCTTATAGATACTAATAGATGGCTTTTATTTCATGCTAACTGGTGGAGCCTAGTTCTTGCATTTCTGAAAACAGTAAATAGCAAAGTGGTAAATAATTTAAGCAAACAATTAGATAACTATAGCACAAATCTGCATGACTCAGTAAAAACTGGAAGATAATAAAAAAATGGCACCAGCATTTCTTAACTAGAAACATTTCCCGATCAGCCTGCATGATTCTTTCTTCCAATTTGTTTCAATGGAAGGAAATGGCACACTAACTTTCCGTGCTCCATCTTCAAGTTCATCTTGGGGCAAATCAGGGTTTCTCTCCACCTGGAGGTTCCAGCGGTCCAGTTGGACAATGGTCCCATCTTCCACGTGGCAGAGAATTTTTGCTACAGGCTCGTCTGTGTATCCCTGAAGGTAAGACAGGTCAACATCCCATATCAATAACTGGTCTCCATTTCAGCAGAAAATGCATTGCAGATGGGACAAAGCATGCATTTTATTTATTCTAAGATGGTTTGTGGTCCCCACCACCCCAGCTTAGACACCATGCAAAATAACATTGGTGCTTTGTATTAAGGATGTACAAATAGGCAAAACTTGAGTTCCTCATATTTCCATGTCTGTCTCAGACCTTTTTTCCTTTCCATGCAACATTTTGTGGACATCATGTACACCACAGTTGTTTTCAGATGCACACATTTTTCAACATTTTTGTGTTCCACAATTTGCACTGCATGTTTGAAAAAATACAAATTTCAACAGCAATGTGTGTTCAGGCCCAGGTTCAATTCCATGATGGGCAAACTGGGTAAAATCTGCTTTAAAAAATGTACTGAAACAAATTGTGCACATACTCCTACTTCATATCCACCAAGGAAAGGTCAAGGAGGGACAGTGAAAGAGATGTCACCTCTATGAGAATGAGCTTCAGACATCTCTCTTCTCTCTGTTGCTTCAGCTGGACCCCATCTCTTCAACAGCAATTTTAAATCCCAGCCAATTATACCCAGTAGATCTCTTACCCCTCCCCAGTTGAGGGTACGAGCCAGGTCGTTTCCAGTGCCAAGAGGAAGCACAGCAACAGGAGGCTGGGGATTCAGCTGCAATTCATCCAGGATGGAGAGGATCCAGCCCACCTAAGAATCAAAAGTTTCAGGAAAGAAAATAGCCTATTCAAAGGGAAGATACTACTGAGTTCATCTAGGTGAGTATCCCATCAGTCTTCTAAGCTGTGCTATTTCAATCTGCCAGTCCATGGTTCATAGAGAGATGGGTGGGCAGAGCAGGCTTAGGACCCAAAGGCCATCTTGAAGAAGATCACTCACTCTCAGCCTCATAGGAAAAGCAGAAAATTTATTTATTTATTTATTTATTTATTAAAACATTTTTATGCCGCCCCATTCGCCGAAGCCTCGGGGCGGCTTACAACAATAAATTAATATAAACATTAAAAATCCAAAAAATACAATATAAAATAAGCCGCCCTGGCCAGATAAAATCAGTTAATACTAACAGTTAAAATACCGCTTAAATAAAAAGGTTTTCGCCTGGCGCCGAAAAGCAAATAACGACGGCGCCAGGCGGACCTCTCTGGGGAGCGTGTTCCATAAGTTGGATATCAAAGTAATCAATGAATAAAAGTAAATATATCCCTTTGTCCAGCCACCACACAATGCTCCTGACCCAAATCACACACTAGCAGCTTTGAAAAGGGAGGATCTAAGTTCAGGGCTCAGTAGGGGGACAAAAGGTTAGACACACACACCCATCATGTCACAACTAAACCAAGTCACTCTTTCTGGCCCTTATTGTTGGCCTTTAATAAATAAGATGTTGCTAGTTCCACTTATGCTTAAGCTTGAGTCTCAGTTTATCTTACTGAAGAGAAGATAGATGTTTGTGTTTTTACATATGCATGTTGTATATTACTATAGGCAGATTCCAATGGGTGCTTCTGCTCCCACGGATTTTCTGGTGCCCCACAGATTCTGTTGTGCAAGCAGTGGGTTCTGCTAACTCTACTGTGTAAGTTGGCCCCTACCCTTGAGCAACAGAGATTTAGCACTTCCCTACAGAAGCCCCCAAAGGCACAGAAATGCTCATTTCTTGGTCAGGACAGGTAGGAGGGATTGCCTTGATGTGAGTTCCACGAACCTGCCTTGTTGCAAAAACAAACCCTTTTTGTTATTTCTGCTTGCCCCCAGAAGCACTGAAGTATTGTTCCATAAGTGGCGGGCACCACTTCTGGATGGGTGCAAGAGAATCAGCAGGGACATGAACACCGCATTGGGTTCAATCCAGTAGATCCTAAATGCGCCGCATGATTTGGATAGGGCATGCTCTGATTTGTAGTGAATGAATGACTGATTGAAAAAGTAAGGATAGAGAGAAGCCAGAGTTGGCAATTCTCCATTTATCACAAGAAAAACAGTTAACATTGAGCAGGGACACTGGAAAAATCTCCCACTTTCTGTTTCCTTTCAATAATACAGAGTAATATCTAGTCTCATTGAATATTCACTAAATCCTTTTGAGCAAGATTTTCATTTCTAGATTTAATGGCTTTTGGAACGAGACATTAATTTGCTTCAAACATAACCTCAGCAACGATAAGTCATGTGTCGCTCATATTAATGAAAAATTGCTGCCCCCGTTAGTTCAAATTGTGAAATGTAAGGAAAAAGAAAATGGAAACACCATGGACAAACCCAGTAATTCATTTTAATAGCCAGAGAGAAGAACCTAATCCATCAGAAACATCTCTACGTAACATCCATGAAACAAGATGGGAAGAGCAAAAAAAAAGTAAACATACACAACATTCTAAGAGTGGGTTCATCGCCTGATTTCTTGACAGTTTATTCCTGTACTGAGCTCTGATTCACATGTGCAGAATTAGCATTCAACAACAGTATCATGACTGTTTGCACATGTGAATGAGCCTCCGCTGATATAATGAACAAGCAGAACTTTTATACAATAGCACCTCACCTAAATGCAATGCTATCCAGGTGAGTCCTACTTCCTGCTGCCATTCAACAACTGTGTAGTAATCAGGTCTAAAGAAGCCAAGTGAAGGTCAGGAATGTGTGAACTGACCTTTAATCCCTAGCAGCTCACTGCATGAACTAACTCCATTCAGGAGCACTCTGCTTGAAGTTATACGAAAGCTCTCTCTGTGCTGTCATACTTGTGAGATCCCATTCACACCTGCAACCATCTGATCCTAAAACATACACACAGGAAGAAGCCTATTGGGACTGGTTCCACTTTTCTCTTAATGCAGCATTCCAAGGTGGTTACCTCAGAATTTGAATCTGAACTGGAAGAAAAGGCAAGATCAGAATTCTAAGCTGAAATGCCAAGCCCAGAGATTAACTAAGTGGCCAGTGAAAACTAGATCACCTTCGGTTCTGTGGGAGATACAGGGTAGGGCCAGAGGGGGAAGGTTTTAACATAATCAGTTCTATTATCCAACATCAGTTCAAGAGAGCAGCTAGGGACTAAAGGCTGCTCTCGAGTAGCATGCTGCATTGCAACCCTCTAGCCCACAAGAACCTCCCTGAAGATGGAGCTCATTCCATTTGGTTGGGAAGGAAAGAGGGGGATTCAGTCTGGAATCAACTTCTTGGCATAAATTGTCTCCCTAACAGCTGGCTCCTAACTTGACCAATGGGTTTTGCTCATGAACTCCTTTTGCATCACAAAGCCAGCCTGGCCAGCCCACTTTAACATAACAAAGAGTGTAGTTAGAAGGCTCTTCTCTTGATCCTCTTGGAAGGAGGAAGGGAGAGGGGGAAAGACTGGTCTCAGGCAAAGCCTTACACTAGGCCAGAGTATTCACCTATTTGCATCAATCTCACATTTCCCTTAGTCTGAGTGTGCTTCTTGTCAGTTCCTCTCCTATCCACTTGCCTGCCTCCCCAAAGGGTCTGATATAACAGAAAGCACTTACTGTTCCATCCCCACCACAGGCCAGGATTCGCAGATTTGGCATTTTTCTATACAATTCAAGCCTGTTGAAAGAAAGAGAATATGAAAGGGGGAAATTAAGCAAAAAATAAAGCTGGCTTAACAGTAAGATCTGGCATATCGTGAATGGCACAACCACTGAATAGTAAACTATGATCAGCTTTACTGCTAGGAGACTCTAAGTGGTGAAACAGGACAGTTCTCATCAGAGGTGGCAAAAGAAGTAGACTTTCTCTTTCTTCCAGAGTGAAGGATGGACATAGCTAATGTGAGTCATGAGAGAGCCACCTTCTGTATTCTTGGAGACAAAACCAGAACCAAGGGTAGGTATGGGCAAGCATCTTCCAAGGGCCCATGACCAAACAGGGGCAAGAAACCTCTGTTGGCAACTGACCTCCAGAGGATCAAGTGAGGGTCAACTAAATGGCTTATCCACTGCCTTTCCCTGCAACCAACATAAGGAAACAGCACAGAAGTAACTCTGTCAGGATCCAGTGAGCTTGAGGGCCAAGTGTGATGGCAAGGCAGGAAACTGGCACAGTGCTCCACTGTCCTGCCTGGAGGGGAAAAAGAGCACCACTGGGCTTAGATCCAGGGCTGGCTTTATCATTAGGCAGAGGGAAGCAGCTTCCTCAGGCAGCGGATACTCAAGGGCAGGAAGTGGGAGTGAAGTGTTGGAGAACGGAGCTGAGAGTGCTACATTGCAGCCCCAAACGAGTTGCTTTCCTCGGATGCATTTCAGGATGTCCTCCGGCTGCCAGTGCTGAAGCACGCTTACAGTACGCTAAAGTGCTGCAGTCTGGCTGGGCTTTTTTCATGGCATGGGTTGAGGCACCATCTTGTCTTTCATGCCAAGCAGCAAAATGCTTTGGGCCAGCCCTCCACATCACAAAGCCAAACCTGTATTATTTTCTGAGGCAATTGCCAAGCCTGCCCCAATGGGGTAGTGAGAAGGAGGGCTAACAGCGCTACGTTGCCTTTTCCGGAAGGTGTTCATGTGCCTCCCCTCCCCGCATGATCCCCACGACAGCCACGTGTGGGAGATTAGGTTTTGGAGTCAGTGACTGGCCCAAAGACACCGAATGAGCTTCATGGGCAGGGGCTGCCGTTGCACTCATGTCATGCTTGTGGCGTCCCTGTGGGCAGTTCATTGGCCACTGTGTGAGCAGGACTTGGTCTGATCCTGCACAGCTCTCGCATATTTATGGCCAAGGGTCTCCCCAGTCCTAGTCCAACACTCCAGCCACTACACCTTACAGGCTCTGTGTTAAGGGGGGAAATCACTATAAAACAGCCGAGGCATGAATCACGGCAGTCTATGTTGAAAGTGGCTTAATTTATTGCTTTGGAGTGAACACATGGGAAGACGATGGATTTATTCGTTATCTTTTCTCCATCGTAGCTCAAGGTGGAATAGACAGCAATGCCATTGCATCATGTATCTTCAAACAGCGTCCTGAGATCACTATTGCTTATAATTGCATAGGTAAATTGGATGGAGACATCTTTTTTTTCCCCTTTTTTTACTGAAACCTGAACATTCCAGGATGTGGAATGGCATGGAAAGTCCCCACAGTTCTCAATGGCTAGAGTTCTGGCAACAATAGTTCAACAAAATAATAGCCAATTGTTCATTTTCTGTCAACAACTTTTGCACTATTGACTGGCAGAAGCAAATGTTAAAAGAGAGAGAGAGGTCTATACCTCAAACATACTGTTCAGCTAAAAGCAGTTATAAGATTTGGAAGGTGAAATGTTATTTCAGAAAGAACAAATTGTAGATTGAAGTGTGCTGGCAAAAAAAAAAAAATCCCTCCTGTGTGGTTTTGTTGCATTGTGAAACAAGGCACGACATCTGCCAGCAATCTTCTTAGCTATGTCAATCTTATTTGTCACTTTCTCTCATACATGACAATTATTTAAAAAGCAGTAGCTCACAATCAAAAATGCTAGGAATGCAAGCCAAAAGATGAGGCTAGTAACTATCCTAGAGCGCCCTCTTGTGGCATTAAAATACACCTTGGGTTCTTTGAGATGCACTTAGTTCTCAACTGGAAGTTTTACACTGGCTACTTTTCTCTTAAGTAGCAGCCACAGGAAAGCTTGAGCTGTCTTGGGACCCTGGATTGTGCACGGGGACTTCCTACCACAGTCCTAACAAAAATCACCTGCAGTGTCACCAAGGAAGACTTCCTTTGAAATGCGAAGAATAATTTCAAAGATAGTCAAGATTGTGACAGGTAGAGACACAGCTAAGCTTCCACACATAGCTTGAGCTTCACAAAAACCATGTATCAAATTGCATTCATACAAATGACAGTGCATCTATGATGACTTTGGGGATCTCTACTAGCATAAAGACTCTGAAATCCTATTCCCACATCCAATCCAATTCCCCAACTATCAAGGGATAGTTGCTCTTGAGTGTCAAAACACGGATGTACATTAGTTGGACTACAAAGCCTCCATATTAAGGCAAAGCATTTGATATTGCACCTTGAAATCTTTACGGATGGCTCTACAGACAAACAAGAATCAGGACCACCTTATGAAAGAAGAGACAGTTCTAGCATGCATCTCCTTGCCTCACATTCCCATCATGTTGTTCCCATAAGAAAAGGAGAAATGAATCAGAAGCTTCGTTAAACACCTCACAACTTACGCATCTCTAGGTCCTTCCTGAGAGAGGTCAAAGACCTGACGTGGATTCAAATACCACATGAACATCTGGAGAACCTTAGTACCCTTTAAAAGAAGAGAAAGAAAACTGTCAGCTTCTACGAAGCATAATTCTTACATCTCGGTGCTACAAGAAATATCAATGGATATACACTGCACTAATGGCATTCTTAATTCAGGTTCTTCATATGCACTAGCAAAAGGCAGTCTTCTACCTACAAACTCTATAGAATACTGATGGCAAACCTTTTACTGACTAAGTGCCCAAACGGCAAACCAAAACCCATTTATTTGTCGAAAAAGCGCCAACACTACAATAAAACCTGAAAACTGCAGTTTTAGATTGGAAAAAAAAAACTCACACCCAGTCCAACCAAATATATATGTATATAAATCCTTCTCAGTGGACTGACTGGCCATTCGAAAGCTCAGACAAGTTGTGGCTAATGCGTCATGGTTTGAGATGTCATCATCTGGCACCGCTACTTCTTTCTGAGCATGCGCATGGCCCCCATGTGCGCTGTTATCCAATGCTCGGCTGCTGGGCTGATGCTGGTGCAACTTGGCACAAGTGCTGACAGAGAGGGCTCTGCATGCCAACTGTGGAACACGTCCCATGGGATAGCCACCACTGGCCTCAACCTACCCTGCTGCACACCCCTAACCCTAATACAGAGTTAAAGCTTCAGTGAATATAGGGCAATTTTGAAAAATCCCTCCTTGAGTAGCTTTTTCTGCACAGCTCATAATGCCTGCCCATTCCAAACACATTCCAACCATCAAAATCATTTTTCTAGCCCTAACCCTACCCAGGTGCATACCCCTAACCCTAATATAGGGCTAAAGTTCCATTGAAAAGAGAGAAGTTTTGAAAAAGTCTTCCTTGAGTAGCTTTTTCTGCACAGCTCATCATATCTGCCCATTCTAGACACATTCCAACCATCCAAGTTATGCCAAGACACCTCATTTTCCTAACCATAACCCTACCCTGGTGCACACCCCTAACCCTAATATATGGATAAATACCATTGAAAGGGGTGATTTTGAAAAAGCCTTCCCTGAGTAGCTTTTTCTGCACAGCTCATCATTCCTGCCCATTCTAAACACATTCCAACCATCCAGGTCATGCCAGGATACCTCATTTTTCTAACCCTAACCCTACCCTGGTACACACCCCTAACCCTAATATATGGGTAAAATACCACTGAAAGGGGCGATTTTGAAAAAGCCTTCCTTGATTAGCTTTTTCTGCACAACTCATCATGTCTGCCCATTCAAAACACATTCCAACCATCAAAATCAAGCCAGGAAACCTTGTTTTTCTAATCCTAACAAGCAGGTCCTGAGTGCAAGAGAACCAGCAGAAGTGGAGCAACCCCATTGCATGCCAGCCAAAGTTACAAGCATTTGTCCTCTTTTTCCAAAATAACACCAGATCCATTCATTTAATGCAATTACACAGAAAGTTTGTGCTCAATGTCCCACGTTTACCTGATTCCCTCCACTTTTTGGATTCACAAATACTAACAAAGGTTTCATGAGAGGAGAAGAGATAGGCTTTATCACAAACGGCCTCCCTTTGTTCTCCTAGATGAAAAAAAGGAAAAAGCATAAACAGAGGTTTAAGGTGTGCATTCCAATTAGATATTAGCTAGAAAACACCCAAAGCCATCCTTATTTTCAAATAAGCTAAATGATTGTGAGGGTGGGCAGGCCGTCTGCTGGATGGTGCTGAATTCTCTTTGCCAAATATCAATAAACCTTTTGTTGAGTGAATGTATCCGTGACAGACCATTCACATCATCTGCAAACTCTCATTAACTACATAACATTTAACTTAAGGATGCCGTGGAAGGATGTTAACGATGTTAATTGCCTGCACTGATGACCCCAAGATTTTAGGGAAAGCAGCACAAATGCAATTCCAACCGAGCTGATCTCAGAGGGAATATCTAATATATAGATACATATCAATATATAAATAATTCTTTAAATCAGGGATGTGGAACCTCCACCAACACATCCAAGGGGAATCGCTGAGACAGCCAGGGAATAGAAGTGTAAAACATTAGACCATCACTTAACATACCATGCTAGGTGAACAGAACTTCCAAATGCAAACACAATCGTAACTAAATCCTTGTAACTAATATATAAATGCATTATTTATTTACTGATGGATTTAACCAATCTATAGTCCACTGACCAGATTTGAAAAATTTTCTCAAAGTAGTTTACAGTAAAATTTAATGTATGACTTATCTTCATCAGCTAAAATGTTTTAAACTGGAAAACTAGCAATTAACATACTGGGAAGGGTGAGCAGCTTTAGTGAGAGGGTGGTGAGCGGGTGTTTCAGGGGCTTTGGCAGGTGGCTGCTGTGGTCAGCTTGGCTGACTCTGGGACTCCAGCAGGTGAGGGGCTTCTGCAGACAGGTGCATGTACAGACAGGCGTGGGACTGGGCACATTGGCAAGTGGGCATGCAGGGCAGGGGATATGCAACTGGAGCCCATCAGGAGGACCTGCCTAAGTTTGGCATCAGCCCTGCAACTGGACCAGGGCAAATGCACAAGCATTTTGTCTTCTGGTGCAAGCAGAGGTGCTACATAGGTTTTCTTCCACCCACACATCTTGCTAGGTATTCCTGGTTGCTTGTGAATGCAGTGGCTTTGCAAATACAGATGATTATTTTTCATGGCCCTTCTTCTCTCCTAGCTTCCCTTTTTCTGGAAAACCTGAAGTGTATTAAATGATACTACTCATTCCCTTTTCCTTTGACCTGTCAATGGAAGAAAGCATTGAACATCTCAGTTCCATTGACTCTCATTGTATTTACACCATAAAGCCCAACTGGTTTAACCACCCTTTGGTCTCCAGAGGGACGCTGAGCACCATCAAGGGCATAGGCACATCTTCTAGAGAATGCTCCGCATGCTCACCAGTTGCACCAGCCAGGAATCTTTGCAGGATCCAGCAACAATTAAAAATTGATATGAAACCAGTGCTTCCTCGGCATAGATACATAAATCCAGCAGTGCCTTTCCTTAAATTCAAGAGGCAATTGAGAGCAAGTTTACAACTCAAATTGAGCAGCAGCAAGTAAGTGGAAAAGTGTGGAACATTCAACTATCAGTGATGGATTGAACACTGTGCAATAAGTTCTATACGAGAAGGTATGCGCATTCTGCTCCGTTTAGAGAAGTTAGAGAAAGGATGTCTAGTATAATGGGTTATACTTGAAATTGATATTTGTTTGGGAATGATGACAACCAACATAACATAGTTATTAATAGTTTACCTTTCTGAGGCAATCAGTGAAAAATTATCTTATTTACAGTTGCATTGCTATGATTGTCGTGGTTTTTCTCTTTTTATTTATAATCATAATGGTAAAAATAAAGATAATGATGAGCAATGGTTTGGAAAAGGTTTACAAAAGTTTACCTCATTGCCTCTTTTGCTGGCTTTCCTTTTAAAAGACGTCCTCTTCTTCCGCCTGGTTGAATTTTTCAGTGAATTCTGTATTCACAGAATACAAAGTGGGGAGAGGAAGAACATTTTAAAAAGAACAACGCAAAAGAGGAAAGCATCCTTATGAGAGACACCTCTGTGACAGTACCTTTGGGGAATGATACACCACCTGGCACACATGCGTGAGTTGAAAAGACATGCGTCTCATGCTTTACGCTTTCACAGCACCGGTTATGGAGAAAGCCACACATTGAGACCAGACTGGTACTTTCAGAACTGGAGACTTTCCAATGCTGCGAGGGAGAAGAAAACTAGATGCTCCCATAGACTCACATAACAGCACATGTTGTACCTGCCAACCCTCCCAATTCAGATAGGAGACGCCCGTTTTCCTTCCGGGGCTCCAGTCTCCCGCCCAATCAGGTTCGTCTCCTGATGTGGAGACCACCTGTATAAAAAGGTTAAGGAGAACAAGATAAAACGAGCTATGCTTCACGGGACTTCTTATTTTATTTCCTTTGAAGTGAATGGCATGACCCAAAACTGTGCTTACTTTCATCAACCTCATGTTGGTTGGCATGCAAAGTCACAGGTGGCTTTGTAAGCATGACATTATTATACTGATCGTGTATAAGAGCTTATTCATACATTACCACTGTTAAGTGTGAAGGTAAGAATGAGCAGGTGAATGTGACAACCTTGTTTGTAAAAGCATCACTTCTGGAAGGGTGAGGGGTACCTGCAGCTCCTCTCTGTCCAGTGCATTCTATCAAAACCCCATAGCTACTGTAGGGCAGCTGCCCCCAACTTTTGGATGATTTAGATTGCAACTCTGACCATTCTTGATCATAGATGGTGATGACTCGTGTTGATGGGGTTGAAGCCCAAAACATCTGGAGGGTCCAGGTTGAGTCAAGCTGGTTTACACAGGAAATTGCCTTCTACCAACCTAGTTGAACTATCCTATTATGATCCACTTTTAGATGATAGCAGTTCTTTATGGTCTCAGATCGACAGAGATCATGACATCACCTATTACTTGATCCATTTCTTCTAATGCCAGGGATTGAATTTAAAACCTTCTGAATGAACACCTGGTGCTTCACCAGTGAGTTATCATCCAACCACTGAATGCTTCACATAAGATATTCATCTATTAATTATTTCATTCCATGTTTATCTCACCTGCCTTCCACAAAACTTGGATGGGCATTGTTCATTTCCCAATTCCCTCTGATTTTACCCTCAGAATAACTTTATAATATGTGTTAGTCTGAGAAAGAGGGACTGTTGAAAGGTCACCAAGTGAATTTCATATGTAAGCCTAGATATCTCTTGCCCTGGTCTGGTGCTGTAACTCCACATCCAGCAAATTATTGACCAAATTAAATGCTATAATATTACTCAGAGATGCACAAGCAGTTGAAACCCAGATGCTCAAATATACCCAAGCTACTTTAAAGAGAATCAAGATGGGCCCAAATAACTTGGAGTAAAACCATCACAATTATGCTTGAACTCCTGGCCAGATCCTTTTTCTCCTTCCTCAAAGTTTTGGGGTGAACCTACAATGCTGGCTCCTGTCAGCACCCATCATCTCAGGCTGCAAAGGAGACTGACAGAAATATGGCAAAAACAGGACATAAAGACCGTGTTCAGTGGAAGTTTGTCTGCTTTTCAGGCCTATGGAGTCTTTTAACTCTGCCTATTCAGGTGAAAGGCAGTCATGCCTGCATTGATCTGATTAGGAGGTGCTAAAGATGCTGCAACTCTTAAAATGCCTGGAGGAAGACAAAATCAAGCAGCCACCAAAGATCTTCTTAGCCCAAGACAAATGTTGTTTTCTGCCTCCCAGAATGCTGCTGTGCTGCAAATTTCTTATATATTGTTTTACCCTTCTTGTTCAATTTGGTAGCAAAGAAATTGCTGTTGAAAAGAAAGTCAAAGAAAAAATGTTTGGAGAAACTCTCACTTTGGGGGTTCCTGTGCTTTCATCACCCAGTGTGGCTGAGAAGCGTGTGTGAGGGTCCACTCTTTTATTGTACAAACATCCCTTCAGCAGCCTGCAGCCTCCTCTGTTTCCCACACAGCAATGAAAATGCAGGACACGTTATCATGAAATAATTCCTCCTGCAGAGTTTTTTCAGCACAGGAAGTACAGGCAGCCTGGGTGGCTGCAGAGCTACAGAGAGGAGTGCTAGGAAAACACCCAAACAGAGACCACCATTGGCCACCTCATGCTGAACAGGTGGGCACAAAAGTGCCATGCAAAGAAATGCAAAATAATTTCAAAAATGCCCAGCAAATGAGGCAGAAAAGTGGCGGCCTTATTCATGGAAAAGAAATTGGAGGAAAGATTTTGGCACAGGCCTAGCTCGAATTGTTCCCTGGACTGAGACACAACACAGTCCCTCACACCTGTATTGTGGAGGATGCAAAATGGAGCCAAGCTGACAACACAGCTGGCACTATTACTACAGCACTGCCAAAACCCAAAAACGTTTGGGGGAGGAGGAGTCTGTGGCACAGCCTCTGCCAATGGTGAGAAATTCTGGAAGAATCTCTCTTCACCCTGGATAAAGCCAGTGATCTTGTTCTCTCAGTTTTTCCGTTCACAAATGAGAGGAGGGAATACAAGGGCGCCATTTGGTCACAAACAGAAGGAGCTGTCCTTGCTGGAAGAAAAGCCATGCCTAGATGGACAACTCAGGTGCAGGGTTAGGGTTAGGGTTACGCTTTTTCTGTGTCCAACCTCAGGCAACACACAGAATGCTCATTTCCAGACGACTCACCCTGCATCTGTGCTATTCCTTGCACCTTTTCTCATTGCAAAGGCATATTCACTTCACACCCGACTCTGAATGATGCTGGTGCGAAATGCATATATTAACCACTGCATACTCAGATATTCAGGATGTCTCAACGCTGCCAAGTTCTCAATTTGTTCAAGGATAGACTAGACATGCACATGGTAGGCATGTCATGAGCTGAGCCGGCTGGAGCCAGGGGTCAGAATATATGGTCCTGGAGGCCCCTTCTGACTCACTCGATGTTTCTATGTTTCAATTCCTGTACACCCCAAAACACCCAGGCTAGACCAAGGATAGGATGCTGCTGCACAAAATATAGTGAGCCCCCAAAGTTGCAAGCTGCAACACTCCCTGAGTAATGAAGTGCTTCTAAATTCTGTAGAGGCTCCATTCACCCAAGGTAGACATTTGCTTCCCCTTTATTTATGATCAAATGTGTCTTATATTGGTTCTCCATATAAACAAGTGGCTTATAAGTTTCTTCTTCTTTTCCTCCCCATTTGTCTTCACAACAACCCTGTGAAGGCCAAAAGTCAGTGACTGGCCTGTAGTCATCCAGTGATCTGTGTTGCTAGAACCTAGGTCTTCCAAGTTCCACTCTGTCATCACACCAGGTCTTCCTGGTCTCAAGACCCAGAGGGTCTAAGAAACCTTTCTGGATCAACTGGAGAACAAGTCTCCAATGGTTCCCAGCCCTCATGTTGTGACTGTCCATAGCTCAGGACTGGCATTTCCATGGCCGTGACAAAAGCCACAGGCCAATTAAAACTAGCCCTTGATGAGATCACAGTGACTTGGTTCAGAAGACCTGATAACCCACCCTTAAGGGCTTCATTTGGGTTGTTGTCAAACTGTTGTTAAAACATGTGAGTTGTTATTGCAGCATGGGTCACAGTGTTGCCTGAACCCAAGCAAGATAGCAAACCATGGTGAATAACCCACAGTTCACAACCCAACAAAGTACTGTGGTTCTCTTCATGGGTTGATTGTGGTTAACAAGCCACAATTCATTTGTACAGTTAACAGGCAACATAACAACTCACAACAACCCATGTTTCACCAACAGGTATTGGTTATCGCCTTATCTGAACCCAGCTGTTGAGGCACCACAATAGAATAATATTGCATTAGATTTGGCTTTCAGAGTGAAAATTCTCAGCACTATCTCACTGTAATTTGAGACATTTGTGCAAAAAAGTGTGCAGAATAATTTATTCTTATTTTAATATTTTCAATTCACAAATGGATACTTCTGCATTTGTAACATTTCATTTCATGAGTTGGGTTTCTAAATAAGCTTGAATCCATTTTTGTACCAAATCGGAACAATGACACGCAGGGCTTGAACCATTTTTTTTTTTTTTTTTTTACTTATTTGGTGGTGGGGAGGGCCGCTGGGGTCCCTTGTTGTTCTTTCCTTTACCTGTTTTCTCCCCCCCCCCCCTTTTTAAGGTTTAAATATCAGGTCTCAAAAATAAGTACAGTGGTACCTTGGCTCATGAACTCAATCCATTCCAGGACTCTGGTCGTGACCCAAACTGGTTGTGAGCCAAGTTAAATTTCCCCATAAGGTTCAATGTAAATAAGGTAAATCCGTTCTGTAACCATTTTTTAAATCAGAAAAATGTGAAGCAAAGTGACAACAACAAAGATTGCGGCCATCTTCCACCCCCCAGATCACGCCTGTCATCCTTGCAGGCACCCATCATCCCGGCGCGCTGGGGGGTGGGGGGGAGAGACAGGCGTGATCGCGGGCGCACTGGGGGAGGGAGAGATGGGCATAAGTGGTACGCTAGAGGTGGGGAAATGGCCGCGATCACAGTTCCGTTCGTGCAGGGAAGGCGTGCCTGATCAGAGGCACACTCCTGCAGGAAAGACAGGCGGAATCTCAGTCATCTTCCCCGCAGCTCTGCTTTGCTGCTCCCGTCTTTCCTGCAGCAGCGCGCCTCTGATCACGCATGCCTTCCCTGCACAAAAGCAACTGCAATCCGTGATCAGAGGCATGCGGCTACACAAATGACAAACGAAATCTCGGCAATCTCCCCCCCACCCCCCGGCTCTGCTTTGCTGCACCCGTCTTTAGTGCAGCGGCATGAACTGGTCACGGACGCCTTCCCTGCACAAATGGAACTGTGATTGTGGCCATCTCCCCACCAGGGGGCGGGGGGGAGATGGCTGCGATCCTGGTCGCCACCCAAAGCAGTGTTCGCGGCCCAAGTAAAAAATTTTCAGTAATTTTTGTTTGTGACCCAATTTGTTTGTGAGCCAAGGTGTTCGTGAGCTGAGGTGCCACTGTGCAAAAATTAGAGTGCCTCCTGCCCACACGTTCTGATCTCTTCATCTCATGCAGGTGAAACAGATGTTTGGGAATATTTCAGAAAAGAATGGCTAATAAGACACCCTAGATAAGGCATTTCAGACACAAGCCAACACTTTGTTTTTCTTGGTCACACAAGCCTTGCCAGTCGTGATGTTCCTCTTGAAAAGTCAGATTAACTGGATACCAGTTAAAATGTAATTTATTTTCACCATATTTCCTTATTGCTTTAAGTTGTATACACAGAACCCAAAAGCATGTGGACCCCCTTACTAATTCCTCCTTTTAACTGGGCTCCATTGACTATACAGTGCAGCAAATCATTTTTCCCTCATTCCTTCATTGTTGTTGCATTGTGATAGTATTTTCTGCTGCTGGGATAGTTCATGCTTCATTGTATTACAGCTGTATTGTATTGTGTTTAGGGTTATTGTCAGCTGCTTGCAATGGACTTCATTACTGGGCTGCATATGCATACTGTTAAAACAAATAAGAACTCATCCAATGTTCTTGTAACATATGAATTAGTATGCACAAAGAGTATAATAAGGAAAGTAAATTAGAGCTCAAAATATGCATCTCAGTGCTGATCTAAAGGGAAGCATCTATTCTGTTCTTCCATTTCTTCTCCAGTAACCACTGAAGACACTCTCCAGAACATGGATACACTGGTAGACAAGCCCCAAAGAATCTTTCAGACATTCCATCTAGAGAGGGCATCACATCACACCCACTGGCTCCATTTCTGAAATTTGTGTATTTCTCTGAAGATGTGGAAATTGCTTCTAGTGTATGCTAGTAATGGGACGGTTTATAAAACCTATAAATAAATAAATCCAATAAATATGCATGCAGAAATCCCTTTCAGACTTTCTGCTGAATGGATCGAGGTTGGGTGGTAGTACCAGCAGGAACAATCCAACTGTCCTCTCCATTATTTAGTCTACACTTGGAACAAAGTCCAAAGCACATTGATATCGCTACATGTCAAAGGGATGGGAATTAGAATAGGGGGTCTCATGGATGGTCGATGGTGTGGAATTGGAGTCCCAATAAATCCCCTGCTGATAAATCAGAAATATCAGGCCACTGTTGTGGCCAAACCATGTTGCAATGGTCTTTTGCTACAGCGGTCAAAAGAAATGGGGAAATGGGCTTTCCACCTCCTAATATAACAGTTTTCTCTTCCTGTAAAGAAGGAAGGGATGTGCTAACTTGGCTTCTTCTGTCATAGCATGCCCACGGCAAGCAAAGCACCATTTGCTGAAATCACTGCTCAATACAAAGATTAAAAGGACTGGAACCTTCTTTAAATTGGCTGCTTTTTAATAGAAAAATCAATACCTTATTCATCATATAGCGAACAGTGATAGATTTTTGAATGTTTAAACAAAAAAAGAAAAAAGAAATATAAAGGGGTTCAAATCTCTGCTGCCCAGTGCAGGCCACTTTCGACAGTTCTTTTGCCTTCATGCATTGGATTTTATCCATGAGATGATACAGCAAAACCGGCCTTCATCCTTAGCAACCAGACTGGTAAAAGAGAGCTTCTCCTAGGGTTGCTGCAGAATTACCTGGAGCCCATAGCAGCATAGAATACTAGAGTTGGAAGGGGATAAAGACCATCAAGTCCAACCCCTGCTCAGGGCAGGACGTCAATGCAGATCCTACCAGCATCTTTCAGAGTGAGAAAAGATGGGGCTGCTGCACTGGCCACCATGTTCCTTCACCTGCCCCTTTCTTCATCAGCCTCCCTGTCTTGCTTATTCCAGAAGGTCGCCAAGGAGACTGAATGAAGAGACTGGTGGAGGGACTAACTCAGGTGCTCAACAGCAGCACCCTTTATCAGCAGCCTCAGAACGATGACTGAAGCGGGGGGGGGGGCACCACTTGCCAGGCTTCAGTCAGGCACCACTTGCCAGGGGTGATCCCCTTCCTTATGCCCAAGAGCTGGATCCCATTTGTGGCTGCCTTCTAGTGGGGAGCAAGGCCAAAGACAAAACAGGCACCCCCCCCCCCGCAAAAAGCCCCAAACATCAGACTATTTGAGCTTACCACTCTCATGGCTGCAGTAGCTAAACCTTATGAGCAGCCATCCAACTCTCTAAACTTAAGAACAAACTGCACAAAAGGTTGGAAACCACCAAATGATCATCGTTCTGGGAGAAAGAGGGTTTGTCCTCTGGCAACCTCAGAAGCTATTCCAGACTGGGAGAGCCGGAGGGGGAGCCCAGTGTGAGTGAGGCTCTGCATCTCTGCTGCCATATGCAGACTCAGGCCAAATCTCAGGCGGCTCTCGGCCCGCTTTGGTGCTTGCCACATTAATGGCTGAATGCAGACCTTGACAGATTTCGAGCAAGGTAATAAGAACCTCTGCAAATAAAATGTCTCCGACCCTGTTTGAAAGGAACTCTCCTTTGCAGTCTGATGACTGGAAGTCCAGCTTCCTCAACTACACTCAAGCTTTCTGGAGGGAGAGGGAGAGGGAGAGATCAACAGAATCCCACAGTGGCTTTTCACAGCATCTCCTGAAGCCTGGCATTCTGGTTATTCACAATCCAAAGCAATCAGGCAAAAGAACCCTTCAAAAAGAGGCAGGGTAATGGTGTATAAGAAATAGGAGTGCACCTGGGGGAGGGTTTTTGGCAAAGCAAAGTGAGGCATGCGCTTCTGGAGGAGTACCAGGAGTTCAAGCCAAGCGGGCTACCCACAGTGTCTAAACAGACATTGGCATGCAGTTACCTGAGGTTTCTTCACCTTAATGATCCAGGTAGGGGGAACAATGACAGCTGCATGAACCCCTAGTGAACATGGCTCCTCAATGTGCTGCAGCATGAAGCAGGTGACTTTATTGTGAAACTTGGAGAAGGAAAACAAGAGGCATCCATGAGGTGGAGCAAGAGCACCAAAAGTACAGCAAAAGGAAGAGGAAATGCAAAGACACAAACAAGAGATGGGCAACTCCCAATGCTTTGACCAACAACTCCCTTTAGCCCAACCTAGCAGAGCCACTGGTGAAGACTTATGGGAGCTGTAGGCTGAAGGACCACAAGATGCTCACCCTTGACTTTATTTCTTTATTATCTCATTCATATCTGGCCTTCTTTCTCTTGCATGGAACCCAAGGCAGTTCCCATGGCTCTCCCTTTCTCCATGATCTAGTCCATCTTTTCAGCACCAGGCTGAGATGTCCCTGTTCTCCCTGGCTTTGATAATCTTTTTCAGTTTCTTAAAATATTTTGGTATTGCTGTTTTCCATCATTTTTGTCCCTAAATAATTTTAAAATAAACATAATGTTAAAACTTTTCTATTATTTAACTCCCTAAAACTTCCGGCTTTTATACCTGTTACTGTATCGTATACTATCTTGTCACATTTGATATTTATTATGACTTTATTTTTAGTGTTACATTTCTTGCTGAAAAAGGCCTAGAGACATGCCCAGGGAATGCTCCCCTTCCCACCTGCTGCCACGACCGGCCCAAAACGGTGCACCACCCCCTGGCAAGGACGGGCTGTGCTGGACTTGGGACTGGGTGTGTGGCCATGTGCAAGGCTCACGACATGACATGTCACAGGACGAGCATCCCCAGAATGGGTCACACTCCAGTCTTATTTTGGGACCACAGTAACTGAAACAGCAGATATGGAGGGTTTATCATAATATCCTTTCTAAATTCGCACATATACATAAATTGCAGTTCTACACCCTCTTTTTTGCTGCGACTGGTGTTGCTGTTGATGGCAATTATATTCATTTTGTATTTGATTTTTATACCGCCCAGCAGCCGAAGCTCTGGCAATGTGTCACTGGCCATCCTATTCAGCTTTTAAGAGCAGAAAACAAGAAAATGAGCAAAGTAGCCCATGCACACAGACTCTTGCCTCATTAGAGGTGCCATCTGTGGAAGACCAGGAAAAGCCTCAAAGCCATCTTATGTGTGCAGATGGCTACTTACCGCCAGCTTGCACCAGGAACAGCTGATGGCCACGATCTCTTTACTGTGGAAGGAGAATTTTTGTTGAAACCCCTGTAAGGACAAGAGGAGTTAGTCACACCCGCCAGTTAAGAGCTCTTTCTCATGAGGTGGTTCAGTTCTGTTGCAGAATTAAGATCCGAGAAAACCTGATATGGAGGGTTTCCTTCCCTGCTTTTGCACTACATAACCTCTAGGTTACACTGTGGTATAGTGAAATAGCAAATTGCACCGGTGAGAAAGTTGTTTCTTTTGCATTTACAATCAAATGCCACATTTTCCCTGCTTTAAAAGAACCTCCAAAGCAAAACTGGAGGGTCACAATATTGTCTTAAGCACCCATAAGTAATCCTGAATAGGGATTGACAAGCACACGATAAATGACTCTTATTGAAAATCATCCCTCTCAAAAACATTAGTTTGACCCCTTTGGTGTCTAATGCAAATTTTATGCAAATTAGTGTCCTCTCTTGTCCCCTTTTGGTGATATGTTTCCTCCTTCTTATCACTGCATATGCAGCCACCTTAATCCCACCTAGCACAGAGTCTTGCAGTAAGTCAGGGTGTTAACATGATCTTCTTCATCATCTGATTTAGCCACACCCTTGTTATTAAGCCTCTTTAGGCAGGCCAAGCCATTCTGTTTTAAAATGGTTATTTGTGACCTGCAGGATCAAAGATCTCAGGTTCTTCACATGCATAGCACCATAGAGCATGATAGGGCTGTATGCTAGCACATTCCCTATAGACAGCTGTCTGGCCATGGTCTGAAGACCTCCCTGTGGGGAGAGCCCATTGCCCTTGGTTCCCTTGATGAGCATCTCTTACCATCGAGATGCTTCCCCCCTCCTGTAATTTACACCCATTCAATCTAGGTGTGCCCTCTGGGGCAACAGATAATAAGACTTGGCCCTCTCTATGGGATAGCTCTATCAACAGCTGCAGGATGGGTGTTTTGCAAGAGAAGTAGGGCAAATAGGAAAATGTCACAGTCTAGCAACTGGGACAGACAATTCTTGTACTCTTAGGGTATACTCTATTTGCTAGGCAGTTGTTGTCAGGGGAGGCAGCCTTTTTTAGAGTCAGGCTCCATGACAGAGTGAATGCCATTTAGCAATCAGGTGATTCCAGTTATGGAACTCACACATAACCAGAGCAGTCCACAGAAACAGGATACCTTTTCCCTTCTTTTCCATATATGTGATTCTGCAAGTGCTTTTCCTTTGCTTTCTTTTAACCACACCATACTTAAAATTTGATAGGGCAAGATAGAACAGCTCAAAGAAGCTTGGAAGAGAGAAAGCAAAACTAGTTTGTCCCTGAATTAGTACAGAATTGTTCTCATTATGGCTGGAAGTGTCATGAATGTGACGAGAACATACAAAGAGCTGGGTGTTCTGTTCTCCTAATGGTCCACCAGATCAGTTGGAAGCCCACAAGAGGCACCCCACAGTAGGACACGAATGCAACAGCTCCCTCTCACCCATGTTCCCCAGCAACTGGTACTGAGAGCCGCACCGCCTCTGAGGCTGGAGGCAATGCATGCCCAACCAGACAGTAGCCACCGAAAACCTTATCCACATGAATCTGACTTTAAAAGCTTTCCAAGTAGCGCCCATCACTACATCTTGTGGCACAAATTCCATAATTTGAGAGTGTGTCATATGATGATGGACCCCCTTTTCTCTGTTCTGAATTTCCCACCATTGCACTTAATGGAGATGGCCCCAGCTTCTAATATTAGGCAAAACATACACTGGAGCAAACGCCCAAGTGCTTCCATGCAAGGCTTTATCGTGTCATTAGCCTGCCTCACTCATGGAGCTGCATGGAGCATTCAGAATGTGACCCTTTCATATTTTCCCACTGTTCCTTCCATGTCTTTTTCCTTTCACAAAAAAGTGGGGTGGGGTGGGGTGGGGTGGGGTGGGGTGGGGTGGGTAGGAAGGGAAGGGAAGGGAAGGGAAGGGAAGGGAAGGGAAGGGAAAGCAGCTGTACAATGCCTTTCAGGAGTTCCTGCCAGGAGCTCTCCATCTGGATGTACCTTTGGTGCACTATTCTTATCCAGCAAAACCCTGTTTCTTCTTTTCTCCCAAGAATTAGTCAGTGACACTTGAGAAGGAAGTCAAATGCACGATTAATCCAGATAGACAAAGCTAGTGGTAATTCATTCTTAGCCTGAAACAGAAGATTAACCTCCTCGCAGTTTTGGCCTGAAGCTCTGTAGATATTAATCATGTGCATGTTATTCACATCCATTCAAATATTTAGCCATTTCATTTACAACCACAGATGTGAGTGATGACCTCCTACAAAAGCAAGGTTGGCGGGTCTACAGACAGTACATTAAAATGCTTTTCTCTTGCTTTCACTTGGCTGATCCTTGATCTCGGCAGCTCTTGCTTGGATCCTATGGAGGAAAGAGGGTGAAGGGCTGAGAAACAATGCAAATAACTGAAGGGTGGACTCTGGAGATTTATGTGTTGATCTGTGGTATTTGTCTACATGAAAATGTAACAAAATTTCTAAGTGGTTAGATCACCATGCTGAATGAACATGTGCTACTGGTTTCCATGTCTTTCCTCTGTCACCATTTCTAAAGATGGTGTTCTTGTTGATTGAATACGTGTACATCCTATTGATTATCTATGCAACTAGCCAGAGCCTCGTTTGGGCAGCCTTATTCCTACCACTTATGTGCATATCTGTTCAGAAGCTGCATTCCACCTGCAGGGAGCTGCACATCCCTAGAGCCATGTGTCCTACCGAAGCAGGGCGGCTTGGTTTCTGCAGTCTCAGGAGGGGCTCTCTGATGCACTTTGCACAGATGGCAACTGAATCCCAAGCCCTGCTCTGCTCAGCTGTCTCCATCACAGGAGCTGTGGCCAGTGCAAGCCATACGGGGAGTGGGACATGCCAAGGGCAAGGCTACAGGAAGGGGCTTCAGAAGGCATGGTATCCATGTACCCAGCAGGTATCCAGGTATATCTGCTGACATCTCAGGCAAGTAAAGCACCTGCTTTCCAAGGAGCTAGAGCAATGGAACACCAATGCACACAAGAAAGCCTATGAAGGAGGCGTATCGTCTCTCTCCGAACATATATACGTCTGCATGTACACACCACCCTCGATCCTACTAGATTTCAAGGAAGTTCACAAAGGACAATAGTGTAGTAACCACAGCAGATTCATTCCTACAGCATACTGAAAAAATGTTAAATGCCTGGGAAAATAGAAATATCTGGAGTTTGAGACATTGTGACAGCATAAGAGAGTCCTTTTCCGGTCCATGTAGCCATAATGTTAATGGATCTTCAACCAGCTCTCCAAAGCTTCTGGCTCTGTTCCTCTGTTCTTATGCATACTTGGACAGAAAAAAGGTCCTATTACCCCCAGCATTCCCCACCCACCATGGCTCCAGAGAAACCCTGGAGTGATGGAAACCTTTTTCTGCTCGAACTTGCACAAGCTCAAACTTAAAGATGCTTTAGCTCAGCACTAGTCCCAGGATCATGCAGGCCTGAAAAATTGGTCTCCAAATGCAGGGGCTACCTGAGAGAGGCAATGCAAACTGAGAACTCTCATTGGCTGCACCTGATTTTCTTAGATACTTTGAGGAATGCAGAAAGGTAGCACTTTTAGGTTGTTGGTTATCCTGTAAGCCTGACAAATTCTGAAATCCACCACTTTTTAGATTTGGTCCTGCTTTAACTGGGAGGAATTCCTTTTGAAACCTGGGCCTCTTAAGACCCAGCTGCATCCACTGGCAAACTCCCTTCCTCACCAGGTTGCTGAACCACAGCTTTCTGCCTCCCACCATTAGCAACCTCCTGAATGAGATACAACACTGCAACCTGGTGCTTAGAGATTTAGTGATGGGCCAAGCTTTAAAAGGAAAAGAGAAAGAGAGAGAAAGCATGAACAATATAATTGGTACATGCTGACAGATAAAAGAGAAAGAGAAAGAGAGGATAAAATTATCTACCTTTGGAAAAACATAATAATGCAATGCTGAGAGGATTAGATGACATGAGAAGCAAAGATGCCATTCGGAGATAATAGGGCTCTTATTCTTTTTCAGGGCTTTTGTTCAAATTGATTTTTCAAACTTACTAACCAGAGAACTGAGGCTGTAGTACATTTAACTGTGCATTTAAGCAGTTTGGAAAAATCCCAAATTAATAACATTTTTGAATATCATATTGCTGTCTTGCTTTCAGGGATGAAAGCTTTATTAAAGTTCCTGAATCTTAAAACAGGTAAGGCTCTGGTAATCCTGAGTTGTCGAATATAGACTGATTGGGCCAAGTCATTGGGCCAAGCATTTGGGTACAGCTGAAACCTACCTACCTTCCACAAATTCATGGGAAAGGGGGCTTGCTATGAACAAGGGGTTCTTAGTTCCAGGACGAGGAAGTCTCTCAGTTGAGTTTTCTCTGGCATTGATGCTTCCTAGTGCCTTGGTCTGCCTTATTGCTTGCTTACCAGCTACTTCCTGGATGCTGCAGAAGCGATTTCACAAGCTTTTCCAGCAAAACAGACATGCTTTGCAGCACGCAGAAGCCCAGACTTCTTGACCATAGGGCATCACTGAGTTCTCCCTTGTTTTGTGTGGCTCTCCATTCCAGTTTGTTCTCAGGAATTTTGCCAAACTTGCTTTCCTAGTTGCTTGCCTCTCCTGGAAAATAAGAACTATGACCAGCCAGCTGCTCGTCTGAAGTTCTTGGGACATCATTCCATAAAGCAACCTGAACTGTGCTTAGGTCCCCAGATGTTAATGCATGATTTGCCTTCGATCTGGCCCATTGCTCCAGGGTTGAATGCTGATAGTGTGTCTTCAATGATCCAGTGGTGGAAGCACGATTGCATTCCCTGAGTTCCTCTGGACATGAGTTCCTTTCCAGTCTGCTGCCTTCCAGGTGTGTGGGATTACCAGCCATGACCACTGGCATGGAAGCCAGGAATAATGAAATGGTCCTGCACATCCGAAGAGCACTGGGTTGGGAACGCTGCTCTAGAGTCCTTCTAGAACAACTAGAAATGTTCTACTTTGGCCAAAATTGTTATTCCTTTATGATCAAGTTGTTAATGTGTTAACGACCATAACATGTTCACAGCTTAGACAGCAGAAGACAAAGCAGTTAATTAGAATGGAAATGGAACCTTACATTGTATGCATTTATGTCTTTCCTGTGAATGAAAGAAAACCAGGAATCTCGAAAATGTTTATGAACCCACTTTATATATTTATTTCCTTTCTTTTTTTTTCTGGGTCAGTATAAAAATGAAATAAATAAATAAAATGGGTTCATAAACATCCATAAAAGCTAGAGAATAAAATACAGTAACATATTATAAAAACAAAGAAGCCATTTAAAATGTTAAACAGCTAAAACACGCAGCCAAGAAAGACCCTGTGAACAAACACCTGTATTTTGGAATTCTGGAATGCCTGGCCTTCTTTCTGAAGATAATAGTCACCAGCTTGGACAGCTTTAGAAGAGGCTTGGGAGATAAGCCCAGCAATGGCTAGCATCCTGACACCCATATGCTAGTCCCAATATCAGAGGCAGTGGGACTCTTTGGACCAGTTGCTGGGAAGCACAAGTGGGGTGTTGTGTCCCTGCCTGGCTTGGGGGTTTCACACAGGCAGCTGGTTGGCCACCATGGGAAGAAGATGCTGGTCAGACCTAGCATGGCTCTTCTTATGTGTGTATTAGCAACACTACCAGAAAAGTCTGATGCAATAATAACCAGTGCTCAGATAAAGTTTGCTTTTTCAATATTTTATCAATGCACTTCTGTATTTCAGTAGCACATGGGTGGAAGAAGGAAAGACAGACATGAATTGAAGACCCTGAAAACTTCAGCAGATGTTTCCTGCTTCAGCTAAACATTTATATGGCAGGGTGAAAGTCCAGAGAAATAAAACATGGAGGAGAGAGAACCCACAGAATGGCAAAGGTATACATGGAAGTACCTCTGGTATTTAAAGATAACAATTTGTTATGATTCTAATCCAACAAAAGAGCCAACGGTTATGATTCTGCTCCAACAAACAATCCAACTTGAGGGCTAAATGTATAAATGCATTACAAACCTGGACATCTTGCGGGTCTTGTGCCTACCTTTCCACACTGCTTGCACTTCCCCTCCTGCCGCCGCCTATGCACCCAGTGATGTCGGACAAAATTCTGCAGTGGGAAACAGAACAAGGAAGGGGTAAACTTCGTAAAAGCAGGACACAGCCCTACATTAAAGAGAGGGCTCTGTCATATTCTTGCATTTACAAGTGCTGAGCAGGGCTGACCTGGATAGGACATCTTGGAGGGTTTCCATTCATAGGGCTGCCCTAAGTCAGAGACAACCTGACAGCACGTAACAACAGCAAAGTTCAGGTGGTGGAGAGGGAGAGGAAGAAAGGCAGAGAAGTGCATGTAGGTATAGGTATATGTCCTGTTATTCCATTCCCAAGGCAACTGAACCTGTTTCTGCAAGGAACAAGTAAGGTAGTTCTATAAATCACATACATACCTGTCCTTTTCAAACTAGTTGAATGGCCTCTGAAGACCACCCTGAGGAAAGATGTTATGTGATGGGTCTCCAGGCTGACACCTTCCGGGGGTGTTTGATTACAACTTCCATCATGCCTACCCTGGCTGGAAGTTGCACTCCGACACAACTGGAGAGCACCAGGTTGAGGAAGGGCTTAAACTGTTTCAAGTGTACCTATACATTTCCCTCTCTCTTTCTTCTCTCCTCAATTTCACCCATGTCCACCTGCTTGCCCTCAAAAGAGATGAGGGCAAGTTGCCCAGAGGAGTAGAAAGCCAACAGGCAGAGAAAGCCACTGCTGCTTGGAGGTAACCACATGGGAGCTTCACTCCAGTTGGCGGCCTGGTACCTGGCCATGGGGTGGGAGTGAAAATATCAGAAAACCAGCACAGAGTGGCGACTAGAGCATAGGACCGGGCCTTGGGAGCACTGGGTTCTAGTCCTCCCTCGGCCAAGCAGTGCTCTTGGATGATTTTGGGCCAGTCACTGACTAGCAGCCTAGCCTACCTCACAAGGTTGTTGAGGGGATTAAACAGAGGAGAAAGAAGAGGACTATTGGGTTCCCTGGAGGAAAAGATACAGGCTATACATAAAATAAATAATAACAGAATTCTCAAACTCCAAGAGAACTTTCCCACAAAGAACTGTGCAGCTGCAAAAGGAGAAAACCTCCGAAGAGACTCACACTGGTCACTCACCTCTCTTGGGGACCTAGAACTGCCTTCTCGGAAAGTTGGCTTGCACCGGAAATTAATCTGCCACATGGAAAGCAAACAAAGAGGCATCAGACTAGAGACCAAGCAATAATGATCGAAGAACAGTCCCCATAATGAAACGGGCAATTGTTGCTTAGCAGCTGAAAGCCAGAGGAGACAATGGTCATTCACACCAACTCACTTGCATGTCATGACAGATCAATCTTGCCACGAAAACCCATAAGGTGCAACCCAATCCAACTGAAGGCTTGCAGGCCTTTATTCCCTCCCAGCTCACACTGGATTGCACCTAAAATCATTCACTGTTCAATATTATGCATAATGACACAAATAAGTGCAACCAAGAATCAAAAAAGGTACTGAATGCATGCGGAAAAGTGGAAGGCCACCATTTCTTTACCAGATAAGCTTTTGCGACAAAAGTTTCTCAATATTTGCACATCATTTCCATTAACAAGGATATGTTCTCCAGGCAGTGGCAGATGTGCATTTATTTTGGTTATTTGTCAGAAGGGTTATTTGAACACGTTATTTTTTACTGCCGGTTTTATCTAGAATGCCTCGTGTTTTGTGCATTTTGTGAAAATTGACACCTGAAAAGTGGATGATTGTTGCATGATCTGTTGTAATTGAGTGACAACCATAGGCTTTTCAGGTGCTGATTTGGGCAAATCAGCTGATTTGACTCAAACATTCTTACTGTTTTTCTCCTGAACAATAACCCCCAAATGACACGCCATTTAAAAGATGGGAGTCTGTGAGCAGGCTTGAGTCCCACCATACTGAGCTGGCACTCATGCAGGACTGGCTGACCAAAATCCAGGAGGCTGAATTGTGAAAACCCATCAGATTTTCATCCCCCTGTTGGATTCCTCACACATCCCTGCACTGGCCATGGTGTGTGTGTGTGTGTGTGTGTGTGTGTGTGTGTGAGAGAGAGAGAGAGAGAGAGAGAGAGAGAGAGAGAGAGAGAGAGAGTGTGTGAGAGAGAGAGAGAGAGAGTGAGAGAGAGAGAGAGATAATGTACATGCACATGGATGTACACACACAAATAAATAAGAATATGTGTGATCTTAAGTCACCCCACTGATTGTTGCCATCCGTCCAAGATATAACCAATGAAGTTGAGTGGCACATGAAAATTCACAGAAATGGCATTATTCATGACACGCATGCAAATTATTATGGTTACCTGGTGAGTATGTAAAATGATAATGAAGCAGAGCCATATAATTCTCCCAGAAGGTCTAATTCCAGCTAGGAGGACTATGAACCCTATTTTACAGAGGACAGTATTTATTACAAGACATCCTTTCCCTGAAGGGCTGTCCAGTCCATGTCCAGTTTAAAGGTCTAGGAACCCTAAGGAGGGAGCAGGGGTTTAGAGTTACCCACCTGCACTGGCCACCTGAACAGCAGACTGAGGAGCCCACAGAGATCATAATGTGCTGCATGTCTGTTTAAATGCTAGCCAAGATTTCAGGCCTGCATATATACCTACAAATTCTAGGCTGCAAATATCCTGCATTTTTGCCCTTCTTGAAGGATGTATAAGTGGCCAACTTAGCCAAGCATCCATTTACTCCTAATATAAAAACACATGTAAGCAAATCTTTACGAGATCAAAAATTACCTGACTTGGAAAATGAAAAGACAATTCAACAACTTTTGATGTCTCTTCCGATTTGGAGATTCATATTTGAAGCATAATTATTTGCATCTTTTATGTCTGCAACTACAAAACCTATTAATCCTAATCTTAAACCTGCCACAGGCACAATCCTATGCGTGCTCTAACACAAAAACATCCTACAACTTCTGGCAAACTTCAGCCACCATCACCCAAAATTAATTTAACATCCTACTTACTGGCTAGGGAATACTGGGTACTGTCTACTGTCTGACCATGCATAGCATTGAGCTTAAGGTCACTTTGGGGGTTGCGTGTGTTGAATGACAAAGACAACGTCTGTCCTTGTGCAACTTCCTCTGTTAAGCTTCCTCTCATTTTGATCATCCTCTAGATCTTGCCAAGATAGGAAAGCTATCTAACCTGAGATCATATTGTTTAAAACTCACCCTAGCTGGCCACTAAGCCAGCCCATGGAATAGTTGTGGTCACAAGATAAAGTTTAAGAGAGCTTTAAATGCAGAATCAATCTTGGGGTTTCTTTTGCTTATTGATTAGCTAACTTGGCCAGCCTGGAGACTTTTATGCTTGCATGCATGTGGAACTCCCTCAGATGACACATATAATGGATTTGTAGGAATGAATTATAATTCCTGGTAAAGGTCAGCAAGAAAATCCGACCCATGTGTCTTGTTTCCCTGCTCTGCTAGATCATTATGAAGTTTTTCCATAGCATAATATGGTTGCATTTTTGAAGAACACATCTATATTTTGATAACACACACCTTAGAATACCACTCCATGCATCTGATAAAGTTGATTATAGACCACAAAAGCTTATGACACAATAAATATCAGTCTTCATTCTTGCACCAAAATCATAATAATACTATTAAGGCATGTTTGGACTGAAAGAAGTCCTTCAACTGGGAGCGGAGGAACTTTTTCTGCCTAACCACAGATAGGGTTGTGTCTTAAGTCTCTTTGTTCTTACAAAAGAAAACCCTTCCTACAAATACTCCTCTGGAATTTCTTGAAGGACAGCTATTTAACATAAATATCTTAGCAATTTTCCCGCTCTTGGACTTAAAAGAATTCTGTATGTGTATGAGAAGGGGGAAGGAGGGAGGAAGATTATCTGTTCTTGTTCTCCTATGTGTAAAATAAAAACTAGCATACTTCAGACGTATGCCCAGCAAGCTCAATGGGGCTTACTCCCAAGTAATCATGTATAGGATGCAGGTTTAGAGCATGCTTTTAGAAAGCAACTCTACGCATGTTTAGACAGAGAAAGACAATTCCCGCCATGCCTTTGATGTCCAAAAGACTTAGGGGAACATCAAGATTTGCAGAAGTCAGAAATATATTTGGGAAATAAAATCCCAGAGAGAGAAAGTCCCAAATAGCCATAGCTGCCATAGAATGTTACCTGATTGTTGGGGAATGGTTAATGTAGGGTGGCCAGCCGTCCTCTTTTAGAGAGGACCATTCTCTCTTTGACCTTTCTAATTCCAGTTTAAAGATAAAGAACCAAAATAACTCTTGCCCATCAACCAGTATCAAGACTACAGCAAGACTACAGCTTTTGCCACAGACTGGGGTGAAATTGACTTTATTTCCATTTAAATTGGAACAATTGCTTGCATATAAATTAGCATGTGTGTACTGGATGCAAGTTACTGGGGGTGGTTATCCTTATTTTAGGTGATTTGTCTCCCTGTTTCTGGCAATCCATCAGTGACCACCCTAGAAAATGCAACAACCAGCTGCAGGGAGAGAAGGGAAACTCGATGAAGTGGCCATTGTTCTGAACCGTAACATCCCATCTTGCAACTGTTCTTTCGGGTCCCCCTTGTAATCAAATAGAGATTTTGTTCCACTACAAATACTCCAGTAGGTGGCGCCAGCTTACCTTCTCTAACTGCTCCATGCATGCATTGTGGACTACGATTTTACATGCCGCACACTTTCTTCGAAGGGCTGACTTCTGAAATAATTCAAAAATTAATAAATACATTAGGGATCCATTAGCTTGTGAGGAGGAAATATTTTTCTTAGGATGCAAATATTGGAATGACGAGGCAGAGGGGCTGCTCTTATCCTTTGTTCCACCTTTTCTTCCCCCGCAAGACAAACTGCAATTGAACAAGATTGTTTAGTTGGTAGTTTCATGGAAAACGTTCCATCTATAAAGGCATCAAGGTGGCATATCACCGTTTATAATAAATGCATTATAGGAAAATAGGATGAAAATACAGAATAACAATTGGCAAAATCAGGAGTTAGTCAAGGAACATATAAATTGCAAATAATATCACTGGAGGTTAAAGTACATTAAGTGCTGCCAAGAGTTTGGGGAAATGGAAAAGCTTTTAACTAGTACTTAAAAGGAATGTGCTCAAGGCAAGATACCTGGGGCTGGTTCCAGCTTTAAGCGTCCTTTGGTGAGGTTGCTCCAGGCATATGTAGCTCAGAGCTATATTCAGCAATGGACTGTGGGCAGCTGACTAAAGCTAGGGCAAACTTCTGCAAAACATTTGATATCTGGCTACAGTTCACTTTCAGTTTATGGAATGCAACCCTTTTCCAAATGTCACTTCTGAAACTGAGTTTTACAAAGCGAACAAAAAAGACGACTTCGGCTGGTACATTTTAAGAAAGTAGCAAAATGCAGCATTTTTGCAACACCCATAACCAGGAATGTTAAGAGTGGCAATGAGATGTATTCATAGATCTATAACATTTGCTCTTATGCAAGGACTATGAGGTAGGATGCTTTGCTTGAGAGACATTTCTCCCAACTGTAATCTATCACTATTAAAAACTGAAACTGAATCATCTTACCCCTGACGTAGCACCCGAGCCCCATGAGTTATGAGTAGGAATTGTCATCTTGCAGAACACAATCTCCCCACCCTAATATACTTCTTCCTGAGGGCCTCTCCATCTTACAAAAACCCTATATGAAAGCCCTCCAGAATGTCCTTTCTTTGAATATAACAGTGTTTTAATTCTTGCAAACTGAAGGCAATGGCTTCCTTTATGGAATCATCAGATTGGCATTTGAAAAACTGCAATTTCTGGTCATGGCAAGCAAATTAACCACCATGAGACAGGACAGAAGAGCTGAGTGCTGATTCTAAGGATGAGGGATCATTCCTATTCATGTGCGTACAATTAACACATCTGCAGGAAGCAGCGAAAGGCCACTAGGATGGTGGCTGGTTTGCAGGGTAAGCCATATGAGGAGAGACTGAGGGAACTGGGTCTTTTCAGCCTTGAGAAGAGGCAACTCAGAGGGGACCTGCTAGTGACATACAGGTAAGTGAGGGGGTGCCATGCAGAGATGGGTCATGACCTTTTTCCCCCTGCAGTGAAGGGCAGGATGTTTTCAAATGGAGCAAAGCTCAGGGAACCAAGATTTAGGGTGGATGTCAGGAAGTACTTCCTGATGGTTAGAACCACAGGTATGCAATGGGCTTCCATGGGAGGTGTCTGAAGCCCCATTGGTGAGGGTGTTTAAGGATAGGCTGGACATGCACATGGTAGGCATGGCCTGAGTGAAGCTGGCTTGAGCCAGGGGTCAGACTAGATGGCACAAGAGGTCCCTTCTGACTCACTCTGTTTCTATGATTCTAAGCAAATCTGCTTCCCAAAACTGCACAGCTCTGTAGTCCTTGAGCACATACAATGGACTGAAGGTGCTGAAGATCCCCTGCTACTGTATGTCTGACACTGTATATGTTTGGGCATGTTTTCATATATCTTATTAAGTATGTCGCTATTTCAGTGTGCTATCAATGACAGGGTGACCATGAGTCCTACTTTACAGAGGACAGTCCTCTATTTGAAAGTGTCCTATTGTTGAACAGCTGTTGATTCCAAGTCTGGTTTGAAGATACAGAACTATAAGATGGTAGAGCGGGTGCTTTGAAGCTGCCCATCAACAGCACCTGGAAAGCACAGGCAGAACAGCCCCACTGGGACCCGGTCACAGCCCCCCTCCCCACTATGGTGAGATGAACCATATTTCTATGCACACTGCTGTTAGTCTTTATTTGTATGAATTACCACATGAAAATGGTATGCAGACCTGTGCCCTCTCACCTCCTCTTTTTGGCCGAGCGGAAGTGACCACTCTCCTTTGTCCATGGGTAGAGATGGTATGGAGCCTTTTTCTCCCACTCCCTTGTGCCATCACTGAGCACAAGCTTGGGTTGGGGATCCGAATGGCAGGACTGCCCCTCTTTTCCCAGCCATCTGTATGCATTTATTGACTACTTGAACAAGACACCTATGCAAACAGGCACACTCTCGCCCTCTCCACTGAGGGTGTCTCCTCCAACCGAGTGTGTACATACATAGGATCACAGGAACACAGCAATTACGAAGATCCAACACTCACGGAGAATTTGACTTGGCAGCTCTCCTCCCCGAGGTAGCACAGGTCCCCCGAAACATTTGTCTCCAACCAGAGGTGCTCACCATTCACTGCATTTTCCTGGGAGAATAAATGTATGTTATTTCTTAAATTGCCTGCTGTGGACTTTGTTCAGCAGGATATCTCTTAGCATTATGGCCCAGGTTCTCTTTATCAAATTACTACTACTTAGCATGCCCAAGAGTGTAAGCCACATGGAAAGGAATAGTTCCTTTTCCTCACTGAATGTGTAAAGATTGCACCATCAAGTGGAAACCCTCTGTTATTTACTTAGAAGCAAGCATTGGTAAACTCAGTGGGACTCACTTCTGGGTAAATATCATAAGATTGTGCTTTTATTTATTTGTTTGTTTGTTATATTTATATCCCACCTGTTCCTTTAAGGGAACTCCGGGTGGCTTACATAATCCTCCTTCAGCATTCAATCATCCACACAACAACCCTGTGAGGTACGTTTGGCTGAGAGCCTGTGACTGGCCCAAAGACACCCATTGAGCTCCATGGCTGAGTGGGGATCAGAACCCAGCTCACCGGAGTCCCAGTCCTGCATGCTCAACCGCTACACAAAACTGACTCTCATTTGTGCTACCAGAAAAAAGTCATACAAAATGAAGGAAAGATGTTCTGTAAAGATCAGCTGCAAGTCCAGATCTAGAAATTGCTGGTATTTGGTTTGTTGTTCATCCTGGTTTTTTTTTTTTTTTTCTTTTTTCAGAGTGCATGGATTCCTAAGAAGCCAGAAATTAACAGCCGTAAACCACCTTTTACAAATGATGAAGTATTCAAGGTGCATTTAAAAATAAGTTCTACATTGGAAGCTCCTGTCTGAACTTTACCAATATGAAAATAAAGAATCATTTAGCATTCTTAACTACTCATTTCCTTATGACCTAAATATGAAAGCAAATTTTTGGGAACAGCTTTGATGGAATTGCACATATTGTCAGCATTCCAATTATCATACCTTGTCTTCATAAGCTGCAGAATGAATGAGCCTGTTCCCAGCCCCTCTTCTGTAAAAGCCCCAACTAAATCAGGAAGTTGTCCTGGCCATTCTTCTCTCCCTCCTTCCAAGCAGACCAGGACAAAGGGTTCCTAACATAAAGACTTTATCATGTTAAAGCTGACCGGCTAGGCTGCTTTGTAGCACAAAAGAGAATGGCAAAAGTCAGTAGCAAAAGAAACAAGGGAAGCTAGAATACTGAATATTAGGGAAATGTGGCTTAAGGATAAGAAATGAAATCCAAAGTGAATATGCCTCTTCTTTTCCAAGCTGAAAAAAAGCAGGAAGGTGGATCCTTCTGCCACAGGGCCAACCACTTGGAACTTCTGATGCTTCTTAACTAGTCAGACCCTCTTAACCTGATGCCTCATTCTCTGATTAAACTTGCTGGGTCCTCTCTTCTCCATATTGGTTAGCTCACTAAACTTTCCCATCAAATGTAAAACAGTTTGATTCTCAGCAGCTGCCCGGCTTAACTCTGGGTCCCCTGGCTTTAGCGTTCCAGCTGCAGCTTCAGACCACCATTCCTTCTTCTGAATCAGAATCCAATTCCACAAGCTTTGAAGTTTCTTTCATATGTGCATTTCCAATCCTTAGATAATTCTTTAATTAAAAATAGATTCCCATTTCATCCAAACTGGAAAAATATAGATGCTAGTTTCATAACATGATAGTATATTGCACCAACTTCATGCTTTGTTATCCTGGCTTATAGTGAAGTTGGTAACCAGCTGGTAACTGCAGTTTCCCACATTGAACTAAGTGGTAAACTGTGATTAGTTGGAGATGCCCTGGTTTGTTTTGCTCGCATTGTCAAGGGAGTAGTGAAGGGGTTGAGTTCAAGGGGCAGCGGACACATTCATATCTCAGCCCAGTAGACTGAAATATAGTTATCTGAACCTGATCCTTCTCTCCATCTAATGCCCTTCAGACAAATCCATAATGCAACATTGTGGGTGGGTTGAGTCATGACACTGTCATAATGCTTGTACCTCAATCAGCCCCATATTCTCTGATCTAAGTATATACCCTGTTTGCCCTGCTCAGCATCCCATAAGGTTGGAAGACCATCCACCACTCGCAGTTCTGCGACTGGCCCAAACTAATGTATGAAACAGATCTGCTAGATTGTAGCTGATTCTATCAATTCCTTGCTTTTAAGAACATGCAGCTCACTACTTTGAGGAGAAAGGGACTTTGGGGTCTGCAAGATTCCTCACCTGTACAGGCCAAAAGGCAAATCAGAAAGCAGGAAATATTGTTGCCATGTATAAAATATGAATGCATGGCCAAATTAATGCATATTTGCCGAAGTCATTTCCTGATGCTCTTCTCAGATGTGCTTTGGGGATTGTGAATGGTTAAGCACAGGTAAGGGTTTGGGTTTTACAAAGGACAGGTGGCAAGTCTGGCTCTCTGTGCCTTCAGAAAAAGGGTGTTCAGAGGGAAGATGGATTACATAAAGCAGTACTGGATCAGACCAATTCCAAGACCATCTGGACTTTCTTTGGAATTTTGGGGCTGGGTACCTTTATTGACCAAACTTGGAAGACAGCTGCAACCCAAAATCATATAGCTTTAAAGGGTTTCCATTTTGGTTTCCATCCTACCTTAACATAGCCTTAAGCATGGAGAACATTTATGATGCTCTGCTTTAAGCAATGGGAATAAAGAGGAATGCCGAACTGCAGCATGACGGAAAATGCATTGAGCATGCCTGACATATTGGCTTCTGCACTGCAAAAATTACAAATGAATTCACTGCTTTTGAGCCAGATGGTGTCCAACAACAGATTGCTTACAGATCACCTGCACAGTCAACATTTTTTTTTAATTTTATCATTGTCAATAGCCTTGATGGTTCAAATGTGCTGAAACCAGGGAATGCTTTTCTTCTTACCATTAAAAAGAAATGACCCAGACCAAGGTGAAAAGGGACATTATTGTCTGTCTTTCATGCTGAACATTACAAAAAGTAATTTACTTTTGGAAAAAGGAATACATGTAAAGCAAACCAGCCACACAGGCCAATACATCCCACTTTTCATAAGCCAAGAAAAGATGGGAAATAACAAAATAGAGAGCAGCAAATCTTGGCTTACTTGCCTACTCAACGGTGAAATCTTACACAGAATTCAGTGGGACATATTCCCAAGCAACTGACCCTCCCTCAGTTGGTTTCCCTCCAGACATGTTGGGTTACAACTTGCCATGGAAGTTGCACTCCAACACCACTGAGGGCACCAGACTGAGGTTGGTGGAAGAAAAGGTTTTCAGGCTTAGTTAGGCAAAGGCAAAGGCAAAGGAAGTAGCAAACTTGTTTCTTTCTGTGAGTGCTAAACCTCTGTTCTGGCTGTATAAGGAAAAGTCTGGGAACCAGAAGGCTTTGTGCCACACCCGTAGCCAGGCCAAGTCATTCTGTGTCCTGAAGTATTGAAGTGCCAACAAAATTGTCCTGAAACAGGCTCAGAAGAGAACTTGAGAGAGGTTAAACTATAAAACCTGACTCAGAGTATTCCAGGACAATCTTTGGGATCAAAAAAGATATTTCTCAAATGGTAACGTTTGACAGATGAAAGGTCTATATAGATTAAATGAAATTACATGGTTTACAGAAATGTTTTCTTCTCATTTATTTATAATAAATAAATAAATAAATAAAAATAAATAAAACCTGCATTCTACTGATAATCAAATACTCCAGCATGCCTTATGAAGCACCCTGAAATCAGTAGCTTGCAGGGGAAAAGCAATTAGGTGCAATGCTATGCATATGTAGGCAGAAAAATATCAGAAATGCCAAAACGCCCAGCAGTGTGCATTGGATTGGGCACGTAAACCATTCATTTATTTGTTTATTCTATTTCTACACTGCCCATCCGCCCAAATGCTTCCTTGGGTGGTTCACAAAATCAAAAAATGCTATTGTTAATATAAAGCAGTCATTATAAAATCACAATAATACAACTGGTATAAATACAATAAAATGATGATCCACCCAACACAGCTGCAGCTAAATCAGTCTAGAAGTGCATGAATGACAATAAAAATCTAACTAATAAAATATCGGGTAATTACAAAGGTTTTCACCTAGCACTAAAAGGAAAAAAGAATGGGTGTCAGGTATACCTCTTTGATGGGGTGCCACAACTGAGAAGGCCCTTCCTCTAGGAGCCAGTAGCTACTAGCTCCCCAAGGAGGCAGTCCTACTAGCTCTTCTAGTAGCAAGGTAGGAAAATACCCACTGCAACCAGGCTGGCATTTTTATTTTCTGTAGGACAAGATTTCAAACCAGCTTGATATTTAAGCATCCTTGTACTTGCATAGCCTCCTGTTCTCTATGCCAATTCACACTGTTTCTTTAGGATGATGCCAGCTAGCTTTCTAAAGATAAAAATGCTCTATTTCTACAACCCAGTTGGGAAGACATCTAGTGTCTCCTTTGCACATGTCCTTGGAAGGGTGATGGAGCTAGATTCTTAATGGCCCTAATAAATTACACCAGCATTCCCATGAGGACTAACTAAAAAGGGGTCTATTGTCAGGAACACATTGCACTGCCCCTCCTGAGAGTTTTTTATAGCTTCCTCCGCCACTGTAGACATGATATGAGGTTCTGCTTGTAGCTCTAAATATGTATCTTAGGACACAATCCTATGCATATTTAGACAGAAAAACGTCCTGCGACTCCAGCATTCCTGAGTCCAAAGTTCTATGATTCCCAATGTTTCCCAGCCAGAGGGGAAAAAAAAGACTTTCAACCCCTAGAAGTCCCAGGCAGAAAAATGTCCTACAGCATCCATCATTCCCCAATGATGGATGCACTGCTGAAGAAGTTGTACTCCAATAATATTTGGAGCCCACAAGTCTCTTACCTCTGTATTATTGTCTTATACGAAAAACATTTAAGTTGTCCGTCCTTAGACCATCTTGCTCAGGAGTGGGGAAGCTCAGTCAAAGCTGGCCAACCCTGGACCTCGAGGGATGCAGAAATTGGCCACCTGGGATCCCCCAAAGCTATGACACCTTCCCCTCGTCATGCCATCCCCTTTCTCACCATCACTGATGCTGGTGCCCCAGATTTTGTGCTTTCCCCCCCCCCCTTCTAAAAGGCTAAATTGACTTCCTTGGGGCTTGATTACTAACAGTAGGAGCTGTGGTCTCTTTGCTGCTGTCCATCCCAGGACTGTCATCCCCAAAAGCTATGCACTTTGCATTTTCATTCTAAAAATTCCATGTATGCATTTTGAGATCTTAGCATTGCTGTTGGCTTTCTATGTGGGTCACCACTTAGGTTTTGTTATGCTTTAAACATCCAGTTTTATATTAAGTTTCACTACGTTGTATTTTATGCTTTTAAGTTGTTCGACAAACTGCTCAAGCTGCTAACAGACCATACAGAAATGTAATGCATAACCATATAAATAGATAAATAAAAGATCCAAAATGGAATCTGGACCAATTGCTGAATAAATTCTGCACACGGATCTAGAGTCCTATGTGGAAGTTGGAAGCCCCAACGCAAAGCTAATCCCCAACTTCAGGCATTCAGCTATATTCATGAGAATATTTTTAGAGTGTCCCTTTGTTCAATGACTGGCAAGGTGATGTACAAAGAAAGGCAATAGAAATAGTAAACCCCATCAGCAATGAGAAGATAAACAATTTTTATATACTAAAGCCATGCCTATCCTTGACACTGGAACTAATCCTTATTATTGCACAGATACATTTGAATGTATGACAGCAAAGGACAGTGAATTCTCAGAAAGGTAAGTAATAAGTAAGCTTTTAAATGTTACCACTTGGGAGGAAGAATTTCTGAATAAGAATGTGGTGTAATAATAATCCATATCCATCATAAATTAATTGCGCCTAACTGAAATTTGCAAACAAAACTTCTAGCTTTGGCAGGATTTCCTTTTCTGAACAAGATGAGAATTCTGGAGTTTTTCAACCATGTGACGTTGCAACCTGGCATGTTTTTCTATGCTTGCTTGCTTTCATCCACAATAGAGAACCATGTTCTTATTTACATCAGTGCTATAACATTAGCAAATATCCTGGACTTTAAAAAAGGTATACATACACTCCATTCCAGTGCCATTCTCGGCTCCTTCACTGGTCCATTGGTAATTGCAATGTTGAGGTTTTGTGCAGGCACCAAATGCTGGAGGCCAGACCTGGATATTGCTTTCCTGCAAGAGAAGTATATAAAAATTATATATATAGATAGTTAAGGGGGGTGGTGTGACATAATTAAGATTTAAAGGTTTAGGGATTTAGATTACAGTTGCTTTTTCTTTTTTTCTCTCTCTTTTCTTTTTATTCAGTTTTATGGTTGTGATTGCTTATTCATATTTTCATATTTATTCATATTTTCTTTATTATTATGAAGGACAGGATAGAAATGTGTTATTAAATTTAAAAAATAAATTAAATAATTGCATCATATTTTCCTCTAGCAGTCTGTACATAGAAGGCTTTTAAGGAGAGGCACAATATTATCCATCCTCATTTTAGAGAGTGCATCTTTCATGGAGTTCTTTAAGACTGCAATTCTGTCCATGTTCACATGGGTATAACCATCACTGCCCCATATTTAGTGGGATTTAGTTCTGCGTAAACCTACAGGGCTGCACAACATTCTCAGCATTCAGTCCAGGCCAGAACTTGGCAACTTCCAGGGTGCAGCAGTTGCCACCCCTGCCCCCATGGGCAAAATTTGGCAGTGCAGTGGAGGAACCAAAGAACAATGACCGTGCTTAAAAACAAAGGATGTGAGAAGCATCATTAGGATCAATTAGAACTCAGTTCTACGACCATTGCCCAACATAATAACACAAAGTGGGTTACAAGAAACCAAATAATGAAACAGCAAGCTAAATAGAATATCAGCATTTTGAGCAAATGAAATAATAGGTCTTGTCACTCACTGTAATAATACATTCAACAAAAGCAAGTCACCAAAATAGAAACAATAAAGAGATAAGTCATGACTGTGGCTGTCTCATAAGCGCTATCCATCAAGGCCTGGCTGTGTGCAGACCTCAGATAACCACGTGGCTGCATCCCAAATGTGGTATAAAGAGGGCTTCATAGTGGCTATGGAGCACCAAAATGGGCGAATTTAGTCTACAGCACCCCTTTTATTTATTTTTTTTTCAGCATCTGGCACCCACATGGTGTGGGAGGTGAGTCCCATGGGAGGAGGTCCCTGGGGTGAGAATGCCCACCTTGCGCTATAGGATCAGACTGCTTCTATAGGCTCAGGCCAGACTGCCATGCTAGCTCATCCCAAACATGAGCCCACTGCTGCAGAAACGCTTCTCCGATCTCAAGGGGGATGCATGCGACTTCCTGAAAATGCCACAAATGCTGTGGGGTAAAGCGTCACCAAGCACAGTGAGGATCAGTGCCAAGCTTTCCCCAGGCTCAGAACTTTGGCCTCTGCCTCTAATCCTCTCAAGGAAGCTCAGTGTTCGTATCGCAAGTGTTCATATCGCTGTGTTCAAAGCCCGTACTGCCCCGATGGACACACATCCTCCATCTTCTCAGTCTGGCTGTCCACCAGGGAATGTAATTTGCGGGCTTCTCAGCAGTTTTCCAAGCCAAATTAATGCACACCTGATGTGCGTGGTATGTTCTCCTCTCCACTGATTCAATGTTTCTGTGAGTCTCACTACAGCAGGCAGATATGTCACTAAGAGCCATGTCGCCTCACTTGCTGCGGCATTCGGTGCCGCTGTGCATTGCAGGAAAAATAAACATAATTTTTCATATTAACAATAAGAAACGTTCAGATTGCACAAGAGAGGACAATCGGATCTGATTTCTAGACCATGAATTGGCTTTGAAATGCTCAGCTAACTGTCAACAGGAGAGAAGCTAGAGAGAAGGGGCAACAGCTCCCATGAGTGAGAATTTCCTGGCTCCGATGCACCCCATTCATGGAAGACGCTGTTGCTTTCTGCACAGAACACTGCATGCAGAAGCAGCTGCTGCCTAAACATGCATTTTGCCCGTCTTAGAACTTCTTCATAATGTGTTTGCATGCCCATTCTAAGAGAGAGGACAGACGAGGGTGTTGTGCTTCCCCAGACATTTTGCTGTGTGAAGTAGGGCCTGAAAGACCTCCAAAACCACTCCACTGGGCCTGCCTTTTTCCAACTCTAAGCTCAGGAGCCTGTAGTCCCCCATCAGCCTGAGCCAGCATGGCCAATAGCCAGGCATGGTAGGAGTTGTAGTCCCATCTGAAGAGCCAGTGTAGTATAGGGGGTGTGGAAGAGACTCGGGAGAACTGGGTTCTAGAATCCACCCAGCATGAAGCTCACTGGATGACTTCTGAGCAGTCACAGATACTCCTAGCCTACCTCACAGGACTGTTGTGAGGATAACATGAGGAGGGGGAGGGGAAGAAGGATCATATAAACCTGGGTTCCTTGAACAAAAAAGGCAAGATATAAATATTTTCACAAAATAAATAAAGATAAAATTTCCGATCTCATTTATGGAGGATGAAAGGTGATGGATGCATGGATATGCCAGTAAATTAAAAAGTTGCTACGTCCCGGCACACCTCAAGGTGCTGTCCAAAGGAAGTCACTTCATCTTTCACAACAGGGCTGGCCCTGTGCTTCCTCCTCTCCCCATTCTTGTTTTGGACATCCCAAAAGGAGCACGCGCGATCTCCTGTTATGGGTACAGATGCCTCCTCTGGCTCCCAGCTGTTTAGAATGTCCAGTGTTTGTGTTACAAGACGCACAGTTAATGAGCATCACTTTTCTCCCTGCACAAGAGGCTAACACAGCGGATGCAGATGACAAGGGGTGCTCTCTTCCAGCTGTAAGTCATTAGAACTACACATTCCTATAGAAACCCAAACTGTGGCAAAGTATTCTGTGCCCAGAGTATTTACTGGTAAAAAATTCCAACTGTTCAGTAGCTACTTACAAATCACATAAATAGCTCAGCTACACTCAAAGTTCACAGGCCCAGTGCTAACAATAATATTTTAGCCCATCAGCATAACAAATCCCTTCACTCAGATGGCTTGGAAGCGCTGGGAGCTGCATGGCTTATTTTCTATGTAAACATGCATAAGGTTGCACTCTAAAATTAATTTGATTAGACAGTTTGGAGTGCTTCCAGACATGACTTTTATTATGCAATTGCCATGGCCCTTGTTTCATTTCTGGAATTTTACAGGGGGAGTCTAGTGCTCATCTTCCACTTGCATTCTCCCAACATTTACACCATCTTTTTTCATGCCTCCAAATTGTAAAAAAGAGTTAAGGAGAAAAAGATGGCAGAGCTGCTTGGTAGCACTGTAAGCTGTCCATCTGCAGCAATCTTTAATTAGGTGAAACTCCTACTATAGAGAAATAGGAATAAGCACTTAAGCAATGTCATTACTCAAATTTGTAGCTTTCCAAGTTTCCCAGGCTAATGATGTGCACAAGCTACCTGCTATTTCCCAAATATGGATTCTGGCTGCAGCTATGGTGGGCAGAAAAACAGGAGAAAAATAATGGATAATGAATACAGGGGATCAGGGCCAGCTCTGCAACCAAGATGCTTCAAGGAATGAATGTTCAGTGAAATACTGTGGCTGTATTATTTGCCACAGCTCATTCACAATCAAATGCTGAAGCTGATCTCACTGGGATCAGATTCTCTGCTCAGACTTCTAACAATAAACCATCAATGAACCATCACCAACTTATAAGGCAAAGAGGCCTGATGAAGGGGTACAGATGGCCCAGCGTCAGGCCCTGGATACAGTTTCAGGTCTGGATTACTTGTGGGTAAACATCTTGTAACAAAATCTCAGACTTGGCCCGGGCCCCTGAAAGGTGATCTAATGATGCTGAGCTTTCCAAAGGATGCTTAGCTGTTTATCCAAAGAACAGCTTTCTGCATCTGCCAGGTAAGGATTTATGGTTTTGAAACAGGAAGCAAGCATAATGCTCAGTGACTGTGAAGGCTTATTTCAAATGCAAGGAAGAAAACCCCTCCCAGCTGAACATGTTGTGTGAAGGGTTTTCCATGTTGACTCGAAATCCAAATGCCAGGAAATTTCAGCTGTTAAAGACCACACTCTCAATAGATGTTTTACAGTGTTTAGGCAATGAGTGATGAAATGGCATTCTGTAACATGACTAATCCCAGTATCGCGTGCACCTTGGAGGTGGATGGCGCTCAGTAGCCCAGTGGGGGACCTGTGTCCTAGATTTGTTGGTTTGCTGGAATGGACACACGAGGTCCGTCCGACTGACGCTACCGTCCCACTTTAAAAGCACCCAGCTTTTGGTTATAATTTTGGAACAAGACACCACTGATTCATGACCACCACAGCATACTGTTATGATCTATGAAATGTCCAGCTCAGCCTTCCCCAACGGTGTTCCTTCTAGACACATTTGGACTGCAACACCCTGTAATTGGACTGTAAATGGCCCTGCTGGATGGGAATTCTGGGGCTAAGTCTGCTCTAGTTAAAATACAGGTTGTGTGTTAAACCATAAGGACCAGAAAGATCCTTCAAAGCAAAAGGTACTTGCATCCTACATGTCAGAATTATTTCCCAAATCCATATTATTGTAATGCCTTAATTAGCCAATCAAAAGTTGTGTAAGCTCTTGAAATCTTCTAATCCCTTCATCAGTAAAGTTACAAAGAACAGGATAGAAAGAATGGTATAGGACAGAGGGAGATATCAGCTTGGTAATGAAGTCACGTGTGTGAAGTGGGGGAGAGGAGGGTCTCTAGGCTTTTAGATGAGGCTCTGCAAGTCATATAACAGCTTTGGCTGGACCCATTCCTGGAGTAAAAGTCCATTTCCCTTTTTTTTTAATATAACAATCCAACTGCTGCTTTGACTTCTTTACCAGTAGACCACAGGCAGTCCATATGTTAACAAGGCCAGAAATGATTTCACATCCTGTACTATCAAAAATCAAAATCAAAAAATGGTCAGCTAAGCCAAAGTGAGTCGCTTTATCTAACAGCTGGAAGAGATAACCCCTCAAAATCCAGGCCCCACTTCAAGTGGCATAAAGTCATCCTTCTCCAATCTCAGTTCCTGCTGCAGCACAGCGAAATTTAGTATTCTTCAAGTCACACCAGAAGCAAAGCTAACAGTGTTGGCCAAGAGGAAAGCAAGAGCCTTTGCTCTTTCTGTGACAAACAGAGCTAT